AAAAAAAAGAAAAGAAAAAAAAAAGAATTGGCAATAATAACGTTGCGTTCAGTAGAGATAAAAAAGGCAAAAAGATTATTTGTATGCCTCCACACCGGATTGAACGATGGACCTTTGCATTACAAGTGCAACGCTCTACCACTGAGCTATAGAGGCGGCTGTTTTCGTTAGCGTCGACCAAAGAGTTATAGACTATGTACTGCTGACTTGATAGCCACGAAAACAACGTTACATCGGCTTCACCTGAACATTGCAGCGCCCACCGTAGCGGAATCTCCTTGTAGGAAATGCTCGTGTGCCCAGGATATTCCCATCGGCGCGCAGGGAGTAATTCTCCGTGATCTACAGAACTGTTTGTAGCGCATCAATTTCATTTCATTTGCAGAGGCATCGAGATTCTAGTTCCAAACAGAAAGCTTTCCCCAGTCATTTGACCCTCCCCCACTCAGACCAGGTCTTGTCTTAATTTCTGGGTCCATCACCAACCCAATACTCGTACCGATGAATTGACAAAAAATAACAGCTGATAACAGGAGGAACGAACAGGGAACTTGCACCTGACATATTCGTCCTAGCGTAGGCTCTACGCGATGACAGGTCGCAGGGCAATTTCCGGCATTTTTGAGCCGAGCAGCAAGCCACGGAATGCCCAACTCGGTAATAAATCGACGCTTCATAGAGACTTCTTCAAAGTCAATTGGACGACCCCCAGACTTGATTCGGTGTTATTCTAACTGACTGCCTGTCCTCGTGTACGTAATGATTCGCAGAGCTTGTCTTACGAGCTGCTGAAAAGGACTTGGGACAGTGGAGCGTCTGTTGGTTGCATCTGGTCTCCATTGCAAGCTTATCTCCCTCTCTTTCATTGCATTACCTCACAGATACCATCCTTTCGTGTCTAGCGGGATTTTCCCTTCTTCCCTTTAAACGCAAACACATCCTGTGACACCGAGCCCATCGCTCTTACCCGAGGCATCACCTATTCCTTGACCGCAAAAACGTGACCCTGCCTGTTTCCTCCGCTTTGTATAACTGTGACTGGGCGTGCACTTTATCTTCTTTGCACAACATCATTGTGATCTATCAATTTTTAGTGAACACACCGCGATGTTAGGCTTTAGGAAGAAATCCGATAGCGACGCTTCTGCTGAGGCTCGTCATAACAATGAGATCCAAGATGATATCCCTCAACGACCTTGGATGGAGACTGCTCTTCCAGTATTCGCTTGCGGTGCTGGTCTTTTCTCAGATGGTTACATCAACAACGTGAGCTCTACCACGGTCCCTTTGTGAAGAATTGCCTAACTTGTTCAGGTCATCGGTTCCGTTAATACCACGTTGAGGCGACAATATGGCGATATCTACGTCAAATCGAATGCCTTCAAATACGTCTCCGATATTGCCTTTGTAGGCACCGTCGTTGGTCAACTAGTGTTCGGTTTCCTTGCAGATCATTGGTCACGAACCAATACGCTCATGGTGTCTACTGTTATTCTTATTATCTTTACTGCCTTGGCTGCTGGATCCTACTGGCATGGTGAACCCGTTGGAATGTTCAACATGTTGACTGCCTGGCGATTCTTTGTTGGTATCGGCATAGGAGGTAAACACTCTTTGAGTCAGTGGGAAATCATATTGTGCTAACAAAGTTAGGTGAATATCCAGCAGGTAGTGTTGGTTGCGCAGAGTCCAGTGGTCAAATGAAGAAAGGCACACGAAATCGATGGTTCATCCTCTTCACCAATTCAATGATCGACTTCGGCTTTGTCATCGGTGCTTTCGTTCCTTGTAAGTTGCCTCAACCACTGCTCATCATATCGCTCACACGACACAGACGTCGTTGCCGCCGCCGCTCACAACGCCAACTATGGTACCATTTGGAGAACCAGTCTTGGCATTGGTGTTGTCTTTCCTCTTATCCTATTCGTCCTGCGATTAAGACTCAAAGAGCCTGAAGAATTCGCCAAGCAATCCATGAGACGCCAAACACCATACTCGTTGGTTCTGCGTTACTACTGGTTTAGACTTTTCGCTGTCAGCCTTGTCTGGTTCCTCTACAACGTAAGCTCTCCATCTACACGTGAATCCTCTGGCTGACATTTTTAGTTCTCATCCTACGCTTTCGGTATCTACTCTTCGTCCATTCTATCAGGCATCTATGGTGATAACGCACCTCTCACCACAGTCTTTGGCTGGAACACCGTCGTCAACATGTTCTATCTACCAGGTACCTTGATTGGTGCCTTCGTCAGTGACTGGATCGGCCCTCGATACACTCTCATGCTCGGTGTTACGCTCCAAGCCATCGTCGGATTCATCATGGCTGGTGTCTATGACAAGATCTCAAGCCAAATCGCTGCTTTTGCCGTAGTGTTTGGTATCTTCCAAGCCCTCGGTGAGCTAGGTCCCGGAAACAATATCGGTCTTCTCGCAGCCAAGACATGCGCTACTGGAGTCCGAGGTCGATACTACGGCATTGCTGCCGCGGTTGGAAAGATCGGCGCGTTTGTTGGCACATATGTCTTTCCATACATTCAGGCCGCTGGTGGTAACGAGACCCAAAGCGCTCAATATCCTTTCTGGGTATCTTCCAGTCTTTGTATTCTCTCGGCTCTTATAGTGTTTTTCTGCATTCCTCATATCGGTCAGGATACTATCACCCTCGAAGATCAAAAGTTCCGCGAGTATCTCCAGAGCCAAGGTTGGGACACGGCTCAGTTGGGCCTTGATACAGCTGGTGTTGAAGGAGGAGCAGCGAGTGACTCGAAGACTGACGAGAAGATTGTTCAATGAGCACGCTTTGTATAAGTTGTTGATAGCTTACTTATGTATTAACTCGAGCCTGCTGTCAAACGCACACCTGAAGCGTGGATGCTTGTATCATGATAGCACAGCATATAAAAATGAATTCAATGAACCTATAAGGATCCATCATACTGGCGCTTTGTAGCGTAAATACTTCAGCATAACTATTCTCCTACTTCAATATTCTACCTAGCCAGATTGAAAACTCCTATTCACTCCCGAAACAGTAGCCTAACGCCGGTTTCAAGGAAATAATTCCTCAGTCAGAAAACGCCTTGCCCGCAACTTTTCCATGCTTTCCTTGCCCACAAATATATACAAGAAGTATTTCTTTACTCGTGCATCCTAAAAGATGGCATGCAGGTAGTCTGAGTTTCACAGATAATCATTCCTAACGGCGAACTTGTTTCGCCTGTTTTGGTTTATTAGGGTCTGGTTGGGTATAAGGACAAAACCTATCCAGGTGTTGGATGAAAACCGCCCGCTCGGCGATACCAATTCGACAAAATAGACATTGGTACTTGTTATCGTAGTTGAGGTAATCCTCAGGTTGTAAATCGTGGCCCATGCCAGTTTTCTCTTGAATTTTTAGAGCGACAGGCGGGGAGACAAGGGTGAGAAGAGACTCAAGTCTCGGTGGGAGGTTTCCTTGTTGGACGGGGACTTGGTAGGCGGGCCTGTGAGACCGTGGTGTTAAATCTCGGTTTTGGGAACCACTTCTGTATGAGTATGAGTGGTCATTATGATTTTGGGTATTGATGTTGGGATGTGTATATGCATGGTTTGCACTAGACGGAGATGTCCGGGTGTACTCAGGTGCTGAGGAAGCAGGGACGTAGTTGCTTCCGTGGTGACGGAGTGGTGGTAGGGGTCCATGGGAAGAACTTCCCCGGCTCTCGCCAATTGAGGATCTGGAAGCTTCCATTTGTGCCACTGACAATGTCCTTTCACGTGGGGACATGGCATTCGACGGTGGACCACGTATAGTGTTGGCAGTACTTGGTCTTGGTGAAGTGGTCGATGCCGATGCAAGCTGTGGAGATGATGCCGCGCTCGGTGCCTGTGCTCCATGAACAACAGAGCCTGGACGAGAAAGACTCATTGCGTACTGGCGAGGGGATGTGGGAGGTCTACTCCCATGAATCGCTGAACCAGGTCGAGGAACTTCCATGGCCTGCAAGCGTGGAGATGCGCCGATCGGCGGTGACGGGTGCCCATGAGCAAGAGTGCTTGGGGGTGGCAATCTCACCGATGTCTGTTGCGGGGAGGGCGGTACGTGTGACCAAGATTGTCCACGTGTCGCATACGGTCTGGGGAGTTCTCTAACCGGCTGGTGTGGTGAAGCTGGTATACGAAAGTCCTGGGCGGGTGATGTCTCGCCTGCTAACACCCGGGGTGACGGTAGTGGCTGAGCTACAGGTACTTTGTAACCCTGGGAGAAGGAACTCGATCGGGACGTGCTCGCATAGGACAGTCTTGGAGACTCAGCAACCGGCGGCGCGGGAGCGCTTTGGGGAATGGAAGGGAGCCGAGGGCTTTGTAGTGCTAGCTGTCTTGAAGGTAGCCCCTCGCGAACTACATGACCGTTGATAGAAGGGCGCCCGAAGTTCGCTGGCGCATAGGGCGGCTGGGACGTAGCAGCCGTGTTGGAAATTGCTCGAGATGGAGGTATGGGCTGCGAATTCGTGATGGTCGGTCCATGAGCTGGTAGGGCGGTTGTCTCTCGGCACTGGCTGGATGCTGATCCCGGGTTTGTTAATGCCATACTCACCGCAGGTGGCGATGAAATGTACTGCGCATGAGGGTGTCGAAGACCTCCAGAGCTTATTGAGGGAGCATCAGCCGACTGTCGTGGACCTTCAGCAGCTTGTGAAGGTGGGCGCATGGTACTAGGCTGTGATACTTCGCAAGGTGCCCGTAATGGCGAAGCGGCCACCTGCTGTAGTGGACTGCCTGACTGCACTTGAGGTTTATCTCTTGCTGCAGCTACAGGAAGTGGCATTTGAACTGGCGGTGACTTCGATACTAATCGAGCCTCATGGTGAGCTCCTGCCAAGCCTTCTCGTCGCTTAGGTGGCTGAACTTGTACTCCTTCGCCACCTCTGAGTGACGGACGAGAGTGCGAAGAAGCTCCTGGTCCCGATGAGTTTTGAGGCGGGGGTTCTGTAGGTGATCGTACGGACGTGGAAGCGGGCCGGCCCATTTCAGAATAAGGAGAATGCTGATGATGAGTCTCGCGGTCTCTAGTAGATGGACGCGAAGACGTAGACGCTCTTTGACCAGTGCTGGCGTAGGGAGAAGGTCGTGCAAGGGACTGGTTGATGGCGGTGAATGAATTTGCCGGTGTGAAAGCGCGCTGGGCCGTTGAAGTTACAGGAGAATGTTGCTGAGAAACCCTGCCATCTCTGGTAGAAGGTCGCGACGGCGTCGAAGCACCACGTCCCATCTCAGCGTAGGAAGGCTGCTGTACAGTGTTGCTGGGTGCTGGACCCCGCTGGCTTGCTTCATCCAGTGACAACCGTTGTGTCTCGCTACTAAGAGACACTGATCGAGAGTGGAGGGATGCTCGTTCGCCAACATCAGCATATAAAGGATGATGTTGACTTGAACTTTCCTTAGCCAGCGATTGATTACTGGGCCTGCCACCGTCTTCACCCATCCTGACGTGTGATAGAGATGTCTCGATCTCAACAGAGTTCGATTCAACCATCATACCATCGAATGGGTTATGAGCCATCATAAGACTACTATCATCAGAGGAAGTCGAACTGGGAGGGGTATTGGTATCTTGCTGTGAAATGGATTCGGAATGTGAAAGCTGGTCATACAAACTTTCACCTTCCTGTAATAGGGTTTCGAGCTCGGCTGGTGAGAGCGAGCTTTGCTGTGGTTTGTCAAGCGAAGCTGACACTTTCAGGCTTGGTTTAGATGGCTTCGCTGCAGAGCTCACTTCTTGGGATGAAGCAGCCGTCTCTGCTGGGGCTAGTTCTTTGGGCGTCGAGTCCAGCTTCAGGAGATCCTTGTTTGCAATTCTTTCATCGGTCGAGTCCTTAATCTTGAGACCATCCTCTTGAGTCTCGCGTGTTGATCCTGGCTGCTTTCCGGGTCTGCATCTTGGTAAAATCGCCTCCCCAGAACATCTTCCAGATTCAAACTTTGCCGAATGATTCACCTCGGATTGGAGGTTTAAGTCTGGTTCCTTCGATACAGTCTCGGCGTCGTCTGTATTAGTCTTGCGCGCGGGCACGTCTTGTACAGGGTCGTTCTGGGGTTCCGCTCTCGTCTGGAGGTCGTTTTGTTCTGGCTCCTCAATTGCCGCATCCTCCTCGTCAGCCTCCGTCATATCGACATCTGATTCCGTGCTGTCATCTACATCTTGTGACATTTCTCCAGGCGATTCGTTGACCTCTGGAACCTTGGAAGCAGTTTCAAGTGTGTGGTTTCTCTTATCTTCATTGGGCTCGCTTGTTGCTTCTGAAGGACTCAGGTCCATCTCATCATCATCTGTGGCTGCCGCGTCTCGCGTTTGAGCTTGAGATTGTTCTTGTTGAATTTCTTGGTTTCTTGTTACTCCCTCTTGCGCCGCTGTTTCTGTCATGGCTACGGTGGTCGTTACTGGTTCGTCGGCCTGTGGGATCTGGGCTTCCTGGGTATCATCTGAAACGTCCTCCATCTCATGATCATTCGGCAGTTTCTCGGGCTGATTTTCGGATCGAGTATCGTGCTGCTGGTGAACATCAATTTCGTCGGAGGCCTCTGTGGACTGTTCAGGGAATTCTGGCTCGTCCAGAGCATCAGAGTTCGCGGCGTCGGCCTCCGCTGCAAGTTGTTGCCCTGCAGAAGACTCTGACGCTAGTGAAGAAAGCTCAGATTCGTCAGAGCCCGATTCCGATACTGGATCGCACTTCAGGTCAGAATATTCCAGCGCACCAGTTCGGAAAGACTTACCCTCATCTATCGAATCTGGAATCTCTCGCTGATTTTCTGCTGCCTTCTCCCGTAGGTATTCCAAGGCCCGTTCGCTGTGGTCGATCCTCCTAGCTTCGTCCTCGTTCCAGGGCATGATATCATAGAGCGGTATCCACGCCTTTTGACATTCCTCGGGGAACTTCTTCTCTCCCTCTTCGAAAAGAACAAAAGGGTAATGTCGATCCAGGCACCGAGGTCCGTCATCTTCGTAACCGTCGGCCCAAGTAAAACTTTGACTCGAGCTATCGTACTCGTAACATAGCGGTGTTGGTCTAACAAAGCCCATCCTAAGGAATGACTCATGTATACCAATCGACGCTAAATCGTGTAAAGGGAGGAGTAGGGCGGGGAACCAGGATTTGGTCTCGTTCCAGTAGATAGCGTACACTTTGCCGGGAACCAATTCGAGTTCGTAGTCGTAGTCTTCCTGTTTTCCCTTTCGAAGTTGCGACCGTGTTGCTTTCCGACGTTTTATGCGTTGAGCCGGTAGACTCAGCTTTTTGAATTTTGTCGTTTGTGGTGATTCCAGTGGAGGCAAATCTTCGCGAACTATGATGCAATCGCCGGCGCCATTCTGTCCTTTTTTGAAAGCTTCCTGAGCGGCCTTGTTGTTTTGCTCCAGCTTCTCATCGTCGCATCCGATAACCTTAATACCAAAGTGCTCGATGACGGTGTCATGATCAGCATCCGCTATGTCGTGTTGCGCGCGCAAATGCTTCGCGGCGTTGTGAACAGGGTTCTTGTCAAAGCTAATGTTATGAGTGCCACATCGTATGATGTGGTATTGTCCAGGTTGCTTCGAAATATCAGTGGGGCTGCGAACAATGATGTGCTTTTTGGCCGCCCTGTTATTTTGATAAACCGCGTCGTAATGCACTGATTTTCGTGTACCCTCTACCCGCGCACGCTTGCTACTGTGTGCGACGTTATGACTCCCTTTCCTCTTGCGCGCCTGCCGAAAAATACAAAAGTCAGTATCGTGAGATTAAACCCCGTTGGGACCACGTAAGCGTATCGCACCTCAAAGATCCCGTGGGGATTGGCGGTAAAAGTTGTGAAGTTGGTTTTGTATCGTCTCCCTAAACTAGAATTTCGCTTCTGATGAGAAATAGACGATGCCGCCTCATCTGTGTCTGCGTTGAGATTGACAGCGTTAATCAAGTTGGCGGAATTCATGTCGAGGGATTTCAGCCCCGGGCGGCTGAAGAGGATCTGGAGTGTGTTAATGAGAGAATTTGCTGGGCTGTTGACATGGCGCGTGTACGCCACTTGAGTATCCCTGCACGTGGCTCTGGCTCTGGCTCTGTCTTGGTAATCGCATTCGATTTGCTGTTGTTTACGAATGATGATTGAGCGAATCTTGTCTTTTTCCTGGGCGCTGATGCAGATGCAGGTCGGGTCAGTGTCAGCAGGAATAGAAGTAGAGGTAAGGTCCTTGTCTTGTTTTACTGTTTTGTAGGGGGGATTAGTTTCGGGCGCGGGCGAATTTGGCAGGCTCCGCTTGCATGCACATGCATTCAGCTCCTGTTGGATGCGATCGAGAAGAGGGCGGCCGGTAGGTGCGGGTACGAGTATAGGCATAGACTGGCCTGAATAAATTGACCTGGATTTGGAGCTTGGACTTGGGCTTGGGCATGGGCTTTGACTAGGGTCAAGGCTAGTGGGGATGTTACTGGAGCTGGACCGAGAATGAAAAGAGGTGTCCGATTGTGACGGGTGAAAAGTCATTTCAGGTTTCGCGCGACGGTTGACAGCGGGGATCTCCAAGGGGCACAGACAGGCAGAACACCGAGTGGCCCGGCCGGCAAAGAATAAAAAAATAAAATGGGAAGGAAAGGGAAAGAGACGTTGGGGCGGGAATGCTCTTTCCTTGTCTTGTGGAACAGTCAATCCCTTGACGGGAAAGAAGGAAGGAAAAAACGGGAAGGAGAAGGAGTAAGAAGAAAAAAAAAAGCAATAAAAAAAGGGAAAGTGGTGTAACCAACAAACAAATGCAAAACAAGAGTAATAAAGATAGGCAAAAAGCACGGATACAGTATCCTACAGATCGGCCATAACCTAACACACGGCACAGTAAAAAGTAATGAAAAGGTTAATCTAGAGTACAGGCAGTGAAGATTGAGTGATTCTACCTTGCAGCTTGCATTGCATTGAGGGATGCCAGGGTGTCAGAAGGAATGGACCGCTGTAAACATAGTGAATGGAATAATTTAGTCATCATATGCCCGCTTAGATTAGATTACAGGCTACATTATTTTGACACCTCCACCCCCAAAAGTACAGTAGGGTAGCCAAGCCAAACAAGGATCTAATGCGATTGACCAGAGACGGACAATAATTAAAGCAACCAACCAAGCGAGGGTAAAATGTTACACATTAGCTGGTCCGACCCCGCACGGATTTCCGTACAGCAGAGTTAGTTGAGAGTAGACAGATCAGATCAGAAAAGAATACGTTGGTTGCTATTTGTTGGTGTCATTCTCTTTTTTCAGTCTTTTCAGTCAGCTTATTTTATAAATTTACCTATACCGGTTCCATCTTTTCTGTTGGCTTGGCTGCAAGATCAATAGAGGATTAGCAGGGCTGTCATTTCTCTCATTGTCTTGGCAGTAGGTTAGGTGCGACACTCACTCACACTCACACTCTTCGGTGACTCAGTTAATTAATTCTGTGGCGGCGCCCCCAATTCAGTCTCAGCTCCAGAGTGAGAGGAGAGGCAAATAATACCAACGTTACAAACCCCGAAAATGTCACCAGTGGCTTTTTTATTCATTGGTCCACGATCGCCATCATCCCCCCCTCCATTCTTAGTCTCCTCATGTCATGGTGGCCTGGCCTGGGCCTCGCTTGGGCTGGGGCTGGGGCTGTCGTATGCAAGAGGTCCCACTTTAGTGATAACAATCTCACTCTGTGGCGGGGGGTTAGGTTAATCCAGTCTAGTCTAGTCGCTTCTTTATTTCCCTTTCCTTACCCATTGTGCCGTCTTCTAATCTTGGGGGGTTACGCACTATGAGAAATGGCTTGGCTGACATTCTACATTCCATTCCAGCTACCTGGGTGTCCACGCACCAAATGTTCCGGTATCACCACAATTATAATTAGGTTCCAACTAGTCAATTGTTTCATCTATCGATCAATAGTTATACTATAGTTATAATACTCGTCCTTTCCTGCGCAAATAACCGCTCTTCCTCATCACGGTTCTTCATCGATCCCCAGCCAACTCTCTCAAAGCACTCGGGCTCCTCCGTCTGCGTGGCTGACCTCCCCAGCACCAACCACTCATGGTCCTTCTGTCCCCTTTTACCGATAGAATATGCTCCCAGTCTCAGCACCCAACAGGAAATCCGAGTAGTCCCCTCGTACTCAGAATTGAATTTCCCTTTCGGGTCTAGTCTGTGCAGCGTCTGTCTAAGCTCTTCCCTGCCATGCTCATGAGACCTGCACACTGACATTTCCGATCCCTCATTCGCGATCGTAGTTGAAAGCACAGTGTCTGGGAAGAAGAATAGACGCGTCTTTCCGATACGCACAACAAACCAGCCGTGTGGGCCTTGTCGCTCGACATATCCTGTGGCTATTGGTCCCTGTACGACCAGCTTGCTTTTCATCACCCTCCCAAGCGGCGCATCTGGCCCGGTTTCTGAAGTGACTTCAAGAACTTTGGCCGCTTTCTCGTATGGCCATTTTCCATTGCGGAAGCACAGATAGTCAATCTCGCCCGTTATGGAAGCCCAGCTGAAGCTTGGCGCAATATAACATGAGCTGGCTGATTGGATTGGTGTTGATGCTGGTCGACGCCACAGCAGATCAAGCTCGATATTGTCCGCCCATAATCCAGCAATATAGTCTGAGCCTATTTTTTTCTGCACGATAGCTGCTATTGCAGATATAGCTGGGAGCTTGTCCTCTGATCGCGTGAGCTTCCTCTTAGCATAGTTCTCAACAATCTTGTGCCAAAAATTGAACGCTTCACTCTGTCGGGAAATTTGACTGAGCGGTGTACCACCAAACTCGCGCTGATGATTCAAACGCGAACCACACTCGCATACTATCCGTTCCTTACAAGTCCAGACCATCTCCGACGCGGATAGCGACAGAAGACGGGTTGAGAGGATTTTTTCCTGCAGCGTCCAGCCGCGCTGGGTGAGCGGCTCGACAAGTGGCTGCTGATCGTTCTGGGTGTCTTGCCATTGCCAGTGAGCGCCGGTTGCCTGCATAAGTCTCGCCTTGACTGAGACAAGCCCCTTGCCGTTATTGCCCGTCACCGCCGTTTTGAAAACTTGACGGTTATAGTGCGGAGCCTGTGGCGGCGTTTCAAGCAGAGGCTTCAGAAAGTGACTTGTCACGGATGATGAAGATGCAGCCGCGATAGTAAGGTAGGCGTTGGCGTATGTTTCAGCCATCTTCGAGCATTCCTTCTCCCAATCCGCCTGTGAGTCTTGAATGATACATAGTGCATCTATCCATATATATCTGACACCCAGCTGTCTGGTCAGTGCTACCGCATCCACATATGCTGCTGGCAGCCGCTCCAGTATGACTCCAGATTTCATCTCCTCAAGGTTTTCGGCCATAGTCCTGATGGAGGGATTGCTTCCCCAGCAATAGCTTAGCGCTACGTACTTTTCGGCTTTCTTGTCTATCGTCTCGATCAATCGTACGTGACTGTTTTCACTGGCTCCAATATCCAAAACACGTGTCGGTAAGCTGGTATCGTTCTGTTTGCAATGCTCATGATTCTCCAGGCATATCTTGAGACAAGAATTGATAAAGCTGAGACCTTGTTTTGATAGATGGTCATCACATATATCTGGCAAAGGCTTTATGTGCTTCAGTGATTCTCCTTGTGCTATTAATCATCAGTCAACTGAAAATAAAATCAATAAACTACACACCCTCATCGCCGTATAGCTGAAGGAAGATCTGTGACCGAGCGGGGTTACCAAACGATATCTCTGGATTCCCAGGTCCTATCGGCAGTCGGAGTCGCAGACGAAGATTTCCTTTCCAGCTTAGGCTTAGATCCATTGGGGGCCCGAGTCCTGTAGACGTGTCCTGATGGGTGTTTCTAGGTGCTTTTGGAGGTAGCAAGTTATAGAATCTATGACGCATCAGATGGTTGCTCTCAGGTGGCTCATGCGATTAAACATGGCGTATAGACCATGACTTACTCCATTGCTTTCAACATAAATATGCAACTCTCACAACCTCCATCTGCCGCATCTCTCATCTGCTTATCATCTCGACGGATCGTTACTACGAGTTCGCTCTGATCAATTCTCACGTCATCATTGCCATCCGCATCCGCCAAGAGGGCGTCAAGGTTGAAGCAGCATGGACAAACCGACTGCAAATCTCCTTCGTCACTTTCTCCTTCAGACTTATTGATGTGGCTCTCGTGGTTGTCCATCACAGTTGTACAGAATTCATTGATGCCCTGAGAGATTATTCCAGATTACCTATGCGGCTAACTATCATCATTCGGCACGTGATACCCACAATGCTACTCTAGCTCAGCCTTATGCAACAAGAGCGAATCTATTTCTAAAAGTCCCATGACCACGCCCCTAACAGTCCCTGTTTTTTGTTTGATTATTTCGCTCGCTAAATACACAAAATCCATCTAACAATCAGGCACGCTGACTGGAATATTAATGTGAACACTCGTAGCCAATCCACTCAGACTGGTTTCCTTGAACTCGTTCCTCATGCCCTTGGCCGTCAAACGCATTGCGCGGATGGCATCGTCCAGCCTCACACGTTGAGTACCTGTCTCGCTGCTGAGGGCCAAGTTGGCGCTGGAAATAGCCTTTGTGGCGCCCAGAGCGTTTCGCTCGATACAAGGAGCCTGGACAAGACCGCCAATAGGATCGCAGGTCAGGCCGAGGTTGTGCTCGATACCAATCTCAGCGGCTTGCTCAATTGTCTCAGGACTGGCGCCCATGCATGCTGCGAAGGCACCAGCAGCCATAGAGCAGGCGACACCTACTTCGGCCATGCATCCTCCTTCAGCAGCGGAGATGGTGGCACCTCGCTTGTAAAGCATACCGATGGCAGCAGCTGTGAGGAGGAAAGTAGGAATATCCCGCTCGGGGTCGTCACTGATAAACTCGGTGGTGTACTTCAGCACGGCAGGAATAATACCTGCAGCACCGTTGGTAGGCGCAGTGACGATTCGGCCACCTCCAGCATTTGTCTCGTTGACAGCGATAGCGTAGACCGAGAGATAGTCCATGGTTGGGAATGTCGTACGACGCGACGGAGCTGGAGCGATAGGGTGGTTCAGTGAACCGTGTATCCTTGGTGGTCCGCGCTTCCGGATGCCGCCGGCCGTGAATCTTTCTGGCACCGAAGCAGTGGAAGTGGCCGCTGGTGTAGCGAGAGCGCTCGGTTGGGAGGTAGCCCCATCTTCACCAATGTTGGGGTCAGGTGAGGAAAACTTGTGCTCCAGTTGAGCAGCAGAAGTATCCGCAGTAGACGAAGGATACAGTCCTCGAGTCAAGCGGCGGTAAAGCGCGGGCGCTCGTCGATGCAGCTTGAGAGAACCAGGAAGTTTTGATCCAGTGGGCGCCTGGACACTTTCTAGGATACTAGCATCCATGACGCCCCAGATCTTGAAGATCTTGCGATAGATGTCTTCATCCGTGTAGCCCAGACTCTTCTCATTCTCATACACCAGCTGCGCAATTGTGAGGTTGTGCTTGCGGCACAGAGAAAGTAGACTAGCGGCATCTCGGAATGGGTACCGCGGATGGGGTGATGAGCTGGTGCTCTTGGTCTCGGACTTGACATCGGTGGAGAGGCCGGTTGGCTCAGCTGACTCTCCGAGGAGGGCCTGTGGTCCTTCATTGGCTTCGTCGAGGACCTTGACTTCGGAGCCTGTCCTGCGATCTCCCGCGGCATCGGATCGCCGAATTTCCTTGTAGTACATGTTTTCGGCCAAATCAGCCGGATGGGCCGTCAACTCGAAATCGGGGTCATCGAGCTGTGTGGGGGCATTTGGAGAAAGCGTTTCCTGGGGCGCTATGCTGAGAGCGCCATTGACAACGAAACCACCTCCAACGCTGAACATGTCGTTTGTTGCAAGGACGTAACCCTCTTTGTCGAAGACAGTGAAGCGCATGCCGTTACTGTGCTGGGGAAGCTTACGTCCCCATTCCCAGATGAATTCCTTGTCGTAGTCGAAAGCGATTTCTTTGCCCTTGGATCCATCGGCAGCCAGACCTCGACCTAGGAAGATCTTTTTGCTAGCTTTGATATCGTTGAAGCGAGTGGGAACGTATCCTGTGTCGACAGTTTCCACGTCGGCGCCTTCGAGACCGAGGAGCAGAGCTGAAGGCGTCATGTGGCCTTCACCTGTGAGCGCAAGACTTCCGTAGATAGCCACACGGATCTTATTGACTTTGGGAAGCAATCCAGCGTCGATAAGATCATTGACAAAGATGTTGCCAGCTCGCATTGGCCCCACGGTGTGAGATGACGAAGGGCCAACACCAATGGAGAACAAATCAAAGGTAGAGATGACAGCGTGCTCATGATCAGCTTCGCTGTATGAGCTCGACTCATCCTCCATCTCCTCCTCCATCCTACGGGGTCGCGTTGTGCTGAAAGGTCGAGCTCTCACCTTGGTGACTGAAGCTGGCGCTGACCGCGCAATTGCATTTTGGTTCGGCCACCTTGCAAGGGTTGCTAGGGATCGGGTCGATAAGCATTGCTTTGACGCCCGAAGCAGCGAAAGCTGCCTGAACCCTGCGCGACTCATTGCAGGTTCCTAGAATGTTTTCGTTGTTTCGGTGATGTCTCGATTTGTTTGGTGGTGAACAGGCGTGATTGATATTGATATGATATTATATTATATCATAAGCCAAGACCAAGCGGACGTGAACCGCATATTGCCAACAAGGTGTCCCCTATTGGCCATATCTCTTATCTAGGAGCGGAACATCCTTTGCCCAGCCAATTATAGGCGTCTGCACTATCTCCGGAATCGCTCCCGGCGGTGGGTCGGACGATAGACCGGCGACCGCTCACGTGTCGGATATGCGTACCAATCAATCTTGTACCCCAGACCGAAGTCTTCCGGTGAGCTATCCCGAATGTGACACGCCTTCCAAAAACATCCGGGGAAGAATTATCTAGTTGCATCAAAACACCATTAGCATTACGTGATTTATTCGGCATTTGGAGTTGGTGATGGTGTAATTGGCGGAATGCGGGGTGCATACTAAGGTAAACTTTAGTCAGAGCGAGAAGGTAGGGTACCTACCCTGCTCACAATCACAGGTGATAACTATCCAAAAGAACTCGCAAAATTATGACCAGATTATTGCTGTTGGATTTACCTGATAAGATGGGATGAGTCACTGGGTAGCCGCTGTCGCTGTTTGTCCTTTATTCAGTGGACTCCAAACTTACAACTTCATGACATGATAACTCAACTTGTCACGGACGACCTTGTTGTATCTGAAGATCCAAATTGATCAAGTACAGGCTGACTTATACTGATTATTTGATGTGATAAGAATAAGCTGACGTCCAGTGGCTTGATTCCCTAGCATCTGGAAAGCGATGATGCATGAACGTGATATCATGACAAGGTTGGGACATTTTCTCCAACTCAAAATCGTATCTTGTATTGACGCAGATGATATTGGGTGTCATGGTATATGTCATTAAACATTCGGCCTGCTAGTGTGAAGTTTGAGAAAATCTCGGTTGAAGTTCCTTCTCATAAAGTCTGAGAGGGGTCAACTTGAAGGCGTGCAATGGTATCCCAGCTAGATATACCCTACGGATACGCTGCCAAAATCCATAACGAACTTTAACTAGGACTAGCCGATAGACTGACAGAGAGCCTGCCAGGAATGCTCTATGGGTTCCAGCGTTCTCAGACCAGTACAAGAAACCAGTCGCTCTCGCTGAAAGTCATGGGTGATTCCATATCTGTCTACTATGAACAAAATAGCATCGGACAATGAATATAACCTCTAACTCAGTTCTTTAGACAGCTGCCCCATTATTCTACTGTTTGAACCGTAGAAAGATAGTAGGTTCGGGGCTGGTGGCAAGACATAATTGTGCGGCTCTGATATATTGAGTTGCCGATAGGCTGTCAGCGTAAGCTTACACAACGAAGTTCAACACATTTTACGTCACAACTCCGAGTCTTACAAGAGTTAGATTTGGCTCTTACTCAAAGCGAAAGTCTTCTGATAAGCCTATACGAAACAAGCTTTCGTTACATTGGGGCGATAGGACTATTCATAACCAACCACAGCCATGACGGCTTCACATCATCAACATGAAAGAAATTCAATGCAATTCCGCTATGACCATGAGAAAGAACAATTTCAGATATCTCTACTCCGTCGCAAGGCTCATGTTGTACTCCAACTCCCACTCTGCTTGAGAATCTCCCTTTCGTGGCTTAAAGTCCACTGTTAGACCGTCCTTGACAGCAAAGACACTATCGTTGTCAAGATAGCTTGAGTCAGAGTCGAAAATCTGAGTTACGACAGACTTGTGGTCCTTGGCAATAACCTGTGGCGTGTTAGATCTTGTGCGATTGGTCAGGTCGGAGTTGGGCTTACCATGAAATGCAAGTGAGCAGGACGGTACACGTGGCGGTCCAAGAGGTGAAGGAGCTTGCCTGCAGGGCCATCCTCGGGGACCTAAGTGGAAGTTAGCCTTTTGAACGGGGCAGTAGACTCGGAACATGCCACTTACGGGATAAGGAGTAGGCCGTAAGCAGTAGAATGAGTATCGACCCTGGTCGTCTGTGATAAACTTGCCACGCAGGTTATGCTCGACCTGCTTATCGTCTTGCTGCTCATACAACCCTGTGTGGTGTCAGCATATGCAGAGAGAATCCGTAAGATAAGAACTTACCGTTTGTGGATGCTTGCCAAACCTCAACAGAGGCGTTGGGGATAGGCTTGCCCGTTGCTGCCGATGTCACGGTACCATACAGGTAGGCAACCTTGCCATCGCTGGGAGTATCGAAGGAAATAGTAGTGCCATTCTCACGAGTGGGTGTATCGTGGCGCCAGAAAGGTCCCAGAATGGCAGTTTCGGTTCCAGAGAAACCATTCTTAGCTGCTTGACGGTGTGTGATGTCGTCGACAAGACTGAACAAATGTTAGGAAAGCCACATATAGCAGGGATAGTAAGTGACATACCTCTCAAGACCGATGACATCGCACATCAATTGTCCCTCATTTCGCTTCTCGGTACTCATTTGACCGGCCCAGTTAATCATCTGAACAGCCGACATCCACTCATCGCAAGTAAGTTGCGTCTCGCGCGCAAAGTCGTGCATGTGTTGAACGAATGAGGACATGACCTCTCTCATTCGGGGATCAGTCTTGGGGCCGAACGAGTCAATGACTTGCTTGGTGAAGGCCTGACCGAGGCCCTCCTCCTTAGCGACGCCATTGGCGTTTCCGCCAGTTGCCTCTGCGGATGGTGACATTATTGCTATGTGTTGGGTATAAGTGGGAGGTGTGATGTTGGTACTCTCAAGACAATTCGGACAATAAATATATGGAAAAAGAAGGGTATATAGATGATTGTGAAAGAAGATGACTTTGCTGGTCGACCTTCTAATAAAGAATTTCGAGATTGGGCTTATGAATTGGATCCAATACAGAGATGGTGTCTTGACCCCGCAATGCACCAACTCGTGGTTCGATTCGGATATAGAGAGAACAAGGTGCGGCTAAGGGACTTTCGGCTGCATCTGCGGGGTTGAACTTGTGAACCAACCAGAAACATGATGATTGCATTTACGAGTCTCGGCAACAATTGAGTTGGTCTTGGTGCCACATTCTTTCGGATGCCGGGACACGCCGATCGGATGTACAAAGGTGAGGCGAATGAACCCGCCCTGATGCCGACGCCGATGAATAGTGGGCTAACCCTTCTGTAGCCGCTAGGAATGGAAGCTGTGGCCGCCCCAAGTTAGACCGCTGTAACAGACGTGAGTTTCATGATGAAGAATTATGATCAACCGGTCACCATAGAAGTCTGGCATGTCGCGATAATCTAGAAGGAAGGATAGTTATGATCGAAGTTGTTTATTCATGAACTAGTTACTAGATATTTGGCGATAGAAATTTACTCTGACAGCTTGTGGTCTGGCTCATCACCAAAATCCCACGTCGGCTTATCCGCACCATTCGGGCGACTCGCCCTCTTAAACCCAACCCGAACACCCTCAATGTCCACAACGGGTGGCACGGCTTCCACCTCAGCTTTGTAGGCATTAGAGTACCACTTCTCGACATACTTGTCGCTCGAGAAGAGCTCAGGGTATATCTCCCTCATTCTGAGTAGCGCTGTTCCAGAGATCTGATCGACGCTATGCGCATGTCGCAAGGCGAGGAAGTCAGGACCAATATCCTGTCTCAATTTCTCCTTGACTTCTTCGGAATATTGGCCAACTTTGAAGAGTAGAAGATCGTAGTGAAGAAGTGAAGCCTTTCCGTGCCATGATCCACCCTTGGTAGCTCGGTGGTAGAGTCCTACCAATGCTGTGATGGCGCCGATACAGCCTGTTCCGTAGTCTGATATGGGGAAAGGAGGGACCATGGGCTCTGAGATACCCATGAAGCGACCTTGTTCCCAAGCGATGCCAGTGACCTATGCCATTGTTAGCTTGTGTATGCCAAACCACTCCTAGAAGACTTACACAGTCTGCAATTTGCTGCCATCCAGGACGACCAGCCCACTCTCCTTGATATCCGAAGCAGTTCTCATTCACATATACAAAGCCCTTACCGCGCTCCTTTGCAAGCTTTGTAAGTGCAGTGGCGCCGTACCCAAGCTTCTCCAAAGCCCCGGGTCGGTACCCATCGACGACAACATCTGCTTCAGCAAGGAGACGCTCAAACTCGGCTCTCCCATCCTCCGACTTCAAGTTTAGTTCTGCAGCATGCTTTCCCATATTTCCATCAACCTGGAAGAAAGGCACGTCGCTAAGATTGGGGCTTGTGATTTTCAGAACGTCGGCACCATACTCGCCTAGGATACGGGTGATGATAGGCCCAGCGATGATGCGACAAAGTTCGAGAACCTTGAGACCCGAGAGAATCCTTGTGGGTTGCTCTGGGCTGGGAGTCAAAGGGCATTTTGGTGTCTCTGACTCGAGGTTTTCTACCGACCATGGTGGAAGGGCCATGTTGGTTTTACCCTTCATAGTCTGTCAGTCCAGTTCGTATAAGCGAGACATGTCCAGTACTTACATGCTCGGTTTGAATAAAGTCCTCATGCTTCAAAGCAGGTACTCCAGCCTGTCGATTAGCGGCATTCATGCTCTCCAACTCTTGCACGCTGAACTTTTGCACTGCAGGCTCAATGGCTTCCACTATGCTCTCATGAGTCTGCAAGTCAGGTCTGAAAGGCTCGAGACCTATCATCTTGAGTGTCGTAGAAGCCTCGAGCGATCCATGGATGTGATAGTATTCTCCGGGGTCCTTGGTTTCATAAAGATTCGCCGACATGCGACGATATGGGTTGGATTGCGCTTGCAGCAGATCGGTGTCTGGACATTGTTAGTGTCTTTCAATGAATACTGACATTCTCACTGATACTGACCTTTGAGCTTTGCTTTCACGCCAGGGTCAAGCTTTCCAAGACCGCCAACCTTGGCCATGTATGCTTGACAGAGAAAAGCTGTCGTCCTCTCCAGGTCGACATTGATCTTTCTAGTTTGAGATTCCCCAGCCACTGAATCAGTTAACAGACACGCCACAGCACCTTCGACTGCCTTCAGCGCCGCGGTTGTTTCTGTCTCCTTGAAAGGGATGGGGAAATATGGTGCATCACGGCTTGATGTGAACTTGATACTGTCTCGACGCTGCTTGACACCAGCTGGCAGAGCTGTCTCATCGAATTGATCGCATAGATAGTCAAATATGCGCTTACTCTCCTCCACTGAGGAATATTCGTTCTTGTTAATGCTACCCATGGTGACGGTGTTCAGTTGTGATTAGTCAGGCGGAAACATCCACTTAAGCGGTGATGCGAGGTGCTTGTGAAGACGAAGCCTTTATACGGCCATACACGATTCGGTTTGGAATGAGAACTATGCGGAAACCGACGGCAAATCGGATTAAAAGATATCCACTATATTTTCCAAGCCTCGTGCCGTGCAATCGACACTACTCAATGATCATGTCACCGTCACCAAGACCCAATATTTCGTAGCAGCGTGCTTTTGTGGAGGTCGGTTGACCCCATTGCCGAAGCTATCTCGCCCGACTTCCGACACCAAAACTGGCTTTGACAATTGCCGCGCTAATGCATTCTGAGGCATTTCAGCTGTGAGATAGCATACTCAACAAGTCTATATCGACAGGTTGATGCACAGTCACCTCATTTTCAAACACTTTGTCGCCTATATCGAAACACCATGCCATTCCTTGAGGTCAGAGGCAAGAAGCTGTTCTACGTTCGCGTAGATGGCAAGGAACAGCCCAAAGGTCCTAACCCCGTGTTGGTATTCATCCATGGGCTGGGCTCGTCCCATACATTCTATATACCTGTCATGCACCAGCTTTCAGAATCAGGATATACTTCAATTGCACTAGATGTATATGGTAAGAGCTTCCATGCTAGGTGCCTGTCGTCGGTTGCTAAACTATCCTAGGAAGTGCCCAGTCTCAACTGGTATCTGGAGTTGAGGCTCCTACCTTCGAAACTATCGTGGAGGATATTCTAGGCTTACTACAAGGCCTTGAAATCCCGTCAGATAACATTGTCGCTGTTGGACATTCGATGGGCGGCATCGTTGTGCCCATGTTGGCGTCCAAATGCCGTTTACAGGGAGCAGTCCTCCTCGGTCCTGTGCTACCCAGGGCCGCATTGGCTGATATCTTTAATGCTCGGATAGAGACAGTTAAGAAAGGTCAGTCTCTTCTCACTCTCAGATCGCGATTTTTGGCTGACGCGATGCTATAGATGGAATGGAACCAATGGCCCAAACTATTCCTTTCGCCGCCACAGGCTCCAAGGCAACTCTTTTGCAGAAGGCATTCATTAGGACACTCTTGCTATCACAGAAGCCTGAAGGATATAATGCTTTATGTGGAGCCATTGCGAAGGCAGAGGTACCTTCATACTCGACTATCAGCTCCCCGGTGCTCGTTTTGGCTGGAGAAGAGGACAAGACGAGTCCCGTGGCTGACGCGCAGAAGATCTTTGACGAGTAAGTCCTTATTCCTATCTCTACTCTATTGATTAGAAGAGGGAAGCTCACGTTCAATCTTAGCTGGGGCTGTGATGCGTCTGCAAAGACGATGCACGTTTTGCCTGGAGTAGGACATTGGCACTGCATAGAGGCTGCAGATGCGATCGCGGTCGGCATTGAGCAATTCGTTTCCAAATTATCTTAGATATCAACCAAACTTTGAACAGATTGCCAATAAATATTTAAAGACTACTGCTCAGTTCTCAGCTATTCACTTCGTGGTATTCTGACATACAGACAATAATCAAGGTATTCAGCTTGAGGTATTGAACCTGACTCGGTAAAATCAATAGCGCAATCTGCACTAAAATCCCCTCCAGCAACACCGTCGGCTACCGGACTTACCCTCCGGTACTAGGAATTTAGAGGGTCTAGACCAATTTACGTCAGCGGACATGACACCTAATTCCAGTACCCCATCCTCCCCATCGGTCACCTAATGAACCAATAAAGACCAGGCCATATCCGACAGTTGGCGGCCCGCGGCTTCATTCAACCCTCACACGACCAGACCAGATCAGATCAGATTCCCAATGCCTACCAGGAGGGTCCGAGACTCTGAAAGAAGACGTTGCGCCGAGGCTTGCGAAAGCTGCAAACGTCGCAAGCAAAGATGCGATGGTCGTCGTCCCTGTGCACGCTGCATCAAGCGTGGTCTTGGTCATGACTGTCGCGAGTCGTCGGGTTCGGTTCCTGGGGCACAACGCATTCTTGCTTCTTCGCTCCCGAGTCCCGATCCTGAAAGGCTGGGGAGTATCACGGAACAGCCTACCCCGGCGGGAAGTATAACTGTTGGTTCCAGATCGGGATTGACTTCGGTGGAGGATACTTTTGTTGATCATGGAGCATCCCAATTGCTCTCTGATACGCAACCTGAGCGTCTTCCCCGGATGTCGCGGCTTGTGCAGGATACCAGAGGAGAGTACATGTTCATTGGAGATTCTGCGACGCTGTCGTTCCTGCAAAACATAAGGAGGATTGTAAGGCGGAGCATAGGAGATTGTGCGCTTGTTGACGATCCATTGAGACATGGCATCGTCGAGTCATCACCTGAAACACGGCGAGGATGGATTTTGTCCAGTGCTCAAAACCCACCACCACAGCAGAGCGAACAGGATGTCAACTATCTGCTGAAGTGGTACATGCAATCAACAAATTGCGTGCTGCTATTATTCGACCAGAAGGAACTTGATCAAGGGATTCGCAAATGGATAGAAAATGGACAAGATATTGCCGACCCAGCCAGTTCTGTCTACTATCTTGTCTTTGCCATCGGCGCGCAGACAGGACCAGAAGATAAAGATGATCTGGCCGAGACCTTCTTCAACTATGCTCGGTACCTGACAGTCGACGCTTTGGTAGAAGAGCCAGGTATCATCACGATTCAAACCTTGGTTCTTATCGCGATGTATCTGTTAGGTGCATCACGTCGCAACGCAGCCTTCATGTACCTTGGAATGGGCGTGCGAGCCGCGTATGCAATTGGACTACACCGCCATGATATATCCTCTCTATTCTCTCAGACAGAGGGTCGCGCAAGGGAACAGCTCTGGAAAGGCATACGAATTCTCGACTTGTTTATGAGCGCATCTCTTGGTCGGCCTCCATCAACATCTGAGCTGCGCGATACGACAAGTTCGCAGAATTACTCTGCTTGTAACGACTTATCGATGATCTTTGAGTCTATCCTTACCGATGTATACGCCAAAAGAATGATATCCCCCGAGATATTGGATCGTATCAGTAAGCATATGCGAAGATGGACTTTGCAATGTAGTGAAGGGTTGGCTGTGGACGGTATCGAGTCGGAAGACTTGATTAGTGACACAGATGGAAGTCAACAACCTAATATCGGTATCATGCATCTGAAGCTGACTGGACATTGGACTGTCATGTTACTGTCACTCCCATTTCTGCACAAGGCGGTTTCCCAACATGTTGAAGAAACAGAGCAGTCCTCTAACAAGACTACCAAGCGCGCATCCTCATCAAATCAGGTCCTTGTGCATTCTTGTCTGGAATCAGCCGTGCGAACAGTCGACCTGCTGCAAACCCTCTTCAAAACAGGCACCATACCGAAGCGATTACCAATAGTAGGAAATTCAGCATTTGTGTCTGGGTTAGTGTTAGGAGCAGCCATATTCGGCGACTTCGACAACTCCTTCCCGCTTGAAAAGAGTCTCCATGCAGCAAGAGGTGTTCTTGAGCGTCTCGCCCGCTACGACGCTGTCTCAAAACGTCATCTAATGATCCTAGACCATCTCCAGGGAGCATGCGATATTTACATGGACAACCGGGCTAGACTTCGCATGGAACGCCAAGGTCATCTTGTCAACGGTCTTTTCGGCAGTATCCATACCATTGGAAAGTCGCCATTGAGAAATTCTCAACTGGGCGAGGTCAACTTCCGAATATCGTCAACCGAAGGGCTTCAAACGCAACCACAGACGCCTAAACCTGGGCAGGCGATGAACCAAGAGATGACAGATGAGCAACAGGGATTCACTATGGAAGGAGGGCAGGTGGACTTTGATGTTGAGGGGGCAACTGATGCTTTCCTGGGCATCTCTCCGAATATGCTCTGGTTCGACTCTTTTGATACGACGATGTCGCTATTTCCGATTGTCGATACACAAATAATGGGCGAAGATATTGCATGATTTACGACACTCAGGCGTGAAAAAAAAGGAATTCTATTCGGTCTTTTTTATTGCAGATAGCAAGGATGAAAAGCGCTTTACATCCATGGTATCTGGTAGAGCGACCCGCACTTTCGGACATCCGAAGGGCGCGATAGCCTCATCAGGCTTACAAATCTATATTTAATTATATCCCATTGGTTTACCGAATATTAAATCTGGATAATGTTGGATACGAAGGGCTAGTGAGTTATCTCGTGCCAAACATTACATGAATCCTTTATTTGTCACATAACGTTGTTCAATTGGGATCGGTGGAGATATTTAAATCCGCTCATCGCCAGCCCCTCCTGATCTTACATCATCTTCACTGCTCACTTTTTTCAACACTTGAAATCCTTACTACCAAGGTCATAACTAGGGATTAATTGGGCCGAAGGCACGCTTTGAAGAAATACCATCGTCCAAATAACATCGCGTCACTCAACATGCCATCACCCACCCGAGCAAAGCACTTGGTGCCAGGTGACAAGATCGCCTTCATCTCACCATCAGAGCGCATCAACAGCACCCTCCCGAAAGTCATAGACCGAGCGACGGAAGTCCTCACAAACAAAGGCTTCCAGGTTCAGACTTTCTTCAACGAAGATACAGGAATCCAATCCTGCATCGAGAACCGTCTCTCCGAGATCCGGGCAGCGTTCTCAGACCCCAGCATCTCAGGCATCATCACCACCATCGGCGGCACAACTTTTACAGAACTTCTACCTGCTCTTATCGCGGACAGAGATCTGCATGAGACGATTCGCGCCAATCCTAAAGTCGTGGTGGGATATTCGGACATCACGGGCTTGCATTGGTTCTTGTATGCCATGACAGGTCTGCGCACTTTCTACGGCCCGGGTGCTGTTCCCGAAATCGGTGAGCCCAACGATATAAACGACAAAGATACGCCCCTGGCGTTCTGCGTGGATAATCTGATGCACGCTGTCGCGTCTCCTGAACCATTGGGTCAAATCCCACGGTCGAGATACTATGCCCCAAGAGGAGCACCTTTCTTTACAGATGCGACATCGACAGAACCACCAAATGTTATCAGTACAAGCGAGTGGCAGTGGTTGAGACCTGGTAAAGCCCAGGGCCGATTGTTTGGAGGTTGTCTCACCGTCGTGGCACGTTTAAGTGGTATTCAAGCGATAGTCCCTGACTGGCGCGGCCGAATCGTCTTTCTCGAGACGGCTACAAACGAGGATGCTTCGGGCGGGAACCCACCTCATCGTGTTCAGGCGGCGTTTGCGGACTTGATAGCCCAAGGTGTCTTTGAGGACGCCGCAGGTCTGGTTGTGGGACGACCGTATGGATACGATTCAGATGAGGATAGGGAGACATATGCTGGTATCATCAAGGGTCTTTTCTGTGAGGGACGCCTTGCGTCCAAGAGCTTCCCCATCCTGTTCAACGTGGACATCGGACATACTGTTCCAATGGTTACATTGCCTTACGATGCGTTGGCGGAACTCGACTCTGAGGCTGGCACTTTTGCTGTCTTAGAAGCTGGGGTGGAGTGAAAGAAAGGACGCAAAAGATAAGATTTGTATCACCATAATATCAAGATATCAATCTATAATCCACCGTTAATATGTATCCGAGAAGCTATATACATTAGTCATACATGGTATCTTTGTTTAAACATCATAAAGTCATTAACGAAACTCTCTCGAAGGTGTCGCCAACTGTGCTTAGATGACACCACCAAGTAAGCTCCAACGGCAATCCAACTTAACCCTACGGCCGTAGACGATGCGGCTCGCAGACGTAACCCTAACATAACTCGTCCTTATCTCAGGCCCTCTGCCTTGTCCCGCGGAATTTTGAGTTTGCCAGGTCACGATGTGCTTCCAAGTATACTCTCGTCTGACTGTGCTGACTAGGAAGTGAACCGCATACGGATTCTACCCTCAGGAGTGCTTGGAAACACCATGCGCCATCGCGTGGCATTCTCAGAGGGGAAAACGCCTTTTCCAGCATATATAAGCGGCTCGACCGGGTAGGGTCCCCTTGAGAACGGCGGGGATAATGGGATGAGACAAAGCGACGGTCGCATTTGCGATTCTCGGTGGTTGTTGTAGCATCCGCATTCCAAGGTTGTTGCTAATTTTGTTGCCATGCCATAACGCCTCCCTTGACCTTCTCCATTGAAGAGGCCACGTCGTTGGTCAAAACCCAATCAAAAAGGTTTGACGTTTGTTTTGCGTTTGCTGATCAAATCTAACCTCGCTGCTCTGATCGAAGAAGAGCCACGCCAGTGACAATTGTGAGTGTGAAGAAGACGGAGGTAGCTACGATTAATATGGCCGCGTATCGATCCCACTCGTCGCCATCATACTTTCGAAGATCTTTCGTCCAGTCGGGCATATCGATAGTCCCTCCCTGTACGAGCCATGTCGAGACGAAGATCAAGAAGACGATGAGTGCGAATAGAGCTTGCCAAATGCCAAACAGGTTTCTCCCCACGGACGAAGTCCGGAAGCGTCGCATTATCTTGGAGTTAGACATGATGGCTAGGCAGTAAACAATAAAATGTAGTAAACAGATAGATGGGAATTATGGTTACGACGCATGGTAGATGGCAAAATGAGGCACCGAATAACGGTGCGAAGCAAAGAAAGCGGTCCTGCAAGGTATTTAATCGATAGAGGCACTAACTCTGTAGGGCTCGGGGAATATTAAAGTGCCGGTTGACTGCCATCCCTTGGCTGGGAGATCATTTGACGTGACGTGGTGGTCTGATATAAGCGCTAGATCTGCGGGGGTGCTGAGACGGAGGCTTGCTTGTCCTTGGAAATTCATGGTCGTCAGCCAACTGTGAACAAAGGCTGGGCTTGGGTAACATGGATCATGGCACTCAGCTGGACGACATCTCCAATCAGAGAAGCGCATTTCCCCGAAGGTCCCGAAACAATGACAAACGTTGCACACCTTATTTTCTCCAGATGCTCAAAGCTCCTCATAAACTGCAAAAAGAGGCAAGACGCGGAAGCACGGGCTTAAACGGCTTCCGCGGATTGACGAGTCCGTTGATCTGTCATAGATCTGATCGGCCAAGACGTTTTGTCCAAGATGCTCTGCTAGCGCGATTCTGACTTTGTCGCAAGTGCATTCACGACAAGGAATAGAAAATTGATTGCAATTATATTCTATCACCAAATTGAACCACCGGGCATGCCGTGTAATGGGCTGGTTCATTGGATAGATGGCGTAAGAATAAAGACAAGAATTGCTTTTGGGCCAAGGCCTTGTTCGTGTTCCATGAAAGAAAAAGCACCAATTGAACATATCTCTTCTTGGCTGTTGGTGGTGTGACGTCGAAGACAAGGCAGTGTTGGCCATACTTTTGTCAGTTCAACTGAGCACAGCCCAGCACAATAGGGTACATATTGTCAAAATGAATCAGAACAATTACATAAGCTCAAGCGAAAGCAGCTTGGCGCAGTGGAAGCGCGGTATGTTTATCTCAAAATTCGAGATCTCATCAGGCACTAACCCCTCTCAGCCGGGCTCATAACCCGGAGGTCACTGGATCGAAACCAGTAGCTGCTATTGAAGCATTACTCTTTTTTTGCATTTTTTTCACGTATAGTAACCCTTCTTTTCTATTTCCGCTTTTTTTCATACCCTCAATCAGTGTTGTTCGATCTTCTGGGCTTTCGTGTTGAAGCCCTTCTATCTTGTGCAGGGAAGTGTTCACCGCAGCACAAATAAATTCTTACTTACTCTAAAGGACAGCGAAATCAGGTCACTGCCTATCACAACCTCAGCACTTGCAATCCCCCAAAAAGAGAATATCGTTGCAGATAATGATCTATGCTTGATTCCCTTCTCCAACACGTGGACTTAGCACAAAAACTGCTCAAATAGCGACGCGACTTCGATGTTGCGCGGCTGATCGTGACGAAACGTTTCCTTACCCTAAACCAGATCATCGAATCTCGATTTACTCGATGACGATCGTTTCACAGTGGAGCCGCTCCGAAGCTTATCCTCATGATAAACCCGGTGCCAAGCGTCCAGTGACAGAAGACAAGCCTGACAAGCACTGTCTAACTTCGCTTCGTTCAAGCTAACTGCTAATTCTCCACCACTTCAACTGCAAACGGCGTCAATTGGCGTAAGTAATTCTATATAAAGTTCAGCTCGCAAAGACACTGTCTGTAAATGGATATGCAATAATCAAGCAAGTAAATTATCAGCCATCTATCCATCTTCCGACAATTGAGTCGTTGTCTCCTCGGCCCAAAGAACAATCTGAGCCGGACCCGAGCTGGTCACAATGATCGCATTTGTACGTCAAGACGTGTCACCACTCCTTTTAGACCTCGGTTCCTGACAAAAAGCAAAATTTGAGGCGCTAAGGCACTGTCTCATGGGGCACACAAACGGGTATCCCAATATCTGAAGCCAGGAGTTCGTAAGTTCGGATGATAATTGCCGTGTAGAAAGGAGATGGATGTTACAACCTTTCACTTTATTAATGCAAGAGATAGAGACTGATGAGATCCGTGACGCTTTCATAGGCAAGCGTGAAAGTGCTGAGCAACCTAAGAATGCTTCAAGGTAAGCTTAAACACTGCATTCATCTCTAGCTACGCGTCCTGATCGTTCCAAGGCCTTGGTATCATGTCCTCTTCGTATCCACTGTGCCCCAGTTCAAACTTCAGCTTTGTGAGGCTGGCGAGGGTTACATACAGATCACCAAATCCTTCTCCATTCCCCAGGCTTGTTTCTCAGCTGGACCCAAATAAACCAAGGCGCGCCCCCTGCTTCTGGGTCGAAACAAAAGATCTCGGTCAATTCTCCATCGAAGTATTATCCAATTGACACCTGTGCTTTCTAATCCTGGGCAGTTGATCAGCCGTTGCATAGCTATATCGGGAGATAGCCCCATCGCTTGCTTGAAGTTGACGGATGAATTACCGAAAATGTTTTAGTAAAATCGATAGTTTGCCCTTTCTTCCAGCCAATAGTAAGTAACACGACTGATCGAAGACATTGATCTGGATTATATTGTATGGAGTACGATTCCCAACAACTTGAAACGGTTTGTGTCACTACGTCAGATGCCATCATGACAATTGTGTGGTAGGGTTGAGATAATGGAGAATAATGGGTACCGTAATCATACTGAGATGCCTATATAATGACCGCCAAAAGTCTGTTCTAGCAGTTAGATCAGCATTGAGAAGAGTACGGGTTCTAGAATAAGCTTTCCCATCTCATTGCCACCATGCGTTTCTCCCTCTTCGCCGCAGCGCTTTGCGCACCCTCAGCCTTATCATTCCCCTGGCTAGCACCCGAGGGAATGGATGCTCTTATGAACCACCCCGAGGCGCGTGCCGAGATCGACCGTCGGCTGAGAGAACACCAAGCTGGTCAAGGTCAACAAGAAAAACGACATGAGACCCGACAACTCAAGACTGGACTGGTCGGTGGCGTTGTGTCTCTACTTGGTGGCACTGTCGAGGCGGTGCTAGACAATGTTGTTGGACTTATTCCCACCAACAAGGCTGTCAAGGGTTTGCAGAAGTTCCCCGAGAAGTCTCATCCTTTCAAAGCCCCTGGAAAGACTGATCAGAGAGGTCCTTGCCCTGGCCTCAACACGTTGGCTAACCATGGGTGTAAGTAACAAGCATATAACCTTGGGGAACAGCTCTAACAAACGGCAGATATTCCGCGAAACGGCATCGCCACAATTGGTCAAATCCAAGCTGGAACGGCGAAGGTCTTTAACATGGGCGCTGATCTGTCTGCTCTTCTCGCCGTCGGCGGTGATGTTGATGGTGGCGATATTCTTTCTCAGAAGATGAGCATCGGTGGACCTGATGATCGTGTTGGTCTTCTCAACGGCGCTTTGAACAAGATCTTTGGCAAGCCATCTGGCATTGCTGGCCATGGTAAGTGTCTGTTCCATACACAAAAGCAACAACCACTAACAGTAACCCAGGCAAGTTCAACGAAGGTGACGCATCTGCCACCCGAGAGGACTTCTATCTCAACGGCGACAACATCTCGTTCCAGCCAAAGCTCTTCAAGCAGCTTCATCAGCAGGCTCTTGCCAAGGGTGACGGTACCTACAACGTCGATGCGGTCAAAGAACACTTCAAGAACAGATACAGAGACTCCAAGGCCGCCAACAAGCAGTTCTACTTCAATGCCCCGAGTGCCTTTGTGGTGATGGGCGCATATTACTTTGTGCCCGGCTTCTTCTCCAATGGTACTATTGGTGCTGGAGGCATCGCCAACGAAGCTTCCATCACTTCATTTTATGGCGCTAAACCTGCCTCGACTAAGAAGGATGCGTGGAAGAACAAAGATCTTGACTATACTCACGTTCCCGAACGTATCCCTGAGCAAGGCTGGTATCGTCGTGCTACACCCATGACCATCGTCGAGGCCGTTGGAGGGATTCTTGACGTCTACCTCTATGCTCTGCCAGCGTTGGGAGGATCTGGTGCCGATGGAAGCTGGGTAGTTGGCCCACTTGATCTCCCCAAGGATCCCCAGGGTTTGAGCTGTTTCATATACAACGCCATCTATGCCAACTTCCCTGCTGAGCTGTTCAACTCTGTCAAGCTTCTCCAATCCGTCCTCAATGGACTTTCTGAGACATTGGTGCCTGGATATAAGGCTTTGGGTTGTAAGGTGGATTTCCCTGATGCAAAGGGCTCTTCTGCAAGCAAGAAGTTTGCTGCTTATGAGAAGAAGTATGTTGGTCCTGCTAAGACCAAGGCTGTGGGTAGTGGTTGGTACGAGAAATAACGTGCCTATTGCATGATTAATTTTGCTATAATATCAATGTATAATAGACCAACCCGTCATTTGATCGTCACTCGAGACAGCATCGTGACTCTGAACATTCGCCTGCCAATCAGAAATCACGGAGCGACGTCCCATCCTCGGTTCTCGTCCGCCAGCAAATAGGAGCAGACTCCGTTGACAATGATTGGGGTTTCGACCGCTGACATAAGGATGCATATGACGTATCTGGCATTTCTCTCCTCCCTTCAAGTCACAATAAACAAAATCTCCCCTAACAATAACCAATACTGCCATTGTGAGATGGACTCAAAATACAAACCTATTCTCCCCCATCCGGGGCAACCACCAAGCAATACATCCAGTATCAATGTCTATGCACAAGAGACCGATAGCAAGAAAAGACGACGGTCCGTGCAACATATCGCCTGCAATCGCTGCCGCACCAAAAAGATTAGTGTTAGTGCACCCTTCACAACGTGCTTGCCTGCCCTTGTCTAATCGTTAGCGCAGTGCAATGGCGTCAAGCCGAACTGCAAACACTGCGAAAGAGCTGAGGTTCAATGTGAATACAGACATTTCCGGAGCTCTAATTATCCAGAAGAAGAAGAGATTTTCAATCGTCTTAGAGATAGTGAAAAGAATCAGCAGGTTCAGTCCGAAGTTCTTAATCTCCTCCGGTCTTTACCTCTGGATAAAGCAACACAGATGCTCCAGCAACTTCGAAGTGATTCAGATTTACCTACTGTTATTTCCTTAATACAGCAAAGCAGTAGTCTCATAGCGCGGCCTTCAGATCTCCGTGTGGCTCGGGCTGTAGCTCCGCCGACAGGGTCTGCTACAGAGTTTGAGCTTACTGCACAGTTCAGCGCAGCATATCCAAGATTACCGCCACCAGACTTAAAGGCATTGAGAGGGTTGCTCTGGAAGGACAGCGGTAGTAATGCTGCTCCCGCTCTTAGCAGAGTCCCAGGTCTTCTACCCTCCACATCACAAGATTCAAGCCAAACTGCTACTCCCTCAGCATCTAATGAGTCTTGCGAGAGCCGTCTCCAGAGCCTCCAGATTAGTTATTGGACTAAGATACCCGTGTCAGATGAAATGGCCGCATCTCTGATCTCCTTCTATATTGAAACCGACCACAATATTTTGGGACTCTTCGACGCTGATCTATTTCTTCAGGACATTGTTGAGTGTCGTCAAAGGTTCTGCTCGTCCTTTCTTGTCAGCGCGATATTATGTTTCGCATGTGTGAGTATTCCATTAAACCGCTGTTTTACAACATGTATGCTAAAGGCAGTAGCAAAGTTACACAGCCATCAAACCTCAAACGAACGAAATACGTCTCGCCGCTTTCAGTGAAGCCGAAATGCTCTGGCAAGGAGAGCGATCTGGGAAGATGTCGCTCACTTCTCTGGCGGCCATTGGCATCTTTAGCGCCGCCTGTCTTAATGAGGGAAAGGATGTGCTTGGTCAAGAACTGGCTGCTTCACTACGCCGAGAAGCTGATGGTCTGGGCCTTTGCGGTGATTCTGCAGATGATCTTAGCTCGAACAAGCTTTGCCTAGACTCATCAGAATGGGTGAGGGCAACCTCACAAATTGCCTGGGGGATATACGGCATGCTAACGTATGTGATCTTAAGCGTATGCCGGAGCTGTCCTGATTGTTTTGCTCGACTCTAGGATACATGTTATTTTCTATCGGCTCAAGCCGATACGATTCCCTCCAAGATTCCCTCTTCCGGGAGAGCGTGGGACCCATCCGTCACCACTGCCGCGAATAAGGACTACATTTTCTAATCTTTGTCGGCTTTGGACAATCGCTCAAGAGGTCCTGGGCGTATACACATACTCCAACAGCACACCAATCTCAGAGCGTGTACCATTGGCCTTTGTTGAAGCCAAGTACCAGAAGCTCCTGGTCTGGTCTAGTACTCTTCAAAACGACATGGAGCGTACCGAAGGCTGTAAATCTGATGTCATGATATTACAGTGAGTTACCGATTCCTTGGTCTGCCAGCCGCCTCTGACCTCAAGATAGTATCATGTTCCATGTTGTAGCAACCATCATACTACGTCCTTTCATCACGGTCCCCCGATCGGTGCGATTTGTTTCCCTAACTTCGGTGGACAGTCATCCCAAAGCAGTGTATACCGCGTCGGTAAACCAACTAAAAGACCTGGTATTCAACTACCGCGCAAGATATACCGAAGCTGACTTTACATCATTTTTCAACACCGGCCTTTTCACACTTAGCTTGGCTTTGCTCGAGGACATCAAAGATCCTTCCTGGCAGCATTACTTCTATCTCTGTTTGAGGTGCTGGCAGGATCTTTATATCTGTTACCCAATCTTTCGCGATGTAGCCAAAGCATTCTTGTCTATGGCTATGGAAAAGAGTGCCATTTCAGCACATGAAGCGCAGAGACTCCTGCAGGGTATTGAGAAGAGCGGGGAGCATCACATAGCGGCTGCAGAAGCTTTTACAAGTTTCCTCTTTGATCCTGGATCTAATAGGGCTAGTGAGGCACAGGTGCATTCCATGGCGGATAAATTTGAAGAGATGGTCGTGTTTGACGAGCTGATCAACACAGACTCTGCCTTGGCCTTCTAGGATACATAACCTAAAATGACCGAGATTGAGTATTGAAGAGGCTCAAGAATTATACTATAAGTGCTTGGAACACTATGTGATTGCTGTGGTAATGACTCTGGCTTGAGCCTACTTCGAAAATTAAATGAAGACAAACCAGTTTCGATGTAGTAACGGTTCGGCTTCAGTGGCTATCGTGTGAGTTAGAACCAATTTGCCACCTTTTAAATCCTTCGTCGCAGCAAAAGCACTGTTTCTGGTTAGGCAAAAGTATGCTTATTGGCCTTTCAATGCTGACAGACGTCACTCTGCAAGCCGTCTTAACTCCGGAACCTGTCAGCATTCAGTCTTCAAGCACTGACCCTGATTCATAAGCTGCAAATAATACGACAAACGTCATCCTGCACATCCCTGTTTGTCAAACGATCCGACGGAAGCTCCGTATACTCCGGCAGTCCGTGAAAGGGATTTGCTTGCTAATGGGGGATTTTCGCAACTAGACTCTCACGATTCTTTCGTAGTGACATTCTCTATACGAGTATACGAAATGCCGACCGATAGTTCATCCAAGATTGTTGGTGTGAGACGAAGAGCGTGTGTCAATTGCACGTCAGTCAAGTCGAAATGCCTTCCCCTCTCAGCTGACGAGTGTCAGCGTTGCAATCGCCTTGGCAAGCGGTGCACGTATCTAAATGTTGTTGAGAAGCGAAAGAGCCCTTCAAGTGCTTCGTATGTCCTATACCAGTCTGAAGTGGATAGCCCAAGAGACTAACCTGGTTACTAGTCGTACGAGGGTGTTGGAACAGCGGCTGAACAGAGTCTTGTCCATGCTCACTGAGAGAGCCAGAGGGACTCCATTGAGCGGGTTCATTACACAACTTTCCTCTGCCGACATTGGCATAGATCTGCTTGGGACGGACCAGATACCTGGGTTCTCGCTGCCTCGCAGCTTCGCTCCACGTCAGGCGTTAGATGTGATTGACCATGGGTTACTGACTCTGGACGAGGCCACGAGTCTTCTGGACAACTATCGAACCAAAGCTGTTCCTCACTTTCCCTTCGTCCCGATCTCAGCTGATACTACAGTCGAATCTTTGAGAACCTCTAAGCCCTTTCTGTTCATGTGCATCATGGCAACCATGAAAGTTGACAACTGCACAATTCAGCGACAGATCGGCGAGGAAGTCAAGATGCAAGCCCATCAGAGAGTACTGATGGAATCTGAGAGCAGTCTGGAACTACTCCAAGGAGTCCTGGTTTATATCGCTTGGTATCAATATTTCTTCAGCTACGAGAAGCAACAGATTGTCCAACTTGCACAGCTATGTGTATCACTAGTCCACAACCTGGGTCTTGACCAGAACCCGAACAACACTAGACGCAAAGTGGACCTTGGCCCCGACGAGACAGCGCCTGGTCGAAAGGCAGCTCGGTCTACGGATCAGCTGCGGGCTCTTCTTGGAACCTACTGTACTGCCAGTTGGTAAGTTACCTCGACCAGATACAGGAGTGGGTGCTAATTGTCAGGGTTTCTACCAAGTTCCGAACACGCTGTGCTATACCTTATACTGGGTATATCAAGCAAAGCTGGGAGCTTCTTGTTGCGCGAGAAGAGTACCCGAGTGACATTCTTATTGCCCATCTCGTTCGTATCAACGAGCTAAGCCGTCGAATCTGTGATACCTTTGGGTACGATGATTTAGAAAATACAGGAATCAAGGGCGAGTTTGTTAGTTCGATGGCTTTGCAGACACTAAGTAATGAGTCAACGTTACTCAAATCGTCTGTGCCACCAGCTATCCAGAATGAATGTTAGTCAGAACCTTAGTCTTCCTTTGACCAGAATAATTACTAACAAGGGCATAGTCGCGATCAAAGTCGAACTGTACTTGCTTGATACATTGATAGGTGAGGTTTCATTGCATGATGACTTCTGGGACCACTCAGGAATGGCCAACTCGTTAGCAACGAGCAATCCTTCTTTGTCTACAAGCACCCGACTCTCAATTCTGTTCAACTTACTGCGAAGCTGTAAGGCATTGAACGATGCCGTGATTGACTGCCCGGACGAAGATCTCTGGTACATCACTTTCTACACTACCGCAAAAGTCTGCAGGACGCTTTCATGTCTATCAAATGCTGGCAAGATTTGGCCTGAAATATTCAGAGACGTAGGGCTTGCTCTAAACAGCATGAACTTCTCGTACCCAGGCACTTCTCTCTACGACGCTAGTACTATAGAAAGAGCAGCCGATTTACAAGGTGAAGCGGAGCGCCTGCGAGCCAAGTTCAAGAATCTCTCACCACTGGTGCAGAATACTGGCGATGAGGCCGACATCATGTTTGGCTTTTCTGATATGATATGGGCGGCATTTATTGCTTATGACCAGGCACGAGGGCTTGACCAAGGCCCTCTCAATTTCGCCTTTGATGCGGCGTGTTCGACGCCTGAGATTGGTAGTTCTGGAGGATACTTGTCAAGTACCGGCTCTGGCAATGCGACGGATGCGGTGTTGGATTTGGAAGGAATTGACGATTCGACTTGGGAAGAGTTGCTTGCTGGAATTACTACTGCAACTGAGCGTGAGCCGGTGTTACTTTGACTACACAATGATTATCTTTATAGTTCTTGTTTGCAATTTTGAAAGAGGAAAGATTGGCCAGATTAGAATTAAGTCCGGGTTTATAGTTCATATTAAAGAGCAGTCCGTGGGATTCCGCCCGACGTCATACCTATGTACTTGAATGATACCTTGCATATAGAAAATACATACGTTTAAGATGATTGGTCATCTGGCTGTTGTATTTGGTGGTCGGAAATTCCGTCCGTGGCGAGGCCAGCCAAACTGGGTCGTCTCTGCCAAGAAATCTGCCTTGAGAAAGAAGATATAAGGAGGCCCTCAAGAACTATTGTTTGTGTGCAATCCTATCTTCTCGAACTCTTTCATCAAACGGTTAAAATTTCTATAAGCTTGTTTCAGTGACCTCAAGACGATCATACACCGTCATGCCTCCCCCAAAAGGAACCCCCAACCCTCTCGAAGGCCCAGGTCAGCAGTACTTCTATCATCATTATCTCGCACAACAGCTAACTCTTCAAAGGCGACTACGATGTTACCTCCGAGGTTCATTCCGACACCTATCCCGCCATTGACCCAACGAACTTCAACCTCAAAGACAAGACCATTCTCGTCACAGGAGCATCCCGAGGCTTTGGACGAGCCATGTGTGTCTCTTTCGCCAAGGCTGGAGCTTCGCGCTTCGTAGTAGCTTCGCGATCCGACATGTCAACCACCGCTGAAGCCATCAAAGCTGCAGCAAAGGAAGTAGGACGCCCAGAGCCCGAGGTCCTAACCATAAAAACCGATGTCGGAGTTCCAGAAAGCGTTGATGCTTTGGCGAATGAGATTGATAAGAAGTTCGGGTCTTTGGACGTTGTGATCAACAATGCAGCATTCATGAAATTGGCTTCTATCGCCGAGTCAGATCCTGCCGATTGGTTGACAACTCTAACAGCGAACGTCTTTGATCCTTACCTTGTTGCGCGGGCTCTTGCACCTCTGCTTCTCAAATCTGAGACAAAGACCATCATTAACATTGCTAGCGTTGGTGCTCATCTTATTTCACCCACTATTAGCGCATATCAAATCTCGAAGCTGGCGATTGTGAGATTGACCGAGTTCATCGCGGTCGAGTATGGAGACCAGGGCATTGTGTCTTACTGTGTTCATCCTGGCAATGCTCCGTCAGAAATGTCTGGTGGCATTGAGGGTATTCCAGAGCCGCTGAGACCAGGTTAGTTCTCCGCTGCTCGACTTTCCTATTACCATTGACTAACAGATACTTTAGCATTCGTCGATACTCCTGAACTCACTGGAAACTCCCTGGTATACTTGGCATCCGAAAGACGACCATGGTTGGCTGGAAGATACATAAACTTGACTTGGGATATGCCAGAGTTGATGTCGAAGGAGCAGGAGATTGTTAAGGACGACAAACTGAAAGTTCGTCTCGCGTTTTAGTCATCAATATTATAGAGTTACTAGAATTTCAAACTTGAGTCCTTTACTATGTAAGTATAACATTGCTCACGTGAACACATATCTCGCAGTGACCATATTCTGTCGAGGCAACGACAATCGTAGGCGAAAGGTGAAGTAGCTGGAGTCGTCTCGAATCGACGAGCAGCAAAACTAGTAGGTTGACAATGCTCACAAACATGGCGATCATGGAAATATTGGATAGTGGTAAAGTACATATTAAGTATAGTCTATCTGAGTGACGTGACAATGAGTGGCGCGCCTATTCTATGGGATATCATAATACATCAAGATTGGTCGTTAAGTACATCGGTTTTTTTTTTTTTCCCCTACTCTTGCTTTCCTTCCTCAACAGCTTGAGGCTTCGATTGATCCAAACATCTCTTCTTGACACTGAAGAAAGCAGTGACATGTCCAACAACCCACCAAGCAAACAAAATAGGTAGACCAATGTGCAGAGAGTTGCCGCATCCAGACCAAACTTGGATGAGAACGATCCATAGAGAGTGAGCAGGGAAGATGTATCCAATACGGTAAAAGCCAGCGGTAAGCTCAAAGGGATAGACAACAGAAGCGACGTTGACCATGAACCAGGTAAGAAGGAAGAAAGGTGTAAGAGGCATTGGCACAAAACTGCCAATGACAGTCTCCAGAACCTGGAAGTTGACATCCATGAACAGCCAGAAAGTCAACCAGGTTAAGGCCCACTGACTACCGCTGACGCCCCAATCCTCGCGGAAAGCCCAGATGTAGCCGGTGACGACGACGGCGAAAAGCATGGAGAAGATCTTGCCGTTGATGAAGCGCATAGCCCAGACATCGCGAACGCGCATCTTTTTGTGAAGGCCGAACTTGTCGTAGATGCCATTCATGGCGAGGACGTAGAAGAATTGTCCGAGAATAGCCATGACGATGTTGATGGTATTGTACAGGGTTCGGGAGCCTTGGTTGGTAGGGCGGATGACATCGGGTGTGCTGGTGATGGGGTTGAGGTAGGCCTCGACAGCGGCTGGGTCGCTGGTGTTGAGACTGCGAAGAGCAGAGCGGCCTTCTTGGGTCTGGTAGTAACCGCCACGAGCAGCGCCGAGAATGGCCTGGAAGTTGGGGATTAGATAACCAGACGCGACAGTGGGATATCTAGCAGCATTGTAGACGTAGGTGATGCTGTCGGCAGGCTTGTAGTCCTCAGCAGCAGAGCCACCTTCATAAGCAGCAGCCAGACGGTCGGATGCGCCCTTGTTGATGTACAGAGCACCCCAGTAATCAGCCTTGCAGACACTCTTCTTGACATCAGAAGTCTCGGGGTATTCATCGGCGGAGTGGAACTCGAGAGATGGGAAAGACTTGTCCTCCAACATCTTGTAAGCGTTGGCGACGGACTCGCCAACAGCACCACCATCGTAATCGACGACAAGGATCTTAAGGGCAGAGACTCGATCGTTGGTTCGGAAGGATGAACCGAAGAGGTATGAAAGGTCGGCAAGGAAGATGACGAGAATGGCTACCATGACTCCAGTGAGGATCTTGATAACCAGTCCTCTCTTGGCTTTCATCTCTGGTGAGTTGATGCCTTGTCGCTCATTGTCATCCACAGTGGGCTCATCGTGTAACGTGGGGGCAGGGGACGAAGACTGGTTTTCTATATCGTTGGCGGCCATTGTGATCGCTGGAGATGAAAAAGATGATGTGCAAAAAACGCTAAATGGGAATAAGCTTGTATGGCACTGCAGGGACCAGCGAAGTATTTATTTTAATGGGGAGTAGAGAACCACAAAAGATAAACTGTTAGTCAGTTTGATAGAATTAATTATGCCGAGATTGCAGGCAGTATAAATAAAAAAGATCCATCATGGTGCGATTCCAATCCAAGCCTGGACAATTTCTGCATGTGTCGGTCATGTTTGCATGTCCGAAGAGCGAGCTAAAAAAGTCAACAGCGATCAAACAGCCCACAGTGACCCAGTGTAGTGCACTCTTCCAGTAAGCTTACAGGGGTTCAGGGTCTCGAGCTAAGGCCGTTCGCGACGCGACGGCGGAAACTACAAGCTTAAACACCGAAAGATGGCGCTAAAATCCGGATAGATAAAGAAATCGTGAATCCTCTGATGGGGCACGGAAGATTAAGGAGGGCGGTCTTTTGCAAACCTCCGCTGACTAACTACTACTCATCCAATAGAATTCTGTAGACCGAAGAAAAGACCGTCGATAAGATAAGCCCTGCAAAAGACCGATCGGTGTCCGCACAACATTTTCACCGAGATGATCCTTTTGTTATCTGCGCTTACGGATACATGATTACCTCAGATCATTGACGTCAATGAAGCACATCTTTGTTCTGTTTCACCATCCATCAATTGAGCCGAACCCGACAATCGCAAACAATTCTCTCTCACTGGCTTAGCAATCGCAGCCTGGTTCGTAATTGACTTGGTTTTCACTGCAGTGGTGACCTCATTTTGCTTAGTCCACAATCTGTCTTGCACGACTCACAACGGTGAGGACGCATGTTCATTGTAATTGTGTAACGTTTGGGCAGGCAACTCGAGCCTGATCTCAGTGCACGACGTCATGAGTGATCAAACTGTCCCGATGTTGTCCTGTTTGTCTTTATTAATGCAGTCTAATCATTGATCATGCCCTCGTGTGTCAATTCTCGGAAGACAAGCTGCGCTCAGCGACATGAATACAAAATCTCGTGGCATCATAGTCCTCCAGATTCCTAGTGTATTGGGTGACTGGGTTTGACGCTTAAAGAAAAACAAGCGTAATAGCAGACATTGAATGCCCTTTGTAGGAAGAGCGGCAAACCGTTGTTGTTAACATTCTTGGCAGTTCCTATACCCTATACAAATGATACCATTGTTACTTGCATACATCCCAATCGTCCAACTACAATCTCCAGATTGATCATGAACTTGCCATGTAATATTCTACGTTCTTGTTTGCACAGCAAAAAGCCGACAATAGGTGATAAGTTTTGTGTCTTCAGTAATGTTTATTATGAAGATATGTATAGCTCAAGATCAGGGTGCCCAAGAATGTTGCTGCGTGGACATCATTGCGAAATTCTCTAGGTCACTGCCAAGCTACCCGGAAGTCGCTGCGAACAATTTAAAAGGAAGCGAAAAACAGCCTTCTCGTGTTCAGACGCTTGGATCTGGTGTTCCGAGTATCACCAGACCCTAAGTTATTAATCCACTACGTTCATCCCCCCACTACTTATTTGTGAAACACTTCAACCTGTGGCTCAGTTCTTCGCCTTAGCTAGGGATTGTGAGCAGTGAAAGATGTGAAAATTGACATACCTATTCCGCGAGAGTTCGGAGGTTCAATCTGTGTAAATAGATTGCTGTAAGACAAGTGAATGTGACAACCCCAGATGGAGAGTTGATGAGAAATGGCATGAACAAACACTGCAAAATCTGACAAGAATCTAGATTTACTTAAATTATAAGTTTGTAACTGCCGTACCTTGCATACGCAATATCCAGTGTAAAACACGATTTCTCTTTGGAGCAGCTATGGAAATTGTTATCACCCATAACACGTGCTCATGCTGCTTGCTAGGCGACAAGACGAGCCTTTGCGATGAGGGTGGTCCCAGCTTCGAATTTTGACATGTCAGTAGACGTGGGAAATGAAAGGGTAACGCCGTCTCTCTCGGGATGAAGAAATACGACGACTCATGACTGAGGCTGACGACGAGTAAGGAGGCCAAGTTATTGGTTACACAAGGCGGAGAACAGCAACACAGGCACAGTATACTGTTTAAGAAATGGCTGTATCACAGTGGTATATCGCACAAGAGTGGTTGGAAAGAGGCAGAAAAGCCCAAATCGTTCAAGTGCCCGGAAATGGTTGTACGGCCAAGAGCAGGCTTGACGAGCCTCAGAGTTCGGGGTCGATCAACGCCATATCCGGTAGTGCTGGAAATGGTCCGCGGAACAACGTGGGCTATGAGCTAACAAGACGGATTTAGCAACGGACGAAGCGCCAGAAGAGAAAACTTGGGGAAAAGAGGAAGGCGCTTCGTGCGCGTTGGTGATACCAGGGAAGCTGAACCGGCTAAGGCGTGGGTGGCGTTGCATTGTTCTGTTGGACGGTAAATCACAAACGCTTCTAATTGGAAGATTCTGAAACAGGCTCTGCAATTTGCAAATAGTTGGTGATTCCATAAAGCTTCCAGATGCATATGATCTGCAGAGAACAATATCAAACGACCAACAACGGAAGCTAGGTTCGTCCCCGCGAGTGGATCGTGCATATTTTGCTCTTCGCATATCTTACCAGGGTGTCTTTCCTATTGTTCGGTGTCTTACTCTCGACCAACACACAGCCAATTCCGGGGCAAGAGCAAGGCTGCAACTTCCAATAGGCTGCAGTGTCAGTGATTCACTTTCACTCCTCCTTCCTCAATTCTCTGAACAGCAGCCAAGGCACAGGAAGAGGTATTTAGGGCACTCTTCTTCCCTCTCAACCGCACTCTTTACTTCTCGTCCTTCACACCTCTCATCATTCTTTACCCATTACCTCTACTAGTCGTATCTCAACATGCGCTTCAGCATTGCCATTGCGGCCTTGATCCCCTTGGCCTTTGCCAAGACATCCTACAAAAACTGGAAGGCGTACTCCATCGACACTGCCGGCTCTACCCATGATGATGTGGTGAAGGCCCTGAAGGGAATCAATCACATCCCGATCGGCGAGCATCACGATGCTATTGAAGTCGCGGTGGACCCGAAAAGCCTTGGCAAGTTTGAAGGTCTTGACTTGAACGTCAAGCTTTTCATCAACGACATGGACGAAGAGTTTGCCAAGGAGGGAGCATTTGAGGAACTCGGCGGTAAGTAATCCTCATTTGTTGACACTTACCAAAGCTAATGTTCTGTAGCTGCACGCACTCATGGTAGCAAGAAGGTTGCCTATCCCGACCAGTCTTACTTCAAGTCCTACCATAGTTTTGAACAGCACACCCAGTTCCTCAACGATCTGCAGAAGTCGTTCTCCAAGAACTCTGAGGTTTTCACCACCGGCAAGAGTGTTGAGGGCCGAGAGATTAAGGGCATTCACCTCTGGGGCAAGCGCGGCAAGGCCAAGAACCCAGCCATCATCTGGCATGGAAATGTCCACGCTCGCGAGTGGATTAGCAGCATGGTAAGTGATACTTGTTCATTAGCGAGGAATTGATTGGTACTAATCTCCGTCATAGACTGTCGAGTACCTGGCCTGGAAGCTAGTCCAAGGTTACGGCAACAAGGAAAAGCTCGTTCGATCAATCATTGACACTCATGACTTTTATATCATCCCAATTGTCAACCCTGACGGTGAGTTTCACACACTTCAATCCAGAAGTTATAACGCATTTACTAATACTTGTCAACTAGGCTTCGTCTACAGCATCAAGTCCGATAGACTTTGGCGCAAGAATCGCTCCAAGGATGACAAGAAATGCATCGGCACCGATATGAACCGCAACTGGCCCTACAAGTGGGATATTCCTGGCGGTTCTTCCACAAATCCTTGCGATGAGACCTACCGAGGTCGCAAGCCTGGCGACACTCCCGAAATTAAGGCTCTCACAAGCCACGCCCTGTCTGTCAAGAAGAAGACAGGAATTCGTTCCTACATCGACTGGCACTCATACAGTCAACTCATTCTCCTGCCCTACGGCTACACCTGCGACCTCAACGCGACAAACACCAACTACCAGATGAAGCTGGCAGGAGAAGTCGCCGCTGCAATTGAAGACAACTCGGGAAGCGACTTTCTTTATGGTCCAACTTGCCAGACCATTTATCAGACTTCGGGTGGAAGCAGCGATTGGGTTTTCGATGTTGCTGGGGCTGAAATCGCCTGGGGTATTGAGCTTCGGCCTGGTCGGTTGACAGGTGACGGCTTCGTGCTCCCGCCCAAGCAGATCATCAAGTCGGGTGAGGAGATTTGGGCTGGTATGTCGGCTTTGTTCAAGGACCTTGTGAAGAAGGACAAACCCAAGTATGGACACTAAAGGGTGCTAAGAAGGGAACTGGGAAGGACTTTTTTTAGTGAAAGACCCCAGAATGATTTCTGCTAGGGTCGTGCATTGACGCTGACCAGTGCACAAGGGTCAAGGTTTGGGGTCTCCCAGCGCGAGACTCAATAGATAAATAACAATAAAAGCACTCTGCTTACATCGGAAGTCCATCGTTCCTACGACGAAATGGAGTATATCATCCTTAGTTTGTGCTTTGTCATCAAGCAAATCGGTGAGATGGCCGAGTTGGTTATGGCGCCAGGTTAAGGTTAACCTTAACACCAATTTCCTGGTGGAGCAATCCTCCTGGGTTCGAGTCCCAGTCTCATCAAGCATTTCCTTTTTGCATTTTTGGCCAATTCATACGGTCAACTCAATTGCCAGGTAGCACCGAGATCCTGAGGCTCTTTGCATTTTACCATCATCCACATTATCTACCTGGGGTCCTTTTGTTGTTCTTGTTGTTTTTGTTGAGACGTCGCTGGGATGTGGATTGATCCTGGTCAACAGGTCTGCAAAAATCCCTTCCGCCCAAAGGCTTTACTTGAGTTGCTACACGAACAACTATGCATGAAGGCTTCCAGTAGGTAAGACGAAGGGTAGTACAGGAGGTTGGTGTCTCATTGTTGGAGTCTTGTGCCAAGCCATCCAGCCACCTAAAGTCTCAGCTCCCGGGCAGTCAATCTGACAACCTGCCTGCTGAGAGAGGCCGCCTGAGGTTCAGCCCCTGCAAGGTCTGCTAGCGGGCATACCGTAGCTGAAGAAGAAGTGTGCCCACTAATATTAGGTGAGCATGCAGCTACGAAAATTGCTGATGTCGCAACATTAAGCCAGCATGCTTCAGACCCAGCGACTTCCTTTGCTATCGCACCCTGAATCATTGTGTTACCATTCAATTGAATCTAAGTAGCGGTGCTCAATTGTGGGGAATAAAAGTCAATGTCTCATTCAAGGCCAAGACAAGCGGAAGCAGGACATGATGGTCCTCCCGGTCGGCATCTCGGGGACTCTCACAGCTGAAGAACAGCCTTGTCAGATTGACATTCAGTACGAACACTTACAGCCCTGGCAACGGGCTTGGCCATGCATCTCTCAGGGCCTCATTTGCCGACATTCGTGCATTAGTTTGCGCTACCCTGGCAGCAATGAGTGAAACATTGTGCTCGCTTCGGACGACCCGTCTTTGACCGCCCGAGTGATGGCGGAGATCACTGCAGATCTCAGCAGACACGACAGACAAACAGTCGGAGTAAGATCTTGAGTCGTACATGGTCTATCTATTATATAAAGCAGTGACTCGTCCACTTAAGTTCATAAACAACAACTGAACTTCACGACTCTCTACCTACACCTGCTGCCAAGATGCTTCCTTCATTCCTCCTCTCATCCTTGCTGTGCTTTTCCACCGTCTCAGCTCTGCCCAACCCAATTGTGGCAGAACGAGCATCCTGCGACTGCACTGGCACACGCGACGGCGGCTCCAACTCTAAGGAGTACATCTGCCGTGATGCTCGACTCGGCCCAACCAGGCTTCCAAAGAAATTGCCTTTGAGCACTTTCGTTGAGAGCTACAACCGCTTTGGTGGCCTGACGCCAGCTCAGTTCCTATTGACATGGACCGATGAGAAGGGATCCTACAGATACCCACCTCAGAATGTATGTCAGTAATCTTCTATCTATGAGCTATACTAACTTTACTCAGGGTTTCCAGCTTGATGCTGAAGGTAATGCCATCAACGGAAGCATGGTACTTCCCGTCGGAACGCTTGTAGACCGATTTGGAAGCGAATACGGTCAGTTTCTGGTTACTGTTGCTCAAGCCAGACGATCTAACTAACTCTATTCCAGGATCCTTTATCTCTGCAGCTGCTGCTCCCTACTCACAGCGCGCTCTTCCACCGTCAAACCTGGCCACAAACCCTGATACTCCCGACTTCCCCTACAACTACCACGTGTATCGTGTCATCAAGCCGCTACCTGTTGTGGGAGGACCTATTGCGCCTTGGTTCGGTCAGCCTGGGCTCGGGGCACAGTTCTTTACCGGAGAGTTGGGCAACGTCAAGTTTCTGATTCAGCAGAGCTACTTGCAAGCAGAGGACCCGCAGGCTCTTGTCTATAAGTCTGATGGTTGCGCATGATACCAGTATTTGCCTGCATAATGTTTCATAATCCGTTTATGAAAGGAATATCATTTGATTTATCTCACTTTATTTCTTCTTGGTTATTAATTGACGACTGCAAAAAGAACGCCTCTTCCAATGGATACCATCCCCAGCTCCAGTGGGTTCGAATTGATGGGTAGGCGGGAAAAGATTGCCATAGGGTGCCAGAATCAAGAAGACTGTATGCTAGCCTTAACCCGCATAAGATGATCAAATTACTTCGCTCGTTGTCTTTTCAACGGCCGAATCTTCAGACACCCTAACAAGAGGTTGTGTTAAGTAACAAATTTAAGATTGCCTATTCTCGAACCAGAGGGGCAAAATAAAATTCTCTAGATCTCGCCATCTCCATAATGCAACCTCCGAGCAACAAATAACAGTGAAGGATCTTTATCTCCGCAGCATCAATCATCCCCGGCCACTAACCCCATGGAGCGACACAGTCCACTATATGGGGCGATAATGCTAATTTTGAGACACTAGCGACTTTTAAACAGCGATCTACCTATCATTACAGGCACACAAACGGTTACACGGCATCTGTATTGCAACATGGAGGAATAAAATCCCTCGTCTTTGGAGAAAGTTCAGCCTCCGACTCTGACATCTCAATTCCTCTTCCCTACAAACAACTTTGAGAAAATGGCCTCACATTCGGACCCAGCGACGACGGAGCCCAAGGACCTACATGATGAACCCGTCAAGAAGGATGTGAGTGCAGGTATTGTGGTGCCTGCACTGGCAGAAGGCGAAATGCCTGAAACTTCGAAATGGGAGATCTGGAGTTGGTATGCTTATTACATCGGTGCCAATGGCCTCGCCTTATTCAACTTTGGTCCAACTGCCTTTCAGAACCTGCTCTCTCAGGCAGCACCGGAAGATACCGGTCTTTTAGCTTTCGCAGGTCGTGAACGAGACGTCAACAGCATTGTTCTACTCGCCAACGGCATATCTTTTGCTCTACAGGCCGTCTTGTTTCTCATCATTGGAGCTTACGCAGATTTCGGTACTGGGCGACGATGGATTTTACTGGTTTGGTCAATCGTGGCGTACGGAATTGGCTTTGGCTGGCTGGGCGTCCATGACCCGAGCAAATGGCAGAGAGCGACAGGCTTGTACATCGTCGGTCTGATCGCATACCAGATGACTCTCACGTACTGGACTGCAGCATTCCCTTCTCTTGCTCGAAACACACCGCAGCTGAAAGACGCTGCTCTTCAGTTTGAGGCAGGCGAGATCACGCAGCAGGAGATGGACCGAAGGGATGAGATGGAGAGAAGCCGACTCAGCAACGTCGCGTTCTATATCCAGTCCGTTGGAGAAGTCGTCATTCTGGCTATGATCGTGGGTGTCATGTTCGGCGTCAAGGTTGACAAGAGTCCCGAGAATAACAACTGGGGACTTTCCGTGCTGGTCGCTTTTGCCACGGCTTGTTGGCTGGTTCTCTCGATCCCTTGGTTCATCCTCGAAAAGAAGCGCCCAGGAATGAAGGTCCCGGATCACTTGAACATTGTTACAGTCGGTTTCTGGCAGCTTTGGGAGGCCCTGACACAGATTTGGCATTTGAAGCAGAGTCTGATCTACCTTGTCGGCTATTTCCTCCTAGGCGATTCCCTTAACACCACTGTGACAGTCATCGCCACGCTGCAAAACCAGGTTGTCAGCTACGAGACCCTCACTCTAACCTACCTTCTCATTGTTGGTATCGTCGCTCAAGCTGTCGGCATTGGTGCTTTCTGGCTCATCCAGAAAAAGTTCAACCTCAGCGTCAAAGCCATGTTCAATGCCGTCATGGTTTTCATCATCCTTCTGGACGGCTGGGGCATGATTGGTAACTGGACCGATAAGTTCGGTTTCAAGAATGTCTGGGAGATCTGGCTGTACCAAGCCTTCTACGGCCTCTTCGTCTGTCCATGGTACAGTTACTCCCAGATCATGATCAGTTCTGTCACTCCCAGAGGTCACGAATTCCTTTTCTTCTCTCTCTTTAACATCATTGGCAAATCGTCAAGTTTCATTGGACCTTTTATCAGCAGTGCTATTATCGATGCTACTCCCGGAGGCAAAAACAACAGCGCTCCTTTCTACTTCTTGTTTGCTCTGAGCTTGGTCAGCGCTATCGGTATATGGTCTTTCCTTGATTTGGAAAAGAGTGCAAGGGAACAGGAGGCTTTTATTATTGAGGAAAAGATCCGAATGGGCGAAGAATCGGATCGCAGCAATATCTTATAGGCGTTATTATTGACTCATTGTTGTTGATGCATCCTCACGTATGATAATAGCTTGAAGCATATCTGCGTCGTGTAGGCTTCGTTCGGTGTCTGCCCAGTGTAGCCAGGGTGGAAAGTCTATAAGAATGGATATATAAGCTAAAACTTTCTATGACTCCCTTGCCTCATTCTCCCACTTCTCCAGGGTCTCCATCGATTCCAACGCCAATGGAGAATTCAGTCCATACCACTTAATCTTCCAGTCGACCATTTCTCGCCATGTGACACAAGCTTCCTCCTTCCGGTCTTGGGCCCAGTATATTCGAGCCATATTATCCAGAGCTCTGGCTATGACGTCATGGTCCTCTGGCGCGTTCAGCCGGACTAGATCCATAGTCTGTATTCCGAGATCTTCGGCTTCTTCAAGTCTGCCTTGATAGGCGTACGTTGTAGCGAGCTCACTCTTGATCTCCAACGTGCTCAGGTGAGTTTCGCCAAGTACCTCATCCATAGTTTCCGCCGTCTTTGTCAGAATCTCTTCGGCATCGTCCCACCTTTCTGCATCGAGGTAAAGCTTCGATAGATGCCACTGGGTTCTGAGCGTGTCCTGGTGCTGTTCCCCTCGTTCTTTCCTGTCTGTTTCTAGTACTTGCAGGATAAGTCTCTCTGCTTCATCGAGATTCCTCAACCTCCTGTGGCTCCAGGCCAACCGTATGACACCATCCATCGTCTCAGGATCTGTTTCTCCAAACACCTTCTTGCAGCCCTGAATGACTTGGACGCTTACTTCGATCGCTGCCTCAATTCTTCCAATTATCTGGTAGGCCTCTATGAGATTTTTCATGGACTCAAGCGTCTCTATGTCCTCTTTCCCAAGAGTATCTATTTTCTCCCGTAATTCAGCTGCAAGTTCTTCTGCCCTTTGCTCATCCTCATAGAATCTGTCTATCTCGAGGGAACCGACGTTGTCATCGATCTCGGGGCCTTGGCTTTCGATCAGCTTGGTAAAGTCTTTGGCATCTTGCTGTGGTCTCTCAGTCCAATCAATTTCGGAAAAACCTAGACTGCTAGTGGGCGCCTTTGAGCTCTCTTCTGGGTTGTTCTTGTGTTGATCTCGACTCAATCGGGCAGCGTTCGAGTTTGCATCTTCATCCTCTTCCGAAAGAGATGGTAAGACAAATAAGGCAATATCTTCCATATGCTGAGCTAAGTGTTCCAGAAGACGACTAAGAGATAGTTGACTTGGGCACAGGACGCATTCCATTCGGTGATCATCGTCGAGTGGCCTCTCGCTCATCTCAAGGCATATCGTTAGTTGAGCAGTCACGGACTCAGCGTGGCTCTTCATCAAATGATCGGCCATCAGCCTCTTGGCATGAAAGCCAACATCGCACTTCTGGCATTTCCATTGTCGTCTATGCATTTGCATCTCGTGATAGATCCAGTCATGGCGTGTCGCATACATCTTTTCCGGGTTGGAACATTCGTCGTATGTACATGTATAAGGCCGCAGATCCCTAAACACATGACGCCTGAGGTTCTGTTAGCATTCATATGCGCCTCAGCATCTCGATATTTTCTTATCACTTACTTCCAAGACATTCTTGATTCTATTGTGGCTGAGTCGAGCATTGCGTGGCAGAATGGACATTCCACTTGATCCTCATTGAACGCTGCTTTAGGAATATCGGGGACACGAGCGGATTGTCGACCCGCAACGACAGAAGCGGCGTACACGGTTTTGGGCCTCCCCGATAGAGTTTTCGTCTCATCAATCGCTGACTTCGCCACCGTAGAGAAGCTCTGCACAGTAGGGACCGACGCCAGCGATTTAGGCCTTTCGATGCCGATGTCTCTACCCAAGTCTAGACCTCTAAGGAGAATGTGCGGTACTTTGTGTGTGACTGAAGCCACCTCTTCAATATGTTTGTCAAAAGGATGTCGCTCCCAGTACCTCAGCTGTTCTCTCCTTCTAGTGTTTGCTCTGGCGAGACGTGAGATGATGTTGTGGCTATCATCTTTCTTTCGAGACTTTTCCCTCGCCTCCAAGACATCATGGCTGACGGTCGGCTCCTCTTCCCATGTTCTGTAGACTTGGGCTTTTGGTGACTGCGATGGAAGGTCTTGTGACTGTGCCTCGCTCTCTATCTCGCTTTCTGACTTGAACGATGTAATCCATTGTCGGTGCTTTTCTTCTATATGAGCATGGTCATACCTTTCCATCAGCGAAACCTGGCGATTCTCATTCGTTGACTTCAAATACTTTCCCGACAGCCGTGGACGACGCAGTAAAGTGTCGAGATGATACAAAAGCTTGATCTGTTCTTGGATATGTGCCATCAAGACTGCTAGCTTGTCAGGCCTCTGCCTGATGCTTAGGCAGTCACCCGAAGCATCGCTATCATCCGAGCTGGATGAGTACTCGCTATCTGAGTCAAACTCAGGGTTACTCGTGGGTTCAGCCCCTGGTTCCACAGTATCACCAAGCCTCTGGGAGGCAATTGGCACAGCTGCAAAGGTTAGTTCCTTGTACAAAGCTCGCATACACATATATGTTCATGACGTCCTACCTGCTTCGAGTTGGTGGGTCAAGAGGTTGAATATCTGGGCCACATTCTTCTTGAGAGTATCATCGTGGCGTAAGGTATCATCCAACGAACCCCGAGTGGAAGCCGAAATCGTGGCCCTGTTTTGCTCTCCCCATACTTTAAGTCGTCCGTAGCCATCAAGGGCTTTTTCGATGTTGATCTGTTTAAGTTTGACAACCTGGCAGTCTTCGCTGCCGAGAGCAAGAAGGAACCGAGAGTATTCATTGATGCAGTTCCCAAAGAGCTCAGTAAGCGAATGACTTCGAGCAACTTGTCGGTCATCTTCTGATGAAGGCATTTGGAAAATACTCGAATGGACTATCCTCTAACTTCGGATCGTTTCGCAGCAGGTTTACAATGAATATACTGAGTAAGTAATCTCTGCCAAAGTGAAGCTTACAGGCAATAGACAACATCTCGTCCATGGTAGAGGCGGGGTAATTAGCTGGACTGGTCTGATATGACACGCAGTGAGATTTGCGGCTGAGGACAGCGTATCAGAGTGACCTATTCGCAGCCTGATTTCTGTGCGGCATTTATTTTACTGGGAGAATGATTCCGGGTGTGATTTCCAACTTCCTTCCTTTCCCGTCTCTTATCAGATAGATCCCAGGGCTCGAATTATTACATATCTAGTCTATCAAACCGTCCGACAATGGAATCCGCTGGGCTGGTTCTCGGTGCCATACCTCTTGTTCTCTATGCTTTTGACAACTACGAGAGATGTCTAGGTCAAGTCAAAGACTATTGGAAATACCAATCGACACTACAAACAATACGAACCCATGTCTTTATCCAAGGGGAGCAGTTGAACGTCACACTGAGCGGCATCGGTTTGACAAGGCCAACTCGCCAGGAATTAGAAGAGCATTTAACAGAGATCTATACGAAAGCGAAATGTGATGAGTTTTTAAAGATCATTGACAGGATGGAGGCCTTGTTGGCGAAAATGATGGTTAGCCTGGATGTTGATTCTTTGGGCAAGGTATATCGCCGAAAATGCTGTTGGAACATGACTGACGGATCTTATTCAGCCCAAGTGGACAGATACTGCTCCCGAAAGAGCAAATTGGGAATGGCGAAGAGTGAAGCGAAGCTTTCGTCGAAAGGAGCGCCAAGCCTTTATTGATGAAATTCGGTACTGGAACGAGTGTCTCAAAAATGTTTTTGAGAAAACTGAAATACCTTCAGATGAATCAGATCAACTTGCGGAAAGGTTACAGGCCCGCTACAACCAAAGAGAGTGTGACAGAATCAGAGAGAACGTACGTTTAGTTCATAAAGCTCTTCAGTCTGTTGGATGGACTTGCCATTGCGCTGAACATTGGGGAAGTATACGCCTTTGCTGGCATATGGAGAAGACCATCACATCCGAAAAGCTGGACTTTTGCTTCTCTTCGCCTCAGAGTTCGATATCTTGGCAGTCTATCCACATCCGAGTGGAAGAAAAGGATAAGCTGAATCCACAATCTCAATGGAGCCCGCGAATTATCTCGCCTGGAGTCTCACCTCAGATGCCTCACACGCCATCACCCAAAAGGCAAAAGTTCAAAGAAATGCTTGGTCTATCGCAAAAGTCACCAGAGTGCCTCATGACGCCGGACACAGCAGGTAGGTTCTTTCAATCTTCCCTCTCGGTAAAGCTAGGCCAGTACATAAGTCTATAAACTTACCCATTTCACCCAGTTACCGCGACATCGTCGGCCGAAACATTAGTTTCTGAGGAAATAGCCTGCATGTGCCAATTTATCAATAACCTGAAAGACGCAAAACGGGGCGTTGTGCAACTGTCAGATGATGATAAGAGGCTAGTTGTCTTGGAAAACGTCGACAACGTAGGGAAAACAACAGAAACCGTCCATCTTAAGACGCTACTAAAACCCAAGACGAATCCGGTACGACTGCCACATCTTGTACTCTCTCGGAAGCAGAGGCTTGCTATCGCTGCAGCGTCCAGTTGGGCAGTGCTGTACCTTTGCGGCTCACCATGGATTGATGATGACTGGGATGGGAAGAACCATCTCCAATTGTTCCTGGAAGAGGCACAGGGTACCGGATCAGCATTATTGCAGGCAGACTATCCCAGCATCTCGCAGCTATTTAAACCACTATCACAGCGGTCATCTTCAGGGCCTATGAACCCCGTCACAGACTTCCAAAACAGCCAAATACGCAACAAGACACTGTTCAGTTTGGGCATCCTACTCGTTGAGCTATGTCTGAATAAAACCCTCGGCCAACTCCGTCTAGAGCTTCAAGCCAACGACTTCGCTGCTTCCCTCGGCGTACTATCCCCAGAGCCTACCGATTTCGAGGTTGCGAACAGATTGACGGAAGATATATACTTGGAGGCAGGACATTCATATGGATATGCGGTGCAAAGATGTCTGCGGTGCGAGTTTCCAGGGCGTGATGTGACAAAGGATTTCGAGTTTCAGCCGTTTCGCCGACACTTTTTCAATGGGGTTGTGGCACCTATCCAGGCAACTTTTGAGATGCAGCCGGCTTCTTTGTTGAATCACTGATAATGGCATTGTTTTATTGATGTAGTTAAAAGATATCCCAACGAGATTGGCAACAGAGAAGGTGCCATTTGATGATTAGGGCGTCAAAATAAATTACCACGTGTACTCATCTGACGACCGTCACCAAATTATGCCATCTCTTGTGCTTTTGTCGACCAGCTTACCAGGCTGTAAGAGGCATAACGGACTGTAAATTTCTGTCGAGTCAGAACGCTGAACGCATCTTTTCTGACCAAGAACAAGTGGGGGCGGTCTCACTAGCGCATCAGCCAGTGTACAACAGTTCAGAAGACAGCTGTTCATTAGAAGAGCTACCCTGTGACCGAGCTGTTGCTCGGTGACTTTTGCTCTTTAGCAGCAGAATCTCAATATCTGAGCATTTGAGCACTTTCTCAATTATCTTCTTCTTTTTGTGTTTCTTCTTTCTGTTTCTTTTCTGCCATTGTTAACACTTGGTTAGCACCCAACTCTCTACACGGACTTGACGGTGGTGGGAGTCTATAAGCTCTCCAGACAAATTGCTTGTCAGAACTCAACTTCCGATAAGTTGCCACAAACGGCAGTTATGTTATAGCGAGTCGAGAAGAACTTTATCACACCTGCGGTTTTCATGATATAGAGACTCGCGACTAACAATGGATAGATGTTCGGAAAGGATGGATTTGAGGGAGCGAGAGACTGCGGGGACCGATCTAGACACCAATACCGACACTGATTTTCAACAAGCGAGGTCGCGTGGCCCAATGGCAAGGCGTCTGACTACGAATCAGAAGATTCTGGGTTCGATCCCCAGCGTGATCAATCTTTTTGTCCTTCATCAAAACTCGGTGCTTCAAGTTATCTTTATTTTTCCATACAGGTTGTTCTTATTATTTTACATCCATTTATCTTTTCTGATATCTATAATAATTCTCATTCGTGAAACGATTGAACCAAACGCCCGCTTTGTCTAAACCACATTATTCCCTCCGCCGCAAAAGTTTCACCTTCATCTTCTTCAGACGCCTACTCTCAAACGTCTTCGTAACCCTCCAGTTACTAACAATCATAACAAAGACAAGCAAGAAAATAAACATCGCGCCTATCAGTGGCACAATCAATGCAAATACAGTCAGGAAATAGCTGGCGTTTTGGAACGCCTGTTCATCGACTAATCCATCAACGCTCAGTCCTACTTGCATCGCTGTAAGTGCGATCACGACGTAAGCTAGGATACCTGCTAGCACTGAGAAGTTGTCGCGGATTAGATCGCCATAGACGGTGTGAGATGCGACTCTTGAGTATCCGCGCAGTAGATATCCCTTTCGGAACGCGTAAATCTTGTTGAGTCTGCTTAAGCGCAACTCTCCATACCAATATCGTGGATTGACGCGGTCGTAGCGATGGTTTTCGAGAACCTCTGCGGCAAAGGCTTTCCATCCTTCCCAGGTTACCTCTTCCGGGAGTAACCCATACTCTTTCGCGATGCGAAAGTCACTCTTGTATGCGATGAGCGCGGTATAAGAGAAGAGAAACCCTCGCGCTGAGGCATCAAGGTTACCCTGTGTTGCGTCGTCAAGATGCGCTGTATCGCTGATGTTGGCGGCCCAGAAGCTTGGATCGAGCAGATACTTTGGCATGGGCTTGAGGAAGATGCGATTCCTCCACCAAACCATGTGAAGCTCAGCTTGCTCACTGATGACGATGTCTCGAGAGATGAGCCTCTGGTGATGAAGTTGACGAGGGGGCATCAAGCGGCCGCACATCCAGAGATATTCTTGCACATCGGTGAGACGCGACACGGATAGTTCTCTCTCCAGGAAATTTGGATCCGACGTCGGAGTGACAATATCATCGTTGAAACGAGCACTAGCTGGTAAGAGGTTTGTGAAGTCCTCCTTTACCGAGGAACTAGTTGTGCCCAAGAAGTCTCTCTCTAAGATGCGAACGGTAAACGGCGGAGGCGGACTAGCCATGGCAGGCATGTAAGATCTGATATTGAGCTGACGTCCAAGGATATGGCAGGCCACGGCGTAAGTTTTGAGATAATTAGATTCTGAGGAAGACATAAATAAAGCGCCTCCTCCCTGGTGTACAGTACCGTGATGACAATCACCCAGCTCGTGTGATAAAAAGAAAAGAGTGGAAATTAAAATGTACCCTTACCAAGCAAGGGTCACAGGGCTGGATGCTGGCTAAGCCATGATCCCTGGGAGACTAAATCGGTTCCAAGAGGCCATGATTGGACCGTCTACGCTTGAAGGATCTCAGCGTCACACTCGGGTGAAAAGGATTGTCCGGGGCTCCATTCATGGAATTCTTTGCGTTGGGACAATTGTCAGCTTGCCGTTTTGTCAGTTTTCAGCGAGTCGCGGAGCAGTACATTGTCTCTCCCGCAGTCTACGGATAAGGCTTGACTGATTTCTCTCCGAGTTCTGTCCATTTCGACACCTCGGATCATGTAATGTGTAAGCGCGCGCTGCGGATGATCCCGTGGTCAGCAAAGATCGAATGCTTGGTGGATACGCGGGTACAGTATCCTCTTTATCGCCCCCTAATCTTGCCTGAGTGTTGGGGGCTGAAAATGGAACCAGCGGCCTCAAAATGAGTGGTGACAGAAATGGCTCTAAAATAAGTCAGTCAGCTTACGTCGTCTCATGACGGTTTCAGTATCGTTATTTCTTACACCCTTTATTTAGAAGTCAACCCGGATGCTACACCCTCATCGGACTAGCAGCCTTGTGGTACCACTAACTGCTAAGCCGCTCAGCTAAAATTAAGAGCTTGGCTTCCCGCTCCATTCTCTCCGGACCGTAAGCACAACACCAAAAGCTTCAATATTCATCATCTGGAGCTGAACATCACAACAAACATGTCGCTTCATCGCTCAGCAACACGTCGTGGCCCGCCTCCCTTGGCGGCTCCCAAGCCGAAGAAAGGTTATGAAAATGTCGAGCAGGGTGTCAAGCAACTCTACCCCGACCCATCGTCTGACAAGAAGACAGACATGGAGTAAGCAGATATTTTCATCAATAATTGGTCGTTATTTAACACGTATAGTATTGTATTTGTTTCAGGACTGGGCGCTCACCCACTTTTGAGCTTTAAATCAACAGAAACGAATTTTAACTGGGCGAGTGATGAAGATGGTATATCACGCGACTTCCCGAACGCTCGTATCCTTCTTTACCACTCCGAGTCATCTTGGACTGGAGCCATCCGAGTAAAGCAGTTTCTTTCCAACTTAGCACATACACTCCTTGAAGGGTTGAAAGGGAAGAGAGAGGTAGGTCTACAGACTGAGAATAAAGGTTGAGGTTGACCATTAATAGAATGCCGCTTCTCTGAGACCAATCACGTTTATCGGACACAGTATGGGTGGACTGGTCATTGCCAAGGTATGAACCAATTTGCTCGATAGTCAAAACATTTCTCACAAAACAAACAGGCTGTCCACACCGCTGCAACTCGACCAGATCTTTTTCCCGGCATGTACGAGGCTACGGCTGGTTGTGCATTCTTTGGAACTCCCTTCAGAGGCGCCGAAGCCGCGTCTTGGGCCTGCATGCTTTCTCAAGTTGGAGAAGTAATGGGAATTTCAACAGCGTCGAAACTGCTCGAGAATATGAGACCTGACGACGAATACATCAATGAGCTCAGAAAGGAGTTTGTCCGTCTTGCAGTCAACATAAACCCCAAAATTGAGTTATTCGGCTTTTATGAGCAACAGCCTACGACCATCAAGGATTTGTCCGGAATGCCTCAGTTTCTATCGGCCCTGAACATTCCCCTCCCCAAAAAGGTTGGAGAGTTTGTCACACGCGAGTCTACCATGCTAGACGGTGTGGACATGATGGGACTATCCGCCAATCATCGAGACTTGGTCAAGTTTAAAAGCTCCAAGGATGACCGATACATGTTGGTGCGAGGTCCTCTCAAACACCTTATCAATGGTTCAGATCTGCGTGTCAAGAACCGGCACAATGCAACACGCCATGTGGATAGGGTACTTGTCAACCAAGCAAGAAGACTACTGGAAGGTGCGTCAGTGCAGAGGAAGAGAGAGACGATCAAGCGCAACACGACAACATCTCCTTGGTTCGCCAAGGAACCTGAGTTCGTAGGTTGGCTTTCCAAGCCTAATGAGACAGAAGATTCATCTCTTGTCAAGAAGTGCGATTGTCTATGGATTCGCGGTCGTGATGGCCGCGGTAAGACAAGCGCTGCTTTGTCTGCTATCGAGAAGATTGAGGAGTTATCCAAAGACGATGAAGGCGAGGCAGAGGTTGAGAACGCAGAGGAGTCGCATCGGGCCTCGTCACACGTCTATCTGGCCTATTTCTTTTGCGACAAAACAGCAGACTACAGTACAGCTGAGGAACTGTTGAAGGCCCTCATTCACCAGATCATTTCCAAGCAAGAGTTGGCTGCGATACACGCCAAATTCCTGCTCAAGAAGAAAGGGCGTGACCCCGCAGCTCTACTGACTGTTGAGAATCTGTGGCAGGTACTCCAAGACATCCTTTCGGATGACATATTTATTGGGGCTCGGATGTACTTCGTTATTAACAATTTGGAGACCATCTCTGCAGACGCTGTCTCGACAGCGACTTTATTGAGTCTCATAAGCTCCGAATTCGAGCACGATGGAAGTGGCAGACGCCCACTTGTACGATGGATGTTCACTAGTGGTCAGTCCTGGCAAATCGACCAGGCCCTAAGGAAGCCTTTAGTCCGCTTAGTCGATCTCGAAGATGAGAAGTACGGTGATCAGGTTCAACTGGAGTTACGCAAGCATGCTCAGAAAAAGGTGCAGGAGTTGGTGCAGCACAAGAAGTACAGCAAGGCTTTGGTGTATTTCACCAGCAGTGTCATTGGTCAGCGAGCCCAAAACACACAATGGATCGACATTACATGCGATTCCCTCGAAGATCTTCCGCAGCATGACAACGATCTCCAAGTCCGTCGTCTACTCGAAGGTGTTCCGCAAGAGCTGGACTCGCTTCTAAATGCTGCGTGGCAGGATGTCTTGGATAGGAACCGATCCAAAGCTGGCGAGATTAAGGAGATGCTGCGTGTGCTTGTTCTCACGTACGTGGATCCGACCGAGTCAGAGCTTGGCCTTCTCGCTGGGTTGCAATCATCGAACGAACAGGTTTCCGAGTTGCACGACCTCATCCTCAAGTGCAGGCCTTTGATCGTGCTCAAGACGAACGAAGGGTCTATTGAGCCTACCGTATGCTTCGCTTTTCCCGTGGTCAAGACCCATCTCCTCGAGAACGCCCATCGACTACTTGGTCTCACAGAGGATGACGTCAAACTACAGCACGGAATTCTCGGTTTTCGAGCATTCAGTCACGTCATGGAGACCTTCGGCGACCTTCCCGATGAAGATGTAGAGGAGCTGCAAGAGGACACGGATCAGGCACTCGATACTGTCGAAGAAGAACAGGAGGAAGATGGATCTGAAAACAACGCTGATAAGGCCGAGGAGAATGAGAACGATGAGGAGAGTGTCGCGGATGAGGTTCAGGATGGCAATTCGGACGACGGCTCCGAGCTCTCCAATGGTGGGCACGAACAAGAAGAGTACGAGGAGGAAGATCGGGAGGCCCCGCGCCTGAAAGATATCGCCTTGGCTTACGCGGTTAAGCATTGGCTTGACCATGCTAGCCAGGCTACAGCCGAAATTGCCGAGGCGCTGAGCTGGGAAGAGAAGTTCTGGGAGAAGGGTTCTAAGGTTCGACGCCGTTGGCTGACAGAGCACAATCGGCTGACATGGTCTTTTCATTACTTCAACCGTGCCTCCCTCACTGGACTACACGTTGCAGCTGCCATTGGCTTCAGGGGACTTGTCTCCGCTCTAATGGACAACGGTTATGCTGAAGACATGCATGCGTACGATGACCTCGACAACCAACCGCTTCATTTCGCCGCATATCTTGGCCAATCAGAAAACGTGGAAGAGCTCCTCAACAGAGGTGCCAATCTGGATGCGGGCAAAGAGCGGGATGCGGTGACACCTTTAGGTATGGCGGCAGAGGCAGGAGACGTCAAGATCATGACACAGCTTTTGCAACGAGGGGCAGATCCAAACGCCAGTTGTTCGGAACGTGGAGCTGTGGTCTGCTCGGCTATTCAGTCCGGAAATACCGAAGCAGTGAAGCTTTTGGTTGCTCACAACGTGTCTCTCGTGACGCCGAAGGAGGAGAAAGGTGAGGCTGAGTCTGGAGACAAGAAGGAGGAAGGGAAGAACGAGGACAGCGATGGTGAAGACGACAATGACGACAATGACGACAATGACGACAATGACGACAGTGATAGTGACAGCGACAGTGATGACGATGGTAACGAAGAAGATGATGAGGAGATTGTGAAATGTCCTCTCGCTCTGGCAGCCATGAGAGCCGACCTGTCAGTCTTTGAGTTCCTCATAAGCGAGTACTCAGACAAACTGCCCTCCTCAGAATTCGAGACCGCGCTTATCAAAGCGGCAGAATGGGGTCGAACTGAAGCCTTCAAGCGACTCTTCAACGATTTTGAGCAGTCGCTAGATGCCAAGCAGCAAGCTCTGGACGAAGCGGCAAGAGCAGCCGACGGACATTGGGACATTATTACCATGATACTGGAGAGATGTCCCGGTCTGAACTGTGACAAGGCTTTCCTCTTCACGGCTCAGGGATCTGACGGTGATGAGGAGTTGCGAATCCTCGAGGCTATGTGGGAGTATAGCCAGGGGGGCATATCCCCAGAGACCCTAGATGAATCTCTGTACGAAGCTACTGATGAACAGAATCAGAGGACTGTCGAGCTGCTTCTGAGGTACGGAGCCAGTGCCAATGCGACTGGCGAAGTGTAAGTGTACCAAACAAGGCGGGACGAAGGATTTTGCTAACCATGGATCGAAAGATATGGCAATGCCCTCACTGCAGCAGCGTATGATGGCAACCACGACATTGTAACTATGCTTCTCGACGCTGGTGCCGACATCAACTCTGATGATGGCTGGGCTCTTCAAACCGCTGCGGAGCATAACCATATTGACGTAGTCAAGCTCCTCTTGGAGCGCGGCGCCGACGTCAACAAACTCACGACTCACGAGAACATGCCTGAAGGTAGAGCCCTCCAAGCCGCTGTACAATACGGCAAAGACGAGGTTGTCGATGTATTACTCGAACACGGGGCCGATCCTAACCTCGGAGGAGGTGACAACAAGTATCCTATCATCGGCGCAGCGAAGGGGAGGGAAGAGGATATTTTCAAGAAACTCATCGCAGCCAAGGCCGACGTCAATGTTGTAGGTGGTTCGGATGACACCACCCCTCTTGTTGAAGCAGCGTTCTACCTATCCAAGGAGTCGCTGCAGCTCGTCCTCGACTCTGGGGCGGATATCAACCATAAGGATATCTACGGCAACACGGCGCTGATGCTGGCGGCTGGAAGGGGAGAGAACGAATCCGTGGAACTACTTCTCGAGCGCGGCGCAGACGTTCTGATCGTGGATCAGGATGGTGAAAATGCATTGCAGAAGGCTTTTGACAACGGAGATGACTTGACTACCTCGGCAGTGATCAAGCATGTCTCCAAGCTGATGGGTGCAATTAGAGTCTCTATGGAATCTGGTGATGCTGCCGTTACTGCGGTAGTTCGAAGTGTGCAGAGCAAGGGCCAGGAACTCAATTACGATGACCCCCCTGTGGAGGCTAAGGTTGAGAGCGCAAGAAGCTCTGTGTACGGAGGAGTACCGCCCGAAACCCCTCTGGGAACGTTTCAACCAGCAATGTCCAACTTCCATTCGGAGAAGATTCCCGCGGACGAACCCCAGACTGCGCCGAGCCATGGTTATACTCTACGTGAACAAGTGAACAGACCCTCCATCACACCATCAGGACCTTCTGCCGACTCTGTCCAAGACTTGTACAGTCCAGCCACGGGCATCCTCGACTTTAACCCCGAGCCACTGTTTAAACGGCAATCCGACCTCGGTCCCATGGCGCCAGGACAAGCATCAAGTCCCATCCGAAGGAAGCCAATTACTGGGCCTCATCCGCCCACGTACAGACCATACGTGCCCGGTTCGGGCGACAACATACGGCATTCAACTCCTCCTGGATCGTTAGCGAGCGCTTTCCAGGCATATCGGCCTACACAACAGCATACGCCGCCTCATGAAACACAACCTGGGTTCTCACCACCGGCCTTTACGCCGCCAAGTCATACTTCGCCTGAGCCTGGGTTCGTGCCATATGCGCCTGGTGTTCCTGGGCAGCCCAGACCGGAAGCAGCTCGGAAGTCATCACGGACGTCGTTTATGGGAATGAAGGTCCCTTGGTCGGATCACAATCGGTTTGGCTGAGGAATGATAGCGCTTGGATCCTTTTAATGAAGTACATAGAAATGAATGAAGATTGTTAGAATTGCTATACCTATTTGATGCCTTCCACCAAATTCGACATGCCGTGCGACCGTGTAGAAGACCAAAAAGAAATGTGCTCAGTTTCCTGATGGATTAAAATGTCAACCCGGTGCCTAGGCCTTCTCCAGTCAATTGAGCAGCGTCATTCTGGAACGCTGACTGTGGATTCAGAAGGATGAGTTCTCGGCATTCCTTCAACACCGAGTTGGAAAGGGTTCCTCCGGTACAGCGCGATCGGAAAAAGCCAAGACCGATTGGCGGTCGCTGAGTCGGGCTTTAGAAAGGCCGAGGTGCGCAATGTTTGGATGAGAACACCAAGAGTCCATCAAATGAGTCACTTTACGACAGGAAAGACGAAGGATTATGCAGTTAATTAAAAAATGGAAGGAGCAGAATGAGGTGAGTCATTTGCCGATGTTGCGAAATGCTAGATTGGAAATGCGAATGCTTTGCTGCTGATGTCTTTGCTGCTGCAGGGTATTCTTCGCTCATGGTCACGGTCGCAAACAAACAATGATCTTGCTGGGCGGCCAAAACTATACAAACGAGAGTCGGGCGCGAGAGCATTCTACATAGATCAATACTAGCACGAATATTCCATTTCATCTCAACAATTTCCAAGCATCTTGATTAATTCCGTGATAAGAATGGAGGTTGTCGCCAATGAAGCTTTTGTCAGCTCGGTCGATTTGTAACGTTGAACCGAAAGAGGATTAGTGGACGGTAGCTTAGAAATGAAGATAACGCTCTGTCATGCAGTGAGCAACAATGGGATGTAGCACGCCAACCCTGTAGCTTACATAGAGAGAATCTCGTTACACGGAAGATTACAAAGGCTTTTGCTGACGACCGAACACCGAGCAAGCAATGAATCTCTTAAGGACGGTGGTGTTGAACATTGGGTATATGAGAGAATGAAAGCCCGGCTGTAAATGAGAATAGCGTCAACCTGACATTCAGTTCCAAGAGCAATAAACTCATTCCCATTAACGACAAAGTCACTGTCATCAAACAATAAGACGACCTATAATTGTACAGCATCAAGAGAAGTTTGGTCATAATGCGACACTCAAAGAAGATACAGATCGCTGAGAACGATGGTAATTCACCCCAGGCTACTCGTTATAGCGACCCATCCACTAACGCACCCCCTAGAAGCTTACCACTACGCACCCAGCAAAAAGTCACAGAATTCAAGGAAAAACAATGCATCATCTGGCAAACAACTCCAGCAACTTTCTAGACTTTATGAAGATGCGATGGACATATACAACCAATCTGCTTTTGCAAAGACAATTGAAGATATGCTCCGGACCAAGAGCCGACCGCGCATCACCAGAATCGTTTCACTGGGTCTAGGGAGCTTGCTTGACGCTAAGGATCAACAGCGTCGCATCAAGCAGCTGGTGATGCTCATGGCCATCGCATCGCATCTTGCATTGCCGTTAAGCGATAAAAGTGCTCTGCAGATCTACGCACAAGATCCGACATTTACAGCAGCTGATGACACTTTTCTGCAAAGTCTTGGCATTGTGGTACTAAAAACACCGTCAATCGCTGATCTCGGCGAGGCGGGACGAATGATGGATGAAGAGACCCTCGTCTACAGCCCTTTCCTCACCCTCGAAACCTACAAATTGCTACTATCGTCCTCACGATCCTCTGCAGTCCCGATCAATGTACCAATTTTATTCAGCGACGACTTCAACGCCCTCCGACTAAAATGGGACAAGCGAACCTCGGAGCGCAAAGACGTTGATGGATTGATCCAAGGGACGCGAGCGGGCAATTATCGTCGACGCGCCGTTAGTGGGGAAGGCTTCTGGACACACGAAGATCGACCTTTTCCTCTGGCATTGTACCTCAGACAATCGATACCGCAAGATGTTCCCACTGTGTTCAAAACAGGAGCATTCTCGCAATTTGAGCAGCAATCAATTCCGATATATGCGTAATATTAGGACCAGTCGCATTCACAGCAAGGGACATCTCCCTTGCTGTGAGGAGGAATGATCTGGGGTGGGCTTCGAACGCAGGGGTACATGTCGATTTAGCCTTATTTGAGAGTTTCATTAGCGATGTCTCATAGCAATAAAAGTCAGGCGTCGTTGCTTTTTTCCAGCTCTTCGGTACCTCGTTTCAGTGGCAAGAGGACTGTGCGCAATGAAGTCTGCATTGTCCAAGCATTAAGCTTAACATGCGCAACGCCGAATCGTACTTCAATCAGACTGCGATAAAATTCATAGCGAGCCCGGAATCTCTGATGGACAGACGTCGCTCAGCGTAGACCATGAAGCTATTGTCGTCGAGCTGATGAGCCAGGTCAATAACCTGCGTTCACGCCGGTCGGTAGCCAACGTCCAGCCTGGTATGAGCATGAAGGCCAGGCATGGATTATTGGTCAAAACATCTGTATCGCAATATTTTTTGAACATTCTTGGGACGGGCAATGGGTGATTTAATACTTTTCCCGACTGGGACAATTGGAACAAAGTCTTGTGGTCATGTTCAAGAGCCTTTTGACGATGCGTTTGTCTCAGGGCAAGTGCTTTTTCTTAATATCTGCCAAGGTAGATGGAGGGTCAATTCAATCGATTTTGATACCTGAAGATGCTGTAGACTGAAGATCCAACCAAAAATGGCGTGTTCTTGGAATCGCAAATTGAGGCGCCACGATGTTGGGCCCTGCCTGAGTTTTAGGTGGTGTCTAGCTGAACGCTAGCGACATCGTTACAGGGGTAATAGCGAGCTATTGACAACTAGCGCCTACTCTACTAACGAGCAAAAAGAAAGGAACAAGTCGATCACGTTCGAGTGCGTATTTATTCTGCAGCCCTCTTAACACCATTTGAGGTGGCGGCAATTAGCATGTGGAATGCCTGTTGGTATTTTTTTACCCCTGAGCGCCCGGGAGACAATAAGAGACAAACTACTTGGCAAGCCATTTACTTCTTCCCTCAACAGTCGTTCGACCACTGACCTTGACGGGAGATGCAGTGACAGAAGCAACCAATCGATAAATGCATTCTTGCCAAGATACCCTGCGCAAGGGAGAGTAAAAATTCCAGTGACTTGAATCCCTTTTCATGCACTTTTTAGGGGTTCAGTCCCTTGATAAATGACCTGAACTACTTGGCTTTTCCCAGTTCTCTCTCTCTGTTTGCTCATTCATTCTTTTGAACACTCATCTTAGGAAAGTGGCTCGAAGTTTTGGTTGGTCAATTGAGATCAACTACTGGGTCATTCTATCATCATGTCCAACGCACGGGAAGCTGGTAGCTGGTGGAGTCAGATGTTTAACAACACTGGGTACCAGGAGCTGCCCACGACGACAGTAAAGGACAAGGCCGAAACAACCTCTCAGTATACGCCAAGGAGATGTGTTCGCCTGTCGACTCGGGGAATATTCCTTGTGCTCGCTGCTATTCTGCTTGTCCCTACATTCTTGGCTCTTGCGGCGCTTGAGGTATGGATATCGTGATAGGTGAAATGACCAAACTGACAAACAATTGCAGGGCCGGCAATACCTCTCCGATGGAACGGGTGATGTGTTTGAAGTGACCGAGGGCCAGGTAGCTGCACCGAAAGCTACTCCCGGAGTCGTTCCTGACCTTGTCCAGGGTTCATCACCAGCTGCTGATGTTGTCCCTGATATCCCTGAGGATCCTCTGGATATGCCCGATTCTCCAGATGTTCTTGATCACTCTGACGTTCCTGTCGATCCGGAAGCCCCTGCTATCCCTTCAAGCCCGGAGGACCCCGATGCCGCGACTGTCCTGGATGCTGAGACCGCGCCGGATGCCGTGGATGACCTTGATGCCCCCGAAGCTCCTGAAGTTCCCGTCTTTCCCGTCATGGCCAAGCCTCCCAAGATGCCGCAACAAGTCTCCAATCGTCGCCTCGTTATTCTCCTCCCCGCTAACGCCCCCGGTGTTAATCTCTGTAAGGCCATGGTTACGGCTATAGCCCTCGGATATCCCACACCCATCATCCTCAACTGGGGTAAGAGCGGTTCCCATCTCGCCAAAATTGCCGGTGTTCTCGACTACCTTGACTGGAGCGTGCGTCTCAAGTCGAACCACAAGGATCGCTTGAACGCAGACGATCTTATCATGGTAGCTGATAGTTCCGATTCCTGGTTCCAACTTCCTCCCAGTGTTCTCATTCAGCGCTACCACGATCTCAATGCTCAGGCCGACGAGCGTCTACAGAAGCAATGGACTGGCTCCGGCCCCTGCCCCATGAAGCAGACCATCATGGTATCCACACAGAAGAGGTGCTGGCCTAGCCCTCCTTCTGGATCTGAGCTTCACTGCGATGAGCTTCCAGAGAGTCCTCTTCGTGAGGACCTTTACGGACCTGACACAGATGCTGATCCAGAGATGCGCATGGTCGATGTCCGTCCCAAGTACATCAACAGTGGAGCCTTCATCGGCCCTGTCGGCGACATGCGACGATACTTTCGACGCGCTCAGAATCGTTACACGGATAAAAAGGCCCTCCAAGGAAACCACTTTTACAGTGACCAAGGTTTCTTCGGTGAGATCTGGGGAGAGCAAGAAGTTTGGCGCACGTGGAGGCGAGAAATCGGTGACAACATTGACGGTAACCTGAATGCCTCTGCTATGGTGCGTGACCAGTTCGAGTACCATGTCGGCCTGGATTACTACCAAACCATCTCCATCCCTACTGTGTTTGAGGAAGATGACGGTGATATCGTCTCGCTCAACAACCAAACTATGATCGCTGCGCGATCCGCAGAACTTGAAATCGAACCTGTTCGTCTCACTCAGGTTCCTCCCGAGATTGCCAACGCCACGAACCCCATCGGTCGCGTTGTAAGTGCGGAACAGCGCCGCAGTCTTGACTGGGGTGACATGAACGTCTACGCCGATTTCTTCACCACTGCCATCCCCGTCAACATCCATCACAATGCGCACATCAACAACCTCAAGGGCCGTCGCATCTGGTGGTGGCCCCGCATGTGGTTCTTCCCCTATCTGCGTGATCTTGTCACGGCACAGCTCAAGCAGCGCCGGCAACAACCTCTCCACAGAATACAAACTCCTGAGGACGGCAAGATTGTTTACTGGGGTCTTGAGAAGTACAAGGAGATCAGGCGGTTTATGGATCTCCGGAAAGAGTTGGTGACTTCGGATTTCGATGGCATTTGCATGTCGAAATGGGCCAAGAAGGAGAAGCAAAACTGGTGGGATGTTGTGTTTATGGATGATAGAGGAGCATGGGAACTATGAGCATTTGTATTGTAGGTAGTTGTTTGGGTTTGTTATGATGGGCAATACGCAGTATGCATAACCAATATTGAAGTTATTTAATGAGAAAAGGCCCATAAGACTATTTCTTCGTTGAACTGATCTGTCTTTTCGCGCTTTGTATCTGCGATGGCTACTTCCTAGACCTTCGTCAATGATATTGTATCCCATAAGTGCTCTAGTCCTTGCATATGGAGACACTCCGCCTCTGGGATCATCTGTCATGATTGCATATATCACAGTCCAAATTAGGAAGAAGCGAGTAAGCCATTTTCTGCCCCAAGACAAACCTTATACTAGGTAGCGCCGAGATGGAGCACCATTACTCCAATATATCATGTGCAAACATTAGAGTCATGCTGCTTCCAATGTGTAACTTTGTTAAAACCTTAATTACCATTACTCCGAATTTACCTACCATTTAATCGTTGACATAAACTTGAGATATGCGAAGTCAAAATCTTGAATTTTGATTATGCTTCTGTGGTATTCAAAGACTGTTGCAAATGCCAAACTCCTTGTTGCCACCCCATGCATGTACTGTCCCAACTATCGTTCTAAATATACAACAATCCCCCTTCTTGCAAATTGGTTTCCCCCACGTGTCTTCCATTAGTCTTCATGCTATTAAGTTATGGGCCCAAACGCTAGCTTAAAGATGGCCAAGCAAGTCAAAGAACTTAAGATGCTCTTTACACGTCGACAGGGCTGTCCTGTCCAGGGTTTGCTTCCTCGTAGTGCATCATCTTCACGAGGCGGAAGTAACCAGCAGCAAGGGCAGCGCCAAGGAAAGGACCAACCCAGTAGATCCAGTGGTAACCAGGGAACTCTCTGGAGCCAACAGCGCAGCCAAATGATCGAACAGGGTTGGCTGATCCACCAGTTACGAAGACACCTATTGCAGTACTTGTTAGTTGCTTGATTGAGGTTTGAAGTTACGACGACGCTTACCTGGAATGAGTGCGACGAATAGAGCCAGACCAATTCCGACAGGTGCCAGGAAGGTATCGCGAGACTTCTCAGCGGCCAGCATCAAGACAACAAAGACCAACTGTGCTGCGAAGAACATCTCGAGGAAAACACCTTGGGCAATTGAAGTGTTGGGCCCGAGGGTAGTGTTTGCGAGAGAGGCACTTCCAGGAAACATGGCGTTTACAAGACCACCTGCACACATGGATGCCGTGATCTGAGCTGGGAAAAGAAACAGTGCACGTATCCATGGGAGTTGACCAGATAGGCAGAGTCCAAGAGTGACCTAGTGCACTGTTAGATGACTCGAGAGATGAATTGAAGGTGAAATGACTTACTGCAGGGTTGAATAGCCCACCACTAATTCGGTAGAAAGCCCAGACGTTGACTAGGAGCGAAAAGCCATATGCCATGGCGATATACATGACAGTGTTGTTGGCTAAGGAGCCATTGGGCCCCGAGATGGGCTCTTGGAGGACAGCAACGACATTGCCGGCATAAGCAAAGTACAAGAATAGAAATGTGCCCACAAATTCTCCAGACGCCGCTACCAAGTGACAGCCGAAGTCGCTTAAGTGCTTTCGTGGTTTTTGCTTTTCATGGGCGTAAAGTCTATTGTTGTGTCTATTGTGTCTGTTATGACCGTTCACGTGACCATTGTGATCGTGGATGTCTGCCATGTTGAGAAATTTTGGAAGAAATGTAAGGGAGACTTGATTGAAGAGGGAAGTAAAAGTCAAACAGCAAAATAAAAGCGGATTTAGTTCAGGTAAGTATGTAAATCTGGAGAGATGGAGAGGAATGTTCAACGGCTGGTTGAGTAACCGGAGCCGTCTAATGAGGTTTTAAGAATCGCAATCATCTCCCTTGAACAAAGGGAAAGGGCTCATCACTCTTTTGCTCTGTGTTTGCACTTTGCAGTGGCTGCAGGTATGACGCGCACACAAGCTGGCCTCTGTGAAACTGCAACGCAGTAAAAACGTCAGAATTGCAATAAAGAATGGGGGCGCCCGTCGGGACTAGCCAGTGATAATCTCATCTTACGGGGAATTCCACAGCTTGACATGAGTCCCCCCTCTGCCCTTGGCAGCTGTCCGCGTCTCAAACTATTGAATTAGAGTGAATAACAAAGCAGCGGCTCATTGGATTGGCGTCGCACTAACCCGGACTTGACGTCCGGAAATGAAGATCACGAGTCCTAATGGGGAAAAGTGGTTGCGCAGCTCAAGTCGTACTAAACCGTTTGGATCAGGCCATCGGTCGATCACTGTTTGGACGAGTAACCATGCCATCATATGCAACGCGTCGCCCTTTGTCGACTGTGACTGTGGAATTCTCTCCAGAATATAAAGGTCTTGCACGGACTGTTATCACACTGATCAGCATTTGCAATGACCTCTTGGCACTGCATCTACAGCAGATCAATCTGATATGTTTCTCGGTAGTTGGTAGAGCTGACATGTCTGTGCCCTACAGCTGGGTAGACCTAGGCAAGGAAAAGTGGTCATCTTGCTGACTTCTATGACCTCAACTGGGGCCTAATGGAGATCATTTCGAGCTGACTCTACTAGCAGTGACCTAGCACCGCATATCAATCGGCACGGCACGGGCAATCACGATTGATGTTCCACTGCACTCTATTGTCTTTGTCGGTCAAGATGCTATCCTAAGCAATTGCCAAGAGAGTAATGGCTGACCACATTACCGTGCCAAGACGGTGTCACAATACCAACAACACTACCTCGCTCGTACTGATTCTACTCCACAATCCGAATAATAGAGAGATCCTTCGAGAACCAAAACTCTACAACGCCCTTGAATGGACTGCAGGTCCAGCCTTGCAACTCATGCTCGTGTTCGTCATCATTACCAGCTTCGACATAAGAGATGGGCAAACGTGGACTTCCCAGAGGGCCGCCCATCTGACAGAACCGCGACGGCTTCAAATATTTCACCATTCGATCTACACCGAGTCGGCAGTTTCCTAGCGCCCTCTGAGCCCCATCGTTATAGTCTAACAGAAGCCCGTTACATTTGCCCCCATCATCTTCTAGGACGTGCATGCAGTTTACATTTCGTAAAGGCGCCGAGTAACAATGGACGTGAGGAATAGTTGCTGGGGGGTTGGACCAAGGGTCAGGGAACGGAGGGGATACTTCGCGCTTCTGCTCTTCTCGGGGATATGTTCCAAATATCGTTGCTGGACCAACATCGGCCGCACTATATATGAACACTTCGGGGCTCGATTGGCTAAGAATGATATCCTTGTACTCCCCCAAATGAAACATGCCGATGGAGATGTCGCCAGCCAGTTTCGTCCGAATCTAACACTTTTAGCTGTACTCGGACTGAATGGCCGACGGGCGAGAGCTTACCAGAAACCAAGGTTTCTGCAATGTAGATGCTTGTCCATTTGGAGTGATCTTCAGTCTTATGACTATGGAGTAGATCTCCTCTCCTGGGGGCATCGGCAGGTATGCCCAGCTAAGACCAATCTGCCGCCTTCTACGAGGAAAACGTTCGAAGGTTGAAGTTGCATACGGACTTGCTGGGGTATGTGCATGCACGGCATAAAGCTTACTGAAAGCGAAGAAGAAAGTGAGGCCCGACACACCACGCAGGTGGACGGTTTTGAGCTGCAATGACGATGACACACGACCGTGGATTTCGCAGTTCTCCAGAGGAGGAGGGCTAGGGGTATCCCAGATCTGGAAACCTCGTGTGTTTTTTGGACACTGTAGTCGTAAGACGTTGAACTACCTCGAGTTAGACCAATAACATCCGAGTGGTAAGGTGCACAACCTTTGATGTTACTGTAACATTCTGAAACTCATCCTCATGTAGCACGACAAATGCCTGCTTGTCCGACCGACGTGGCTGATATGGCGGTCTCTCTTGGAGTTTGTCGATCTTGCAAATACCTCGAGTATCGAGGGTAAGTAGTGCGTACGGTGGGCATTCGTTGGAGAGTTCGACGGAAGAGCCTCCCCGTGTCCATGCCAGAACTTCGCGCAAAGGCACATCGGTGATTGGGGGATTTATGTCTGCTTGTAGTTGGGATATCTCTCCAGCCAGGTTAAGAGCTGCGATACAATGCCAGAATTTTGCATGTTTGCTATAACTGTGAATGGAGTGGATGAGCTCTGCTGGTAGCTCGCCCAACAAGGGTATACCACAGACCTCTGCCTTCTCACGGACAAGGTCGACCGCAAGCGTGGGTTGGCGATCAAGTCGAAGAATTGGAGCGCCTTTCCAAGTGTTTGACTGACCTACTGTGGTCCACAGTCGATCGAGAGCTCGGTAAATGTTGCAGTTTTTCTGGAAGATTGCAAGACAGAGAGTGTGTAAGCCCACGACCTCGGAGCCAGCTTTGCATCGGAAGCAGTTAGCCGACCAGCAGAGAACCTTCTCGCCAATGGTGATTTCGGTGACATTGCCTTCTGAAAACTTATCACCACTGGCGTGAAGGTTCACGATTGTTGTTCTGTCTAAACAGCGGGCAATTTCAGGATCCAGATCACTTCCCAACACTAGGCATATTAGCAAGTGTGGGTAGTCATAAAAACTGGCGATAGGCATCAGGGGCAACCTACAGGGCACGATATCATCTCCGTCCTCAATAGTCTGGGCACAAATACCACACTGGGTAGGAAGCCTGTGGTGCTTTAGAGCTCCCATCATAACGAGACCTGTAGCGATCTGTCTACAGAGTGTGTTGAGACTTAAGAGGGGAAGCTCTGCTGACTGCATCGTAACCTCGGTTCGGATCATTTAAGAACCGTGCATGCAAATGTCAGCAATGTCCCATTTTTAGGCAATTGATTAGGGAAATCATACGATACTAGCCAGGGCATAGAAATTAATATTAGATCTGTATATAAGTATAAGGTGAATAATAAATAGTGGGGAGTGTTTTGCTTGCTCAATTACAGGACTAAGACAGGGCAAAAACATCAACGCGCCTTCGACGGACGGTGACTATCGCAATCGTCGGGCGACGAAAACAAAAAATACAAAGTAATTTACAAATTACGACCTACGACTTGCAAGTTTACATTACATTACAAGTCTACGTTACGGCATGTTACATCTTGGACACAACACATCCCAACGTCACGACGGAGTCACAAGTTTGGCTGTCACGATTGACCGTCACGATGGAGTCACGGCACATCACAGTGGACTCACGGCTTAACCGTCACGTTATCTGTCACGATGGATGGCAATTGGCTGTACAGTCAAGTCACGGGAAACCTTATTTTCGCTCTTTTGTCTTTTTTTTTTGTGTTTTGGCAATTTCGAACATAGGAGACTCGTGACTTACCTGCAGAGCGGCGGTGCGGTGGCACTTACCACTACACCGCGCCCTAAACAGTAGGCATATGGGTTAAACTTATATATATGCCTTCCTCTGGGTTGGGGAGAGTTTGTGTTCTGTGGGGTTTGTTGAAGTTTGTTGCGATGTTGTGTCGTGTGATTCGTCTCCAGCGAGGTGAGTTTAGGCTGGGATATATATCCTGAGGACTCTTTATTACTCAGCTCAAAAAAGGAGACCGATAAGATAAAAATCTACAACTCGCTGGTATCTGAGACAGAATTTTTGGTATCTGACCCTTTGATTAGGTCTTGGGGAAATTCTTTACCCACAATGTCTTCACCGAGGCCTTGACCGAGTACACGTGTCACTCCACCAAAAGTCCAATCAAGTGCACCAGCAGCCAAATCATTCTCCTTTGCATCGGTATTGATTCAACCATAGGCTGTCAATTTGCAAGCTCTAAACCAGTAAAGCCCTGTCGTGCCATCTTCTTGGCAAATACGCCATAGTCTGTCCACTGTAACTGCTTCAACCCCCAGCTATACAGCTCGCAGGGGTGAGAGGGCAGCCAGGGTCCCTGCTTTGGCTACACTATAGGTGAGAATTTATTATCTGTAGATATGCATATTGCTGGGTGAGATATGGCGAGTAAGAAGGTCTTGCTACCGCGAAATATACATGTGGAATAGCGGAATTCGCCCTCTCTCACCCTTGCGGGCTGTGATATCGGGAGTAGAGACGATATCAATGCCACTTGACCTGTAACGCAGTCATCTTCCTTGGCAAGCCTTGGGACTACTTACTCAGCATGAATAATTGTTATGTTTCTTGGTACTTTGAACGACCTTTGTCTGGTAGAAATACGCAGCGACCTATTGGAGGACTCATACAGTGACATTTTATAGGCTACTGCACGGTAATAGAACAACTAGCTAGCTAATTATGTCCGGAATGCAACCTCATCGTCTCGCCATAGAGGCTACATCTCCAGAACCAGGTAGACTCTCATCCACAAATCCGAAACGCTCATACAAGGCCGCCCCCGACTTACTAGCATCCACATACGCTGCAACCCCATCCTCATCGGCCAGATCGCAGCCCCATTTCATAAGCATTGACCCGGCACCGCGACGTTGATAGTCCGGGTGCGTTACCAGAGTGTCGAGGTCTGACCGCAAGTCAGTCTCGATCAGAGCTTTTGGTTGGTTGTTGCATAGCCACTCACAGTAATGTTTCTGGTCGCCCATGACTCGCAGCCTCTCATTTTCCTCCTTGGCGATAAATTCGTCACAGATTTGGCTAGGCTGGTCGTCCGTCCACGGCGGGTATCGACACCCCCGCCCCTCTGGCATCTCCGTATCCCACTTGGCAAAAGCGGCTATTCGAGGTCGTCCCCGAGCGTCTTGGGTTTGCGGGTCGATCACTTTTATATAGTGTTGAAACGGCTTGTGCAGGAGGTCGTACCTGTTAGCCTCGGTCCACCAATTGCGGACGGCCGGTGTATCAGGCCATATGCGTCGTATGCCCGGATCAGTGAAGGCAGCAAACCATACTTCAGTGAGCGTGGGAACGTCGTCCAGAACGACTTTCTCAACGCGGAGGGATTTCGAGTCCGAGCTTATCTGAGCTGTCATGTTAAGCGAGGTTGCAGGTTGGTGCGAGAAGGATTGACTGAATCCTTCGGCTGCGAAATTTTGATCTACGTTGCATTACAAAGGATTCGGAGCCAACTTCTATTGGCTGGACAGATAAGGAGACCTTTGTCATCATATCTCTTCCTTCTGAATGGCCAAGAATTCACCCTGCATCTCACTTTAATTTATATGAAGCATCAACTGGTTGAATAATTTAACGTATTTGTTCCTATCAATTATTGTTGTAGTTCGTGTATCCTAACATGACATGCATATAATTATAAATTGTAACATCCGTGCCTTGTCAAAGCCCATCACATTGAAGCCACTAGCCCCCTGAGGTTGTTGAGCGGCTCGACATACGAGTCGCTGGGGTTCACATGCCGTAATGTGTCCAGCAGTAACTCTTCCAAATCCACCATCGAGTCAATCATATAAGCTTGCGATGTATGCCGCTGGGCGTACAGTGCCAGCGCGTACAAGTAACCGTTGATCATCAACGTGCTTGAAAGGTTCTTCCCGGACAATAGATCGTTGAGAGGAAGCCACAGCTTGTAGTCACGCAGCAGCCTGACACGCTCAAACTGCTTATCAGGGGGCGTCAACGGACCAAGCTTGTCCAGATCTTGAGCTAGGGAAATAAGCGGTCGCAACTTTTTCCAGCTGTCGTCCTCGGGCTCCTGCTCCTTCAGATAATTCTTAAACTTGTGCATCTCGGCAATGAGGTCCTGTAAGACCACAGACGTATCGTATTCGGAGTTGGGAGTTGCACAACGGTCGGAAGCTGGACGCCAAGCTTTAGCAAGCATCAGGTAGAAGCTCGAGCTGTGTCCCAGTCGGTGACAGGTTTCCAGTATCTAAAGTCCGGTTAGACGGGATTCACGTTTATTCCCGAAGTCGCACTTACAGCCGTTATTCCTTCCGATATTTGACTGCGGCTCGACCTGGGGTTATTTGTCAGCGCCTCGCTAATGCATATCATTGAGATTTGCACGTACATATCCTCGCAGAGCCATAACAGCGCCATCGAAGCAACAAGCGCCCCATCCGCATGCTCAGGGCTAAAATTCGCCAGACATTCCCTCAGATCTTGTATCGCAAGCATCTGGTATTGGTATTCTTTTCGCCGGGCGTGTTGGCAATGTGTAACCGATGCGACTTGGTATGCGGAGAGAGCGAGGACTCCATTCATGGCTAATCGAGATGTCGTAATAATGCGAAAGAAGCTACAGGTCAAAGTTAGCGATGGTCTTAGATGGTATCGTCCCGACGCACCTCGGCAAGTAGGAGGATATAATTGTAAGCTTGCTAAGTCCCATTGCCGTAAGTCTGTGTTGGTTACTTGCAGCCTGGTAGACAAAGCACAGATCATCTTCGGAGTAGATGGTCGGTTGCAGGGTTATTCTGATGCGCGCATCCGGTATTGGCATGGATCCTGTTCTTCTCCACTGCCTCACCTCTGCCCTAGCCTTTGCCGACCAGGGTCGACGAGATTTGGTCGTTGAGGAAGATTGCACTTTGCTACCGGTCGGTGATGTTTGGAGTAGTGTTTCTTCTTGCGATGGCACGTCGTGGAATGCACATTTGACCTTGTGCTTGGTGCAGTTTTGACTGCGATGAAGAAATCAGCTGATGTCGCTTGGCACGTAGGAATGGAATGGGAAACTTACCATTGGGGATAACTTTCATCGCAACGGATGTGACGGCGCTTGCTGGACCAGAAAAATGATTAGCATCATGGCCGACTAATATCGACAGTATCCAGTCCAACGCACCATGTCAAACAGCCCGTGCGAGACTTTGTATGGCTTTTATACTGTCAGTGACTTGTTGAGGTGAAGTCAAAATTAGCTTTCTCACCTTCTTCGATTGCCGTTCCTAGTGTGGTTGTGGTTGCTCATTGTTGGCGACTTGTACGACATGTGTATGATATGATCAAGGAGATGGATGAGTTAGTGGTCGGGGAACGAGCGTCTTCGTATATCGACCGACGAGAGCTAATCAGCGGGGGTAGCCATCCGGCTGGGAACAGGACGGTTATATGCATCTTCCAAGCACCCTTGCGCTTAGACTAGATTTTGGATGTCTGATCAGATTCGGCCTAGTATAGGGTGCAGTACACCCTATGCTATGCTATGACTCGAGACTCTCCTGAGTCTAGGCCTGGACGCCACTTGAGACACGCAAAATGAGCGGTTCCTGACGTAAAGAGGATCTTGAAAATTACTGTACAAGGTACCAGGAAGTAGGTAGATCTTTGCAGGCCCGGCCGAGAACTGGTCTTGGCCGCACAAGCTTCGGCTGTCATTCCTCGAACTGTCTAGGAGTGGTCGTAAACAGGGGCCTATCAGGGAAACTGGGGAACCAGATGAGACTGCGGATATGAACCTGGCATATAGCCTGGCCGTTAATAGTACATGAGTAGATCCAATGCTACGTCGAGCAGGTACCAAGTCAAGAGGGAGCGTCTCTGGGGTTAGTCCAGAGTAGGAAATTATCAAGACCAGCAATGGTACTCTATCCGGGCGATGGATCCCGGGTGGAGTCAGGTGACCCTGGCAGGGAGCGTTGCTAATAGTACGTAGCAATAAGTAATGAAAAGGTGCAGGTTAGAAGAAGGGGAGGTAATTGGAAAGAAGTCTTGTTCGGATCCAATTGATTATTGGAACGATTATCCAGTGGGGGTACGGATATGCTGTGTGGTGTTGGGTGCAATTGTTAATATCGACAGTGACAGGTGCGGGTAAGACTCCCGGGGAACCCCAAGAGTTATTCTTTGCTGTATAAGGTAAAGCTTATGCATTGTGTCTCACAGCTTGGACGTGATCAGACGAAGCCAACAAAATGTGGCGTTTATAATAGAATGGAGATGCTATAATTAACCAGATGATTAGATTGATAGGCCGATGCCTCGCATGATGGATGTGTGGTGTTGGGTCGCTGTGGAATGGATGCAATGCCCTGTAGCAGGCCCTGTAATGAGCCCTGTAGTGGTAGTTGGAGGCCTGTAGTCTCCGCCTGAAGAACCACTGGAAGGAATTCTTCAGATGAAAAGGAAAGAAAAAGAAGTCGCGTAATCAAATTCTCCACTTTTGGACTAGCTTGCGACGTGGGTTGAAACGCTTTGACGTCTTACGGACCGACAGGAAAGCCGTTGTTAATAAAAATCCACCAATGTCGTTTCAGGAACATGAGATAATTGCTGACTCAGACATTCAGACACGTCTCCGCCAAGCTTGATTGGTCTTCGTTTCTGAAATAACAGCCAGCCATAAACTTCTCTCCACAGTCTTTTCTCGTACCGGATGCACCTACTACCCTATTGCAGAGTAGAACAACAGCCCGGGCATCCAATACATTACAAGCTCCACTGGGGTCTGCAGTACTGTACTCTTTGTAGGTACATTGTATCCTGTACAATTTATCGTATCCCATCGTATCGTACTCTGTACCTACTGTATCTATAGCCACTGGCCATACACGTTCCGACCTCGTTCCCCGTTGGTTCCAGTAAGCCAAGCAATCACACCACCCCAAGCGAGAACATGGTCTTCCCTGGCGCCCTCAGCCGGGGCTGCGACCGCTGCAGAAAACGAAAGATCAAGGTGGTTCTTTCCATTTTATTTACTTTTTTTTCCCCTACGTGCTCCTTTCTCCATTCATTTATTCCATGCCACCTGTTTCAGTCCCCCATCGCGTGCTAACTCGTTTCTCCCTGTCAGTGCGATGGTCGACGTCCAGGATGCAAACGCTGTGAATTATACAAAGCTCCGTGCCCTGGTTATGATCGTCCACTAGCGTTCCGATTTCATGGAGAGCCAGGTCATAGTCTTGTTCGCGGTGAACCCAATGCCGCACGCAAATCTGTCCCGACCCTCGTCTTTAGCAAGGGGTCGAGGTCCTATAGCCCAGGGTTCGCAAGACAACCCCAGCCGTCATTCGAGGATGAGTCTCTGGCCTTCTTTATCTCAGAATACTGCGTCTACCCGGCGCCCGGTGTCTTCAAAGGCCACCTTGACTTCCTCGAAGGCCTGTACCGGAACTCAAGCCGGCATTCCTGCATACGCCCGGCCACTTTGGCTGTGGCTTACATGGTGCTCTCGCGGCATTATAAGTCTTCAACACTCTATGTCACAGCAAGGAGTCACTATGGGGCTGCCCTACGTACTGTAAATAGAGATCTGTCTGCATCTAAGCGGCCCCTGAAAGACGAGACCTTGGCATCCCTTATGCTCATGGGCATGATTGAGGTACCGTAAGCCCCTCCGCCTCAAATGATCTGCACGCGCTGACGAGACTTTCCAGGATATCGAGTGCCAAGGGCAAACAACAAAGGCCGTGCACATGGCAGGCATTTCCAAGTTATTCGAGGTTGTAGGTCATCGAGTGCTCACAAACGTCGATGAATCGTCGCTTCATGGATGGATCTTTACGCAAATGGTTAGTGCAGCTTAACTCGTTTGTTTTATAGCATGGGTTGCTAAAACACAGACAAAGCAAATCCCCTCGCTTCTGGCCAAAGACGAAATGGAATGCCTGGCCATTCCTGATGCGCACCTGGATACGAAGAGACATGGCGTTCGCTTGGCCCTGGTCGTCACGCGCATTGGACACTTCTATCGAGCTGCCAGGCAAATCACAGCTGCAGACTCACCACTGACACAGGCTGAGAAGCAGATCCACCTCGTGTCGAACATCAAACAAGCCTTGGCAATCGCTAAGGAGCTGGCCATGATCGAAAAGGATGCAATACCGACCAAGCTAAGGCCGCGGGAGACGGCGGACAAACGGCCGGCGACCCCGACGAATCAGAACCTCATCAGCTTCGAGTCGCGATGGACGGCATGTACGTGGTGTCTGTTTACCTTGTTCTTGGTCCTCTTCTTCGAGAGGCTATACAAGTGCTCGGACGCTCTGTTACAGCTGGAATCGATAGATGACGGCGCGATGCAATTGGCCCGGGCCGCCGGCGCCATCTCCGAGGGCCAGATCAAGGCCATGATTCACAAGGTTTGTAGTTGCATGCCCTATTTGATGGGAGAGGTCGATAAACAGGGGCGGCCTCTCTCGGTACCGGAACGGCAAAGCGTTATCATGTACCATCTCGTCTGGCCGCTCGCTGTTATCACCGTTAGCCAGCACAGCAGCCCTGAACAAGTGGAGGATTGTAAGATGCGGCTCATCTCGGTACGGGATTTGTACGGGATTAGACTCGCTAATTTTGCCCCAGATTTGGCCAGGGGCCTGATGGTTTAGCGATAGTGTGGTAGTATAAACGTTGAGAATAGTGTGTACTGTAGTTGATGAATGATATCCGGGTAAGAAGGACCAGATTGCCCAGTTGCTCGATGTAACCTTGTGCGGGATTCCCATGTAGTTATAGTTGAAGTCTACCCTTACCCTAGATGAATTCCCTGTTAGACCAAGGCAACGGTTACCTTTGATACATGATCCTTGGCGTTCAAGGCCTTGCCACCACCAAGTCCGCTTACTACTAATGCGTAAGCGGCTAGATAAGGCGAATTGCGTATTGTTACTTGATCCCGGAACCCAGATGAGTTTACCGACGCCCGTAGGACCAGCATATTATGTAGACTAAGTTTTAAGTGTCGGTGTACCTGTCAACGTCTGAAGTTCCGCAGTTTCCGGTAGTAGATCCCCCACAGCGGAACCATGACAGAATGCAGAAAGGTACTCCGGCCCAATCAGCACATGATTGTATTTTCGTCGCCTCCCATTGCATTCTCCAGCAATTCGAAACAAAGGAGAAGAGAATTATTCTGATATATCATAAAATTGCCAAAGTTAAATGGCATTCAAGCGTACAACTCGGTTCCGAGTACAGTAGCAATAAAGTCCGCTGGACGTAGGATCAAGATCAATGCCCGCCATGCTCCTTTTGGGACCTGGTTTGCGAGATCAGCGCTAGGAATTGCCATTGACAGGATCCACCTGACAGGCGGATGCTTAATCTACCTTGCGTGAACTACTTAATTGCTTTGCACCATGAAACATGAATTCGCAAAAAGCAATATGACTTGCAGAAGCGAAAAGGATATTCACCAAGACGCGACAAGTGCCGCGCGAATGCCGAAGCCATCTCCGTTTGTTTCAGCTTCAGTATACATACGATCTTGCCCACAAACAGGAATGCTTGCGAAATGCCGTCATTCCACATCCCCCCTTCACTTGGCTGCATGGATATAGGGTAGGATGATCGGCAGTCAGACAAGTGTCAGTACCAGAGCCCATAAGGTCTAGAACTGACTCAGACTGGGCAGGACAGGGCTGATGTCTGAGTCTGGTTAGACTGCTCTCTGGACCTGGACCTGTCAGCTCCAACCTTTTCTCCACTCACTCAACGCGGCGGATCCCATACCGCGTGAGCGTATCCGTAACTAAACTTCCTTCTCCTCTACCACCTATAACGGCTTACCTAACTTTTCTTGGTTAGCCATGCGAACCTCCTTACGAAGATCTTGCAACGCATGTGCCAAAGCAAAACATAGTTGCGACCTCGGAACACCGAAATGCTCGCGATGTATCAAGAGAAAGGTCACGTGTATCTACGCAAATGAGCCTTTGTCTTCATCATCATCAACGTCCTCAGCGGCGTCGTCAACACCGGATACCTCGGATCGAAGCAGATCAATAGACAAGGTTCAGGTGAAGAGACCTACGTCCAAGAGCTATGATTCCAATGCGTCTCATGACAGTTCAATGGCGCTATCTACGCCGGTGAATGCGTCTTTTGATCCCTTTGACTCATACCCTATAACGAGACTCCCCAGAGTCCACGTCCAGCGGTTGATACAGCACTGTAGAGTCACAGATTTCAAACCAAACCAGTATAGAATTCTAACAGTCTCATAGTCCTCTCGAATATATCCTTTCAATACTATCCTCTTGACCTCAACATGGCTTCCAACCCTTTTGTTGTTTCATGGTGGCCACTAGCTTTGGCAGACCCGGCCTTGTTCCATGTGTCGATACAGACAGCGTCTCTGGATGAAGAAAGACGGGCGCAAAGAGGGTTTCCAATATCGGAACTTCTCATGGCTGACTCTGTTTCTCTGATACGGAAGAAGATTGGGAGTACCTCGCTAGCTATTCGAGATGAAACTTTGAATTCTGTTGTTACCTTGGCTGCTATCGAGGTGAGTGGTTTTCAGTCATGCTACTATTCTCCATTGCCAACTTCAGATACAGCATGGTAAAGGCAATATCGATGCCAGCAGAGCACACATAGACGGTGCCAAACGTATCGTTGGGATCCGTGGTGGGCTTGACCAAGTCAAGCAAGCAAGCCCGTTGACAGCCAGGATGATAGCTTGGTAGGTCACGTTGTTCATCATAATGAGTAGATCCCTTGAGCTGACCGTCCTCTAGGGTATCGCTACTGGTCACTGGGTCTCCTCAGTATGCCATACAGGATGATAATGGCATCGGGGATGGAGTCAGCCCTACGCTACAATGGCTGTTATCATCATCTTTGCTGGAGACACCAGACCCAGTCGCCCAGGCTCTTCACCTGGAACCTGCCATTGCAGACGTCTTGACTCGTCTACGCGGCATTTTCCATCAGCCCGGTGCTTCGGTCGCACTGGGCACAGAGCTTCACGATCTTACATGCTTCGTGGTACATAAGCTCTTGCTCATACCGCCATACACAGACTCGCCACATTCGGAATGCCTACGATGCGCTATGGTACTTTACATGCTTATCATTCACGGCACAACGTACTACACGCATACTGAGCTTGCGAACAACATCATTCAGCAGCTCAAGGGACATCTCCAGTCATTAGCCGGAAGGATCGGAAATCTCCTTTTCGACTCCTTACAGTTATGGGTCCTTTCCGTGGCCATCGTCTCAGCAACAGATCCAACAGAACTTCAATGGCTGATCCTGGCCGCCAAGATTGCTGCGAACGCCATGGGTTTGCAGACTTGGGGTGATGTCGTCATCCATCTCAAGAGGATCCTATGGCTAGAGAGTGAGAGGGCTGAGGTATTTCGACTTCAGTGGGATGGGATTTTGACGTGAGCGCACAATAATATCACTCAATTCCTTCAAGCTGACACACAAATTCTCTATTCTTCTGACCGTTATTCCCAGCCTCCCTTGAAAAATGCACGACACGTTCATCTGCTCGTTCCTGGCTCTTTCGCGTTCGCGTATTCGGATTCATGGTTTCAAACCGGAGACTAAACCTGATTGGGACTAGTCTCCGAACCGTTGAAGACGCCAAGCGACCCTGCAGACTGAGGAGCCGAAAGGCTTAACAGGCTGATCCTGGGACCTGCCACTTGCAGCAATTACCTGAGATCACTCAACGAGATGGGTCAGTTCTTGTTGATACTTCCATCTACGTCATCAAGATAAGGTCTTGGCTTGACCAGACTGGCAGCAATCGGGTCGAAGACAGAGAGAGTTGGCCGCTTCGTCGAGACAAGATAACACACATCTCGGTTTGATGCGTCTATAACGGGACAGATTGCGGCGTAAGAAGAATTGAGAGACATCTGATTCGAGATATCACCAGTCACTTTCTCCACATTACAGATCGGAGTCTAGTCCTCAAAAGGAAATCTCGAATACATCAGATATCAGCCCATAGCAATTGAAGGCCCCGATGAAGAAAGGACATTGGCCTGATTGTCCCAATAGTTCAGAGCAGTATGGATGTTGCTTATTCTATCCGTAGTTTTCATGTTTCGTATTCTTGTTGGGGGAGCCGAGCAGTTCCGGATGTTAAGTCAGCCACTCATCAAGGGCCTTGTCCAGGGCCTACTTAAAGGCTCTGGTTTCTTCCATAGTTCGATGGTGTTACTGTATTGTACCATTCCTTTGGAAACTCAATATGGCATCAGTAGTCGAGCCCAGTGTTGGGCCGTTGGCCAACAATGCATCCTTCTCAACCCACGAGAACGACCTCACCAAGGAGAGTGGCCTGTTGTCCACCTGGCTCGAAGGCTGTAGCAACATTCAGATCGCCCTCACAATTTTCGCAATCCTCATAGCCTACGACCAGTTCATGTATCTTTGGAGGAAAGGTCCCATCGCAGGTCCAGCCTTCAAGATCCCCTTCATGGGGCCATTTGTTCAAGCTCTCTACCCCAAGTTCGACGCCTACCTTGCCCAATGGGCTAGTGGTCCTCTCAGTTGCGTATCAGTCTTTCACAAGTAAAGCCATAACCTATCCAAGGTCCTGAACTATACTCACCGTGCCATCCTAGGTTTGTCGTCCTCGCTTCCGATCGTGATATCGCACACAAGGTCTTCAAGTCCCCTACCTTTGCCAAACCATGCATCGTTCCCATGGCCGAAACCCTCCTTCGACCAAGTGCCTGGGTCTTCCTCCAGGGCAAGGCACACACCGAATACCGCCGAGGACTCAACGGTCTGTTCACCAATCAAGCAATCAGCACCTACCTACCTGTCCAGGAGACAGTATACGACGACTACTTCGACCGATTTGTTGCAGCGAGCGAAGTTAACAAGGGAAAGCCCATGGCCTTCATGCGACTCTTTCGGGAGATCAATTGCGCGCTCTCCTGTCGAACATTCTTCGGTGACTACATCTCTCAAGATGCTGTCGAGAAGATCGCCGAAGACTTTTACCAAGTCACTGCTGCGCTCGAGCTCGTCAACGTTCCTCTGTCTGTATACATCCCTTTCACGAAATGCTGGCGAGGCAAGCGTACAGCAGACGCTGTGTTGGCAGAGTTTGCTTCGTGTGCTGCTGCTTGCAAGGCAAACATGGCTGCTGGTGCTGAACCTAAGTGTATTGTTGACCAGTGGGTGCTTCATATGATGGAGTCTAAGAGATACAATGAACGTATTGCTGCTGGAGAAACAGGTATCGAGAAGCCCAAGAACCTTATCCGCGAGTTCACAAACGAGGAGATTGGACAGACCATGTTCACGTTCTTGTTTGCATCACAAGATGCTTCCAGCAGTGCGACTACTTGGCTGTTTCAGGTTCTGGCTCAACGGCCTGATGTGCTTGACCGTCTTCGAGAAGAGAACCTGACTGTTCGTGGTGGAAATAAGAAGAAACCATTCGAGCTCTCAATGCTTGAGTCACTTCCTTACACCAACGCAGTCATAAAGGAACTTCTCCGGTACCGACCCCCTGTTATCTTTGTTCCTTACGAAGCCACCAAGACATTCCCCATCACTCCCAACTACACCATCTCCAAGGGCTCTATGATTGTGCCCTCATGCTATCCTGCTCTGCATGATCCGCAAGTCTACCCAAACCCGGAGACCTTCGACCCAGAGCGATGGATCACGGGTGATGCTGAATCGAAGACCAAGAACTGGCTTGTCTTTGGGGCTGGTCCTCATGATTGCTTGGCTCGCAAGTATGTTCCACTGACTATGGCTGCTATGATTGGAAAGGCGTCGTTGGAGCTTGACTGGGAACATCATGCGACTAGCCAGTCTGAGGAGATCAGAGTGTTTGCTACATTGTTTCCTGAGGTATGTTCACCCGAAGAAGTGTTTTGCAGTGAGAAATGGCGGTGTTGTACTGACATGTTTCACTGCTAGGATGAATGTCAGCTCGTATTCACGAAGCGCGAGTGATCGATTGTGGTGGCTACATTGAGTCAACATAGTCATACAAAGTAGAAGATAGATGTGCATTAGATTATGCGTATGTTCTGTGTTGTCAGTATGCTTTGAACGACCTCTCCCTCGAAGAAACATAAATAGAAAGCACATGCATTAGTCTTTCCATTACGAAAGTAATTCAACTTCTTTCGAGACGATGAAGTATACCAGCTCAGAGCAAACAAGATGCAGGCGAGGTCATTAAGCTCATGCTCGTCATGAAAAACCAGAAAGTGTGACGAATATTATTATGTATGAAAGATATTGATCGGAATCGCAAGTAATTGGTTATAAACGGGTGCTTAGAAGTCTATGGATATATACAAAGCGCCAAACGGCTGAAGGTTATTTAACAAATCCGTCTTTGAGTGGCAGACGGAAGGGCATCCCATTACACATTATATCAGCTCATAGTTTGCAATACTTATGAGGCTCATTTAAGCAAACACATCCTTGAGGAGGAACTCAATCTCCTTCTTGTGGACGTCATCAACAGCAGTGTAGGTAAGCTCGGTCTTGTTGGCGTCAAAGACAATGTTGAGGGGCTCCTCAAGAGTGTATTGGGGCCAGGCGACGTGCTCAGGAGCAGAGTTCACGGTGTTGGGAGTCTGGTCGTGCATAAAGGCAACCCACATCTTGCTCATGAGGTCAGCCATCTTGACGAAAGACTCGGGCTTGCCCTCGAAGGGGCTAGCAGCGTAACCGACACCCTTGACGTTGTTGAAGACGAAGGCAACCTCCTGGAAATGGGTGGCACCGATGATGGCGGGGAGAGGGTTGACGTAGAGGTTCCAGAGGTAAGAGAAGACAGGGATGTTGGCACCGGAGTAGGTCTCGGCCAAGAGGCGGCGGCCAGCGTGCTGCTGGAAGTCACCAGCGAAAGAAGCAGAACGCTTCCACTGGAGTCCGTACTCGTTCTGAGGTCGGCCAACGAAAGAGGCGGGGATACCCTTCTCAGGATCATCGGGGTAGAGCTCGGTAGCGGTAGCGACAGCGTCCTTGTCAAGGCCGAGGCTGGAGATCCAAGACTGGAACTGCTCGGTGGTGTTGATACCCTTCTTACCGTAGGCGGTACCCTCATCGAAGTTGTTGCCCATCAGGAGAGGAACATGAGCGAACTTGCCAGCGCTGAGGAGCTCAGGAGCCTGGGCAGTCATGAAGTCACCATCGACGACAGCAGTGAGAGGAGGTGTAGGGACGCTGAGAGCAGTGGTGCTGTTGAAGATGTCGTTGAGGGTCTCCCAAGGGAGCTCACGGAGGCAGTCGAGGGTCTTGGAAGAGTCGGCGCATCCAGTCTTCTTGACAAGAGCGTCGTAGTAGTCCTGCCAAGAAGCGGCATCACCGAACATAGCGAGAGGGCTTCCAGACTCAAGAATGGCACCACGGAAGAGGTCATCATGCTGACCGTCATAGGCGACAAGCTGCATACCGAGAGACCGAGCACCAGCAGACTCTCCCCAGACGGTGACCTTGTCGGGGCTACCACCGAAGGCAGCGACGTTGTCGTTGAGCCACTTCAAGGCCATGCGCTGATCCTTGAAGGCAAGGTTACCAGCGTTCTCCTTCTGCATCTCCTCACTGAAGAGGAAACCCCATTGGGAGACGCGGTAGTTGATGGAGGCAGCGATGATGGGCTTACCCTCCTTAACGGACTGGTCAACAATCCAGCTGAGGTTGTATCTGGGGTCACGAGAACCACCGTTGGTGTAGCTCTGTCACGTGTGTTAGTAAGAGTAGACATGATAGGTAAGGTAGGAACTTACACCACCGTGGACCCAAAGGCCAACAGGGAGCTCATCTCCAGCCTCAACACCGGAGGGGCGGACGATGTTGATGGTCAAGCAGTCCTCATTAACAGGGCTACCAAGGTTCTGGGTATCGGCACCGTAACCGATGCACATCCATCCGAACTCCTTAGCATCTCGGTGTCCCTTCCAGGCCTTGTCAAGAGCCTTGGGGGAAGAGAAGCGGAGAGATCCTACAGGGGGCTGAGCGTAGGGCATGCCAAGGAAGAGATCGTGGTCAAACTCATCGCTGTGCTTGCCATGGTAGGTACCGTTGCTAAGCTGAACAGCGGGAACACCAGGAGGGGAAGGAGGAGGGGGACCAGGAGGGCCGGGAGGACCACGAGGACCGGGAGGGCCAGGAGGACCACGAGGAGGAGGAGGGGGAGGGTAAGCTCCAGGAGGACCTGCAGGAGGGTGACGGGGGAGAACAGACGCTTCGGAAAGCGTCAATCCTGAGACAGCAGCCAGGAAGAGGCTTAGTGTGTTTGAGTGCATCTTTGTGGCTTGCTGTGAAGGACAAGTGAGCTTCTAGGGTGTTGTTCTGGAAGGAGAGAATGGAAGCTCGTATAATCGAAGAGAGACAAAACAAACTTTCATCAGTGGCTTAACTTGCAATAAAACGTGTCGATCACGGCTCAGCTGTTCTTTAAGAGTAAAGGCCTGGTGGGCCAATGGTCGCATAATATTCGGATCATCCCCCATGCTTGGAGCATGGCTAATGCTTGTGTAATTTGCCTTTGAACTCGGGTTGGCCCTTGAACGATTAGATCCGAAGAAGGTCCCTTGCGCTCCGCCTGAAAAACTGGGCTGTTAAGATGGTCTGCACTCTGCAATGTCACTTTGGGGGTCAAGACGTCGGGTTGGTTGTGACTCTGTGAGCAAAGACGGACAACCTCCAAAAATTATGCTTCAGTTAGTACTGTCGATCCCTTCCCCATCTCCTCTACAGCGCCGAAGGTTGGTCAGCTGCCCCCACCATGAATCTGCAATCTCGAGTCATTGGAAACGTCTTTGTCGACAGTTTTTTCTTCTTATTATTATTATTATTATTTTTCTTCTTCTAAAATCTCATCGCCCCGTTCGGCTATCACAGCTATTGATGCAGATACCCATCGTACCGTCCACCGGCTCTTGACTAGGCTGTCAGCCGCAGGGTCCGGTAAGGCAGTCCCCAGTACCGGATCCCTTTATTTCCGAGGCGGATAGAGCAAAGAAGAGCAGTTGGGGGACCCTCGAGATTAAATTAGTTGACAGAGAAGGGGGAAATGGATGCTCAAGAGTCGCGACAGTGACCGGTTTAGGTTTAGCTCGATCTGGAGGAGCGCTAGGAGATGGTAAAACTGCCCTAAAAATCGGCCGACAGTTGCCCCGTAGCGAGGACCAAGGACCAACATGTCATCCTTCGCTTGGAGACGTTGCGTGATTAAGATGCGGCCCCGAGACTTGTTGTAGAGGCACTGACTCCAGGAATAGCGACTCGGAAGACGAGCTTATAGCATTGTATCCATTATAAACAGGAGTCCGGCCTTGCGGATATTCTCCCGAAGGCCCTCTTAGTGGAGAGGATAGACAAAAAGATTTTCCTTTAGTACCTCTTGGCAGCTGGAGCGTGGCGCGGGTACCTCGGGCTTCCCCTTTGTTAGGCTACTCGTATAGAAGTTGGTCAGTGAAGTAGACTAGAGAAACGACGGTCTCTCTGGTAAGCTTCCTTCGTGTCACAGCTCTTCTGTCTGTAGTCTGTGCAGACCAAGTCCGCGGCCGCTGTCAACGGAATTTGCGTGGGCGAAAGAATGCAGAAGGTTAAGTTAAGTTGGATAAATTTCGATCCACATTCTCCATGGGATTGTCGTCCCTAGCTCGCGTGGGAAATTATGAATCTCTCCCTGACGTTACATTCGCCTACACGATGATCCCCCGGTCCTTGCTGGATAACAGCATGTCACCTTGGATTTTTGTCTTTTCTCACTTTTTATGAGACGAGATCTGCCAACACACGGTTCATGCAAGTGTTCGTTCGTGCCGAGGGAGCCGGATCTTCTGTGTCTCTGACCATAATGGAAATGATCACCACCATTTGCTCTTAACGCCCACGTGGAATTTTCAGATGCCATACCTGCAATTGCAACAGCCATTTAAGAACCAACACATTTTATGTTTCATACTTCTGCACACAGACAATTGATCCAAATTGTCTAGGCATTTGGTAACAAAATCTCCGTCGGCTCGGCAGCGTGTTTGATCCTAGCATGCATCTCCCCGTCCAACCCTGACCAAGGGGATTTTTTCGAGAATTAGTCCCTGGCGAAGGAAGCATCCTCGCCAACATCATTGGCTGCTTTACTATGCCACTGTCCTCACTGTGAAAGCTACTAGAATCCTTTTCAGCCACCAGCGCCGAGCTAGTGGCACCTGCAAACTAGTGGCGTGAGGTTCCGATGGCAGTGACTGCATCATTAATTCTACTGCACTGTAGCAAAGAAAGGGGTGCCGTGGTTAGTGGAACTTTGTTCTGCTTTAGCTGCAGCCCTACTACGTATTGCAAGACAGGATTCTGCTCCGGAGGTGCTGAGTGGATTCACCATCAATGCGTCGGTCCAAAAGTGCCTCCAGCCACGGCCATTTTGCCAATCTTTACCACATCGGCTGTTGATGGCATGATTGAACCTCGGAGTCGGAACCAATCTTCCAAGGTTACTCCTGGGCCTGACGCTAGTTCATACACCCAAGTGAGGGGCACAATGGGGACTCTCTGATGATCAGTACGACGTTATACATATATCTCCCCAGGCCCAGGGTCCCTCAATGCAACCAGGATTTGTGATGGAATCGGATCGGCGTTGAATCTACCAATTTTGCTTTTCTTTTTCCGATGATCGTGAGATCCTTTTTCTTTTTAATTCTTTGTCACATCCTCTCCTGATAGTTTCGCAATGGCAGAAGAGCGAGGTACTCGCTTGCTTGCGAGCATATGGACGTTGGCGCTTCTTTCTCTTATTTTGTTGTTCCTGCGTATCTACTGCAAAAGATGGAGAGGCAAGGGTTTGTGGTACGATGACTGGTTCCTCATCGCGGCCCAGGTAAGTTGGTTCAACCTCCATCTCTAAAGCTTTCGAGTCTGTTGGCGCTAACGACGGATATTTCGTCTTAGGTGACACTAATGATCTCTGTGGCCATCAATACGTACTTGGTATCTCTGGGATTCGGACGACATATGGACACGATCAGCGAAGAGAACTTGAGAACGATCAACCTCAACACCATCGTCGGTGCGGCTTTCGGTATCATCGCGACGACAACGAGTAAAACATCCTTCGCCATCACCTTGTACCGAATTGCCACCAACGTGTGGATGAAATACTTCCTCATATTTGTCATCATCACCATCAATATCTCGATGAACTTGGTTTGGATCTTTGGTCTCGCCAAGTGCTCGCCTCTTGCCAGAGTCTTCGATAAGAAAGTCCCCGGTACCTGTTGGGATCCAACGGCACTCCTTCAATTCCAGCTCTTTGCCGCATGTGAGTTTTCTCGAAACCGTCGATCGGCGGCACCATAAACTGACTCAATCCAGACTACTCGGCTGTCCTCGACTTTGTGCTTGCACTCCTCCCATGGGCGATCTTGATGCGAATGACGATGCGACGACGAGAGCGACTTGGTGTTGCTGTTGCGATGAGTTTGGGAGCGATGTAAGTTCACACTGCTTTCAAAGATACATAGTCTCGATATCTAATACGTTCAATAGTGCTGGTATGACTGGTATCGTCAAGTCTGTTCTTGTTGTCAACATGAAGAGCCAAGACATCACTTACGATCGTGTCGACCTTACCATTTGGACCTTGACAGAACCTGCTGCTTCCATCATGGCTATTTGCATTCCAGTCTTGTATGTTCCATTCTTTTCCGTTATCTTCAAGTTCAATGCTAACGTACACCAGGCGAATGCTCTACCACGAACTCAAGTCAAGCTCAAGGAGCTACAACAAGAACAAGACCAACACAACCCCCAACGACCACGAAACCAGAAACACGGTCCCGTCATCACAAGCTAGACAATCCAGACGATACGGTCCCAACTCACGATATGGTCGAAACTCGGTGGTTATCATGTCCGGCTGGCAGGAGTCGCAAGAGCATCTACAAGACTCTGACGAAAGCATCAGCGGCATGAAGGCATCCGTGAGCTCAGGTGGCGTCATGAAGACGGAGGAGGTCAGGGTGCAACACGAGCGCTTGAGCACATTTAGCGACGAGCACTCAATAGAGTTGAGGAGCTTGCCGCAAGCGCAAGTCAAGGGTGGTTATCAGAGCCATGAGCATGAGCGAGCGCCTTCTTTCTAAATTATTTTCTTCTATAACGTATATACTGGTTTAGTTACTTATACATGATACCCTGACACTTGCCACCAAGCCTTCCTTGTGCATTGAAAAGTGAGCTTGTAGATTGGCAAGTCTTTGACGTGGCCAAGTCGGTATGAGGGATGGTGGATTAGGTATCCGCTCCATATGATATTATCATTCCAAGTCTGGATCAATATAATGTATACTCAGAACTCGAGTACGATCCGTTCCGCATTAGCTCATCGACATGATTGCTTGCACAGCATAGGGCACGAAATAGTTTGGTTGCCTTGGGCAAGTTTAGACTGGCATTTCGGTTACTTTATTATGGCGCCTCATGCCTTATGAGAAGTCTTCTGTTACCCTCCCATGCTGCAGATGTACCTAAGCCGACGGCCGACTGATGCTTCTGAAAGTAGTCGATAAATTCCATAAGCATCTTTTATCGAACGCTTTCCCAAGTGAAAGCAACAGCGTTGTAACGTCACCTAGTTAATAAGGTATGCCAAGGGAAAAGGGTAACGCCGAGATCTCTCTTATCGCGTCTTGGCAGCTTTAAAAGACTTTTCCCCAGGCCGACAATCTTCGCAAGAGCCATAGAACAGAGCGTGCTTTAGCACTAGGCTAGTCGAGACCGATATCTTGACAATTTGTGGTTCCGCGGTATTCTGAGAAATTTGAACTCAGTAGCGCAACGCTATACCCACAGATCGGGCAGCCTAAGCAAAGCATAAGTTAGCGAGAATCAAGGTATTGGCTTTCCCTGTAGTGTCTTGATGGCTTTCCAGGAATGGGAGCTTAAGAACTATCAGCTTTGCGGATATATCCGAGGCCCCGGACCTGGATCACGATTGTTGGGTGCGTGAACTGTTGCTATACATTTACATCATCTATGGGGTATCTGATCCAAGCTTTACTACCAGTGCAGTTTTGATAGAAGCGTACATCAGCCTATAAGTGAGAGAAACCTCTGCAAGTTTTCAAGCGGAGGTTGTTTAGGAAAGGCATCGTCAGGGTTCTGATTGGTTGATAAGAAATGACGACAACCGTGCTAACATGGCGACATGGCACTTCAATCTCTACCTTACAGCGCAAATCTGGTTTACTTGATGTCATAGATAACTTTCAGTATGAGAGTTACATTCAGAGCATCATAAATACCATTGTTTGTGGTCAATGCCCCGATCAACATGGAGTTTATTACAGCCTCTATGGATGCAACCTTATAAACGTTTAACAGGGATTATATGGTGCAATGGATATAGCGAGACACGTCATGAATAACCCCTCGAGCATATTTAGTTCAGATAAAACTACCATTTGCTCATACTGCCCTACTTCCGCAAACATATCTTAACAAACTGACACAATGACAGCTGATCTAAAGCAGCATTCGTCGCCAGATCTCAGCGATGAGACAGGTGCAGCCACTCCAGTGAATGAGAAAGCCCTCCTGCGGAAGCTTGATTTACGTCTTCTGCCAGCAGTTGGAATACTGTATCTCTTGTCATTCTTGGACCGCAGCAATGGTATGGTTCAATCTATGCTACGACATATTCTTTAGCTGATATATATTGATCAGTTGGAAACGCTCGCATCGAAGGAATGATCGATGATTTGCATATGTGTAAGATGATCAGACTTTCAATCTTAGCATTCTCTAAAACTTCTTAGCGGGGAATGAATATCTGACTGGATTGACTTTGTACTTTATCGGTTATGTTATCTTCGAGGTTTGTTGTTACGCCTTTAAGTCAATCCTCTCCTCACCATTCTCAGATTCCATGCAACATTATTCTCAAACGGACGACACCCCGACTATGGCTTCCTACCCTGACGATTGCTTGGGGCATTGTGGCGACCCTCCTCGGTATTGTCCAGAACAAGGCAGGATTCTTTGTCGCTCGGTTCTTTCTTGGTGTGACAGAAAGTGGACTTTTCCCTGGTAAGTTACCAGAGCCATTGAATCCCTAATGCGGGACAGATGTTGACAAGATCAAAGGCGTGGTCTACTATTTTTCAATGTGGTATAAGCGGCGCGAGAGACAATACCGGATCTCTTTGTTCTTCAGCGCTGCCTCTCTCGCTGGAGCCTTTGGCGGTATTCTGGCATATGTATGGCTTTCAACCTCCAATGTGCGCAACAGCTAACAGTGATAAGGGTATTGGAAAAATGGCAGGCGTGGTTTGGGAGAATGGGTGGCGATGGATATTCATCCTGGTAAGGCCTTTGCAGATATCCCACCATTAATCTAATTTATGGACAGGAAGGTATTGCTACCGTGCTGGTCGCTGTGGCAGCATTCTGGTTCATCGAGAACTATCCCAGCACTTCCAAATTTCTCACTCAGGGAGAGCGTGCTGTCATTCACGAGCGCCTGAACGTAGATAGTGATGCTATTCGTGAAGAAAAGTTTAGCTGGGCTGCTGTTTGCGAAGCCTTCCAGGATCCAAGCTGCTGGCTCTATGGTTTGGGGTTCCACACGATGAGTTTACCATTATATACACTGTCTCTGTTCATGGTAGGTTATGCTGGACTTGATCGTGTACACCACTAACTGATTTGTTAGCCCACTATCATTAAGGACCTTGGATATACAGCAGCAGTCGCCCAGCTTTTGACCATACCGCCTTATGCTGTTGCTTTTGTTACTACCTTGAGTGTGGCCATAGCCTCGGAAAAGCTCGCTAAGCGCGCGGTTTTTATCGCTGGATCCTCCGCAGTTGCCGTTATAGGATACGCTATTCTGCTCGGAAACACCAACCCAACCGCCAGACCGGGAGTCTCTTACGTTGGAACATTCTTCGCCGCCGCCGGGATCTACCCCGCCACGGCACTGGTTCTCAGCTGGCCAGCCATTAACGTTTCTGGACAGACCAAGCGTGCTATCGCGAATGCGATGCAGATCAGTATTGGAAATCTCGGGGCTGTATTGGGAACACAGCTGTACAGATCTGGCGATGGACCAAGGTTTGTGGTTGGTCACTCAATGGCCTTGGCATATCTTGTCGCGAATATTATTGTGGTAAGTATTCTGGGGTGGCGGTTGAAGAAGCAGAATCAAAGTCGGGCCGTGGTAAGTGAGGAGATCAAGCATGTTGGCGAGGTGGAAGGTTGGAAGGGTGATTCAGACCTCAGATGGAGATTCGAGTACTAACATAGAGTATCTATCGGTCGTTGACTGCTACAGGTGTTTATGGAATTCTTGAGAAGTAGTATTGGCAGACTAAACTTGAGAGGGCAATCTTTCTGTTACCCACCTGAACCTGTGGCGTCTTTGCATTGGAGTTAAGACATGTCACATACGGGGCAAGCTGTTCTGTCTGTGGCTAAATCAATTCTTCCGCATAGTGTATTCGCGTGATGATCACGATAAAGCGTTATTATTGGGTTTATGACGTCTTTTGGTTCGGACGCCGAACCATAATGCTTTGTTTTCTGCTTCTGGTGACGTCCTGGACCTATGTAGCACAGATTCTGGCCCAAACATTGAGTCGGGGTCAATTGAGACACGGCACGGGAAGCCTCGACTGAGAAAAGCCATTGTCAATTATCACAAGCATGGTTTACTTGCTATAGCTAGGAGTGGTACACCCTCAATGTGATACAAGTTTTTCGATCATGTCGATTACACTTCTATCCGCTATGGTCTAGCATACGTGTTCTAATGGCCAACTTTCTGTGACTTGTTAGTAACTATTGATTTTGCGAAACTAGAACGCCTTTAACAAATTGTTGCTTATGTAATACTTTGTCAAGCTCGATGCGAATTTCTCTCAACTATTCTCAACCTTGATAGAATTGTTCATTTTTCTCCGCACAACTTTTCTAGCAATAGCAACACTCACCTCCAAGAACGAAGGACGAAAGCAAGACCCCAAACCATCCTTAGAGTCAACTCCCTTATTAGGCAGTCACAAAGCATCTGTGTCTGTCGCCACCTATATCGTATGCATCTTCTGTATCGTCTTTAGGCGACTCCTCAAATCTGAGTCCTCCTTCTGAGGATCCTCAACCCACCGAAAATGATTGCGAAACACTTCAACTAGCTACCGGACTTCGGGTTGTTCTTATACTTACTACTGGTGAACTCCTTCCCGCGATCGCATCACTGCGTATCTGGTTGCCCATAATTAGGCTAACACATGTCAACACAGCCGTATTTATCTTCAATGCAGATCGTTCCCTGGTACTGACTAAACATCGAAGCATTGGCTCGGAGTTCGGCGCTCTTCACCGGTCCTCTTGGCTCGTCACAGCTTTCGGACTTGCTAGAGCTGCAACACAAACAATCTTTGGAAAGCTGGGAGAACTATATGGCTGCAAGCCTGTAATTCTATTCTCCTATCTTGGATTTGCTTTAGTCTGGTATGCTTGGACAGTCTCTGGCATGATAAAACCGCTGACAATTTATAGCATCGTTGTGTAAGTTCAAGTCGATAAAATCCCTCTTCCGATTGCCGCATACTAAGTTATTTCAAAACGCATCCGCACAGTCTATGCTGACTGCCATACTGAATAGAGTATTGTCCGGCAGTGTCGGGACGGGTATGACGGTACTTGTTTCGATTATCATCAGCGACCTGGTTCCACTGCGGGAGTCTGCGGCCTGGAGATTCCATGTGAACGTTGCGGCAACAACAGGTAGAAGCCTTGGCGGGCTTTTGAGTGGTTGGCTAGTTGATACAGTAGGGTGGCGATGGTTTGTTCCCCTGTTCGCCTCTAGGTCGCACGCTGTGTTGTCGGACTTGAGCTGATCTTCTATCGACAATAGGTTTTTCTGCATCCAGGCTCCAACACTGCTCGTTGCGACGTTTCTTTACTGGCAAAGACTCCCAGATGACCTGGGAGAAAAAACCTCGCAAAGACGGTTGCTCTACAAAAACCTCGGTAGGTACGAGAAGCTGGTAAAGCCTGACTTTCTTGGAGCATTCATGCTAGCCATGACTATCTTGCTGGTCTTATTGCCGATGAAAGTAGGTGGCAATCAGGTTCTCTGGTCACATCCTGTGATTTCCAGGCGTCGCAAGTTCAGGGCGCAGCCGTCAAATCTGTTTTGGGAAGATCGTTGAAAATGAAGCTTCACCATCTTGGACTGGATGCAGTTTCAAGACAGAAAGTACCATACTGCATTATACCTGACTCTAGGGGCATCCAAATTTCTAACCTCCATAACGGATCTTGACTAGAGCGGCTACTGATATCACGTCCATTCCTAAAATGAAAGCAGACATCAAGAGGGCTGTCATATCATCCTATGTAGATAGTCTACTCTATGGGCATGGAGTTTCATTGGTATTCATATTATTGGGGTTGAATTTGGTAATTGGTTTGAGAGAACACAAGGTCGGCAGGCAATAGGCTACTGATCAATATTCCACAGATACCCAGAGAGACTAAGGCTGCCACTGAGGGGCTTGGCGGGTGATCTCAAGGCTCTTTTACCTTGATGTTACTGCAAAAATTCCTGTCAGTCATTCCATTGGGGGCAATTTATTGAACCACCTTTTCATGCGGAATACAGGCTCCTTGTCAAGATCCCGGCCCGGCAGCCGAGACTCGGCATTCTCCAGATACTGATTGATGGTGGAGCTGACAGAGCTGTCAAAGAAAGCTAGCATTGTTTAGCGCCAACCACAGCTATTCCGAGGGCGATACTTGGAGTTAGCTGCGTTTCCTATTGAGACAAGTGGCGTCCCCCCGAGGATTGAAGAGACAATGACAATCACAAGCAAACATGAGCCCATCGGTGGGGCGAGTGTGTGCCATGATTCAGAGGACAAAGAATACACCACAGTCTCGACGCAAACTTCAGAGCCAGCCCCAACAACATGTGGCGAGATAAACCCTCCATGAACTGAGCGCCGCTGAGCGAACAAAGAAAAGAACAGACTGCCGATTCCAAACATACATGGCTTTTTCACAAGCTGAATGGCGGTGAGTCTCGAACACCATCAGCATCCTAGAACAAAGGAAAATGGAGTGCGAACTTGACCAATATGCGTCCGTGATGTTGCCTCGATCATTGCGCGCTAAGCGAATAACAATAAGAAACCTTTGTTCATGAATGAACAGCTCCCTAAAGGATGCTAGCCATTCGGAATCATCTTGTATCCAACAGGGACAGACTCGCATTACTGACACAGATATAAATATTCGTCCCTCCCCAGCCCTACTACGCTTCAATTCCCATCAATCACAAGCTTAAATTTCCAACCACGCCTATTATCAGTACCCATCCCTCAGTACACCGCTACATCACATCTATCCACCATGACCGACTCATGCTCCGGCAGCCACAAGCCTGACCTCCCTTCTGAGGAAAAGTCTATTGCAAGACGACAGATCGACGACAATTCCTGGTTGATTGGCGGGGTAGTCATATCCCGGCATGCCTCTGAACCATCTGGCCCTTGCTGGGGCGATGGTAAAGGGGGTTTCTTCACCATTTCCGAAGCACCAAACCCAAGGCCGACAACTAGGCCAATCTCAAAAAATGATGACTGCCCCATCGAGGATCATCTTTTACTGGAACCCAGCTCGTATAATATCTACCAAGTCGGCCTCGCCTTCTTGGCCATTGATGATGGCAAAGGGACACCAGAGCACATCACCTTGGAAGCCTTGGCCAAAATTCCCTTGAGTTTTCAAATCCCAAAGGTCTACTACCACGGCGTCCACGACGATAGATACTACATCGTCTACAGCGCTCTTCCTGGCAAGACTATCTGCGAAGCCTGGCCAGAAACGAATGATGATGCATTGAAGGAGCGGTGGCTTGAGCAGATCGTTGACAGCTGTGTCGAGTTGTCTGCATTGAGTAGCCAAGCCATGACTGGGATCACCGGTGACACTCTGGCCGAGTGGTGGCTCTCTAGGGACTTCCTCGAAACTTCGGTTACACCTGAATCTCTTCTACAAACCTGTAAGGAGATAGGTATGGACTGCTCAAACTTGGTGTTTCAACAAAACGACCTGTCACCGCTTGCTTTCACGGTGGATGAAAGTGGTAAGCTGCTCGGTATCTACCACTGGGGTGATGCTGGCTTTCTCCCTAAGGACTGGATCCTGACAAAAGCCACTTCCAACCCACATCTGAAAGCTTGGAACAGGCAAAAAGCTTGGAAGACAAGTGAGAGGAACAAATGGAGCATGGGCATTAAGGGTGCTCTACAGGAAAGGGGATTCCGTGAACGTTTCGAGGCAAACGGCGAATGGAGGGAAAAGGTTTTCAGGGATTATAACGTTCAGAATATGCGAGGGATGCAAGGAATGCAGGGGGATCAAGAGTAGGTTGGTCGGGTATGTTGTGGATGCACTTTTGGATTTTGGATCACTTTCGTTAACTGTACACTTGCTTTCCAGTATCTATCCCACACTCTTTGCCTTCATCCTCATTTCCATGTCGCGGGAAATAGCACACTTCAGGGCTATATTGTAAACCTTTGTTTTATCATCTCCCTTGAAGTCAAAGGTCACAGTGGCCAGATGAACACATCCCAGGCCCGAAACCGCTCTGGGGCTATTCAGTCGCCGGTTCATCGTTTTCGAGGGATTCAGGCTCCGCTTAGATTGTTAGTTGGGGGATAATGGGTTGCCTCAGGGATACATTTCGCTACTCACGGTCTTGGGGTTGGATTATAGGAACGATCCAGAGACAGACTTTGTTTTTCTTGGGACCCTTGCACATCGTCGCATCCGTTCTGTTGACGTGACCGCAATGAGGGCATTGGGTTGGTGCCTCTAGTTGAGCGCCGTTGAGGTTCATCTTGAGGTTCATCTTGAGGTTCATCTTGAAGTTCTTGGTTTGTCGACTTTGAAATAAAACTTCTTGAAATAAAGAACAGAGACTGAAGATGATTCTCAAGGTTCTTGGTTTGTCGATGAGGAAATAAGATTTCTTAGAATAGTGAATAGAGACTGGAGATATGTTTGTCAGTCTCTGGTAAGCGATGGATACTCATCACTATTAAATACAATAGCCCTCGCTCTATATGAAGCGTCCCATCTACCATTTGTCTTTGAAGTCTATACCTAGCTAGAGTTTCAGGCATCTCAAACCCATTTCAATTATGACACAGCAATAACAAAGAGAACATTATACTTGGGGTCTACTGCTAACACATCTGGTGATAAGATGCCTGGCAATTCGTACTTAGTAAAACAATACTTAAAGAGAACATTCTATTTTTGTATTCTAGAGATTGCAGGGTCTATTCTAAGGCTAAGATTAACAAATTATTTATAATCTTTGTAAGACTTCTTTAATCGTTTGTTTCCGCCAGCTATAACCTTGCAAGCCATGGCTGTATCAGTTATTGAAAGTAGCAGCAAAACTTGTTCGTGGAGATTACATCAGAGCTGTGGCTGAAATTATCTGGCGATATTGAGCGCTAAGCACAATACGAACATGGTTCTAGTTTCAGCCGCGTAAGCCATGAGGGTGGCAGCACAAAGAGGCATGCCGCTTTCAGTTTCCGTGGGAGCTTTACAATCTCATTTGCAAATCGCCCTTCCTGAAGGTCCCAATGAAAAAGAGGAGAATGACGTACACATTGTCCCTGAGCCCTGTAGTAACGCAGAATCTATTGTCTCATGGGGCCTCCAATACTGTGTCGCGGTAGACAAGATCAAGGTATACGTTTTCTTTACGAAGCCACATAGGAAACAGAAACGCAAACTTCGAACCATCTATAGCAGACAATCCGAGTAAATTTCTTGCAGCTTTCCCATGCCACTCGAAAATTGCTATTTGTCGCAGTAGGTAGCGCTTCGTACCAATGTAGCATCCTGTAGTAACCGTCCGTCGTAAAACCGAGGATACTTAACCAAAAGCCATATGGTTACACGCTCATGTCATACATTTCGTACCATCGCTAGAGTACACAGGAGAGGACCTCGTCAGGCCTTTTTTCCATGATTGGCTGTCTTACAATGCTCAACTGTCAACAAGAGTCTTACACCATTTCTGCATATTCATAGGCCGTAATTATCCACTATCCAGCCTGAAATACACCTGCTACATATAAAAAGCGTTCAATACAGACAGAGGAGCTTTCATGGGTCTCAGTTCACATAAAAAGGCGGTTTGATGTCACGGAATGAAACTCTGGTTGAACTTGTGTTATATGTGAATTGCATTCATATGCGTAAATTTGTACGGTCGTATAAGTGTAGATACATGAAGCACACAGCTCTGCTGCGTGTAGAAATTTGAACCGACTGGCGGCAGTTAAAGAATATCAGAGCGAAGGGCTGCCCATTGCCCTACTCCTTGGTCCCAAACTCAGTTTGAGACTACAAACCACTTGTCGTAATCGTCGTGAAAGGCTCTTAGATGCGCTGAACATCAGGGCCGGGGATATCGTAGGAGTTGAACTGTCCGTAGAGACTGAACTTGATACCGGGGTCCGTGGGGGTGTAGAACTTGGTGAAGTCACCACCGCCGCTGAGAGCCTGGGAGCCACCACCAGTGACCTTGAGGTTGATGCACTGGGGGTAGGCCTGGGCACCGTTGGTCTGGCCAGCGGAGTGAAGACCGATGATCTCATGTCGGAGAACGTAGTTACCGGCCTTAAGGTTCCTGGGGACGGTGAACTTCCAGGAGTTACCGTCAGAGATGAGCTCGTCGGAAGCCCAGCGGCCGGGGTTGTTGCCAGAGATAAGACCCTTCTCGGCGACCTTGGTCCATCGGAGGCTTCCCTTGTTGATGCTGGAGAAGTCGCCGCTGACGGGGGCGAGGTACTCGGTGACGGGACCGTGGTGAGACTCGGGCCAGGTGTCCCACTTCAGGGTGACAACATCACCAGCAGCGACGGTGACGGCGTTGCTGACGGGGCGAGCGCTCTTGTGGCAGATGATATCGGCAGTGCCAAAGGAGTTGGGCTCGACGAAGCCGTTGTCCTGGTTTCCAGCAGCCCAGCCAACAGCGTCGGAGGGAGCACCGTGGGGAATACCACCAGTGTACTCCTTGCCACCAGCAATGACCTTAGCGACGTGGCCGTGGGCGTTGACCGAGCTGGCGAGGAGAGCCACAGCGGCGAGGGAGAGAGTGTTGCAGTGCATTTTTGTGGTTTGGAACTGGAGAGGCTTGTTGGGCAAGTTGTAGTGGTATGAAGTGAATGAAAGACTTGTTGAAGGCTGTGATGAGATTGATGAGGAGACTGCTTCAAGGTTTATATATTCGAGTTCCATCAACTTGATGGATCGTTCATTTCTCTAAGACGAGTCTATACACAAAACCAATTATCCCGTTTCGTCGACGGAGCCAAACTGGAGTTTGACGAATTCGTGCCATTCACAATGGAGATGCAGCGTCCGTGATTACCGAACTGGGCGATGATCTCCATCGACTACCACGTTGAAAGCCGATATTAAAGGAGGGTCGCCCAAGGTAGCAGCCAAGCACGCCCCAACTTTGCTGGCATTAATTCGGTTTATAGATGGACCAACCACGAGTCGGCATTGACGGCCATCGGAGAGAGAAGCCGGCAGTCAAATCGATTCGCTGTGGACCTGTTTCAGAAGCTGTCGTTGTTCAAGGCAATTCGGACTTGGAACCCGTTTTTCCCGCCACGTATAGCCACTCAGACCTTGGCAAGATCCGCTTTGAAACAAGAATGGCCACAGCGTCAGAGGTCTACATACAGAGCGCTTCATTACAGTTCAACAAACAATTTTAGTAAAACGGTTGTCTTAACTATCATTCGTGGAAATAAAGAGCTTGAATCAACTTGTCTCGGCTTTTGCACTTGGGAAAACCGCGAGGGTCGTCCCGCATAGTGTCCTACCCTGGTGGATCACCAGCACCATAAACTTTGTTTCCCGGGAAGATGGTTAAGCATGAATCGCGATGCACGGTAAAAATTCCCTCCGAAGACTCGGGATGAAGCATTTGCGGCGCGGATGTCTGCAGTAAGACGATAACAGTAATTCCAAATACTTCCGGAGCTTTATGTGTCTACCGATGGCAGTTGTGCCTGGGCGAGAGACAACGGATGCATTGTATTAGCCACATGAGATGATCGTGGAAGCAGATCGAGAGTCATGGGTGAGGGATGCAGAGAACAGCCACTGAAGTGTGTCCAATCGCGTGAAGGAAGCATTAAAGCTTTGTCCAACTTGGGATAAATTTTCCCGTATCCTTGTTTCAACGTTACAAGTTACGCGGCCCGGTGTTTCCACCCAGGATTTTTAATTAAGAGGATACAAGCAATAAGGCATTACTCTTGGTGTTTATTGTCATCTCTCGCTTGGAAAGACGGGACGAAATGCTCGAAACAAGTTGGCAAGCCAAGAGTAACTGGCGGTTAACAGCACCTCTGTAGATGGTCATCTGGCTCCAACAGCATTGCATTAGGATGACTGTTTTAGTTTCAGGCTGAATCCTCAGGGTTTAACTTTGTTTCCAGAATCGTCTAATCATTCTGTGAGTTTCGATCTCGTGCTTTCCCTTGCTGGTGTCGTGACACAGAGGTTCAGCAATGCTACGCTAATATTGTGTCTGCATAGCGGGCTGTCGATATAACCCGCTGTTATTGCATCAGTAAGCACATACGACCAAAGGTAGTGGAAAATACGGGATCCCGTCCGCTCTCCCATAGTCAAGCCACTAACCGGCGGATTAGTAGTTGGGTCGGTGACGACCAGCGAATCCCCGCTGTTGTATGTTTTTTGCCTTTTTTTCTCGGTTTGGAAAGGTGGATTCGAAAGGTCTTTTTCATTGGTCCGGGGCTCCAGCTTGGCTGACCAATCGAGTAGACCACGTGAGTTGGCGGATCGGAGATCTCCTTCCGACACCATTTTTGACAGCAGCTAATCGCTGGATGTAACGCCATGTTGGTTCACGATCTTACCCTGTAGGTTTGTTCTAAAGATGCAATGGGAAGCTGTCAAAGGCTACGAGCAGAATGATCACCCGATAAGCTCATGATCTCTTTTTTATTAGTCTCGCGGCTAATTGGGACTTTTGTTGTAAAATTCTGTAGACTGTGGTGGAGTGAGGCTGGTGAACCTTTCTTTATTCATGTATGCTTTGAACTTCAACAACAGAGTCACAATAGACTGGTACCCCATTTCTCATCACGATCATCAATTTTTTACAGCGGGACAGGCCGTCCTTGCGTCATTTTTAATTTTACTAGAATGGATACATTACTACTGTAAAACTTTGCCGGAGCAGGGCCGTTCCTTTAGAGTTTGCGGCTGGCTGTGATTTATGAGATACCGGCAGGCGCAGCACTTTCTCAATGTCACGGTGGTATCAAACAAATATCGTGACATTTTCCACCGACACATGGGTGATGAACAAAACTTGGCGAACTCTATTCACATCTGGCGACTTGACGTCGGGCCGGGAGCTCTAGAGCTACATGAATAGTAAAGAGCTGCATGAACACACCCTGTCGCGACACTACCCTTCTAATACCAGACCTTGACGCGTCGGACCGACATCACGATCAACAGGCGCGTTAGGTGGGCGCAACGGCAACGAGATGAGCCGCACGACACTAATTCCATTTATTATTTACGTCACATTCAAGTTTTACGAGTCTCTTCCTCATGACCCAGGCAAGCCCAAGTCAGCAATGAAAAGATTGAGCCCAAACAAGTGCGCGTTCGCGTCACCTAGAGGCAGTGTAATACTAGGGACACAGTGGATGAAATCATGTGCAAGCACAGAGGAAATCATCCGTAATCCAAAAATAGGAATAATCAATGTTGGTCTCCTTAGAGACCTTTCAGAGATTAAACTGAAAAGAACAGATACTACACTTGATCTAAGCCAAAAGGCAAAGAGAGCTAAGGAGAAAAGGAAAAGAAAAAAGCGAAGCTTGGGTGGGCTGAGAGACTCTTTTATAGAGAAATATTAGGCGGTGAGAAGAACCGAGTGGCAGAACTCCAGGCGCTTGGTTGTGACGTGTGCGCGCCTCACTGTCAAATTCGGTGGCTGGGAGTATTTCGCTAAGGTTAAGCGGAGGCATCACTGACCAACAACAGCAAGGCTGTGGATTTACTTTAGCTCATGCTACGTAATTGATAGACAAGATGAAGATGATCCTTGATTGACTTCTCTGCTGCCTAGTCGCGTGTCTTGATGGACTTCGATGTCTGTTTTCTGAAGGTGGACCAGGACATGGACGTAGCGGCTCAAGGAGTTGACACATAAGGGTGATCGCTGCAAGTTCCATTGCACTCATGATGCTTCCAGAGTGTAACCTTGTTGATGACAACCTTAACTGTCATTATCCCGAGCGTGCTACAAGTTAGTCGCTCAGCTTCTCACCTCCCTTTGTTTTAGTATCAGAATCATGTCCAAGAATTCTATTCAAGCGCCCAGCTTCACCAGAGCATTATGAACCAGACCAGATCATCGTCCATGTTATGGTCCAGGAGACATTATTGGGATAGAAACTCTATCAATGAATTACACTTCTCAAGTACCATGACTCCAATGTTCACACGAGACTTTTCTTGTTTTGTCTGTATACTTTAGAGACCTGCTCCTCAAAAAAGTCAAAATAGTATTTGCCCTGCCTCAACATAAAGTTCTGGCTGAGCATCCGGACCTTTATTAGCATTTAGGTTCCAAACCTGCGATTATTCTTGTATTGATTTGATATGTATATTGGACGTGCGCCTCGGAAAAACTCAAAAATAACTGGCTGAGCATTTTCCTTGCTTCCTCCGCCCAAGAGACACACCACAGCGTAATGTACTCTGCTTTGACGATTGGTTCCACGCTTATCATCTTAAAGTCTTGTAGGGTGGTCGATGTTGGTGGAAGGAAGAGGAAAGAACCAGAAGAAAGCGCATTCCATGCTCAGCCCGAACCTTGTCCTTGTGCCATCCATTCACGCTTCTCGTTGCGACCTGGCCTACCGGTCTTATATATAAGCGTTCATGGCTTCAGAACTGCAAGCAGGTCGTTGATTTCCTTCTTCAACTTATCACCAATCCAGTGCAAAATCCGGCATGCTAGGGTGCGTTTTGGCGCATACTTGTGTTTTATGAACAACTGACTGTCGTAGTTGAATCAAGATGACGGTCATATCGAACGCTTGGTATTGTTGTTTGACATAGTCGGCCTCTACAAGTTGATGCGGTAGAGAAGATGCAAAGTTCGCAAATGCTTTCTCAGACTTTGGGCGGAAAGTCAGTTCCTCGAATGCCTTCGATGGAGCGGGAGCGCACCAGGCCGAAGGTGAAACGAAGTTCGCCACGGCGGCCATGGGTTTTCTTAAACTTCGGGCGGTGAGTTACTGGTAGAACATGCCTGACGCCGGCTTAGATTGTCATGGAGTGTCTTCCTCGCGTGCGAGCGGAACTCCCAAGATGTGTTCGATGGATCGGGAGCGCCAGGGACCGACAGTGAAACGAAGTTCACCACGGGGGGCTATGTCAGTTGCAGACTATTCGAACAGGCGAAGAAAGCGTATTGTGCGGATGAGAGCGCCTCAGGCCGGCGGTTTAAAGACATGTCGGAAGGCCGTAGCTTGACGTACTTCCAAACCATTCTGAGAGAGCGTCAGTGAACGGCATCATGTTGCAGTTCGCTGTCGAAGCCAGCCGCGTGGGCTGACTAGCAAAGGTATATGTATCTAGTCTTCATTGTCTCACGGCATGGAGGCCATGCGAGTACTCGTGAACTAGGGTCATATGTTAGCAAATCCTGAGATAGATACTAGACTTGGTGAAGTATACCTCCGCGGAGGATGTCCATCGTCTCTATGCATGACCAATGCACCCATCAATTTGGCACTCGGCTTGACATGAAGATCTGTCGCAATTTGCCGAAACCAATGGCAGCAGCCATGCGCTTAGCACCGGGCTATTCGCGGCTGACAAGGATGTTTTCCGGTAGAAAGTACAGTGGATAAGATATAGCAAGCAAATACTCGTGGGATCTTGTTTTGGCACCCGGGCCCGGACCCGCCATTTTGGTAGATCTTCTTGCTGTAGTCAGACTTGGTCATTCGATACTGGTTGATCACCCTGAAATCGCTTGGAATTGTGTACGAGCCTCATTGGATGACGACCCGCTTCGTTGTTCATCAATGTTGCAACTACAACGAATGAAGTGATCGGAGAACACCCTAGCCCCTGGCACCAACAACATGGCCTCGAACCAGATGTATCGCTGCCGGATAAAATCTGGCCATTCTCATGGGAGGATATAGACAAGCGCACCACATGCGTGAGAAGCTTGTGCCACATTTCGTCATCGGCTGCACAGGGACCCATTGAACACAGGGAGTGTCGACCAACTGCAGCACATCCAGTCCACATTGCCTCCGGAGAAGCATGCCAGTCGAGTAGTGACTCACCAACAGGCCAATGCTCAAGACACTCGCCAGAGTCGCCACCGATCCGCGATGTTGATGAAGACTTCGTGTAGTCTGTCTGAGTCCAGGTCAGTGACGATGTCATCGCTTTCTTGTGTAAGATGAACTAACCGTCCAACTCTGTCAGCCTTACCTGGGCACCGTCTTGGAGATTCCAAAAATTAGATGAATGGAGTCTGTTGGATCGATCCCATGTTACTCAAGTTCATGGCACTCCCAAACCATAACTTCAGCTCGATTTCAGATAGCATGAGGTCTCGAGAATCATGCTATTGAAGAAGTCTTGGCTCAGGCTCGCGTCCCGGCCAGTGGTGGTCTCGTGTTAAATGCTGGCACGATCCATCGTGTACTCATCCTAAGATCCGCAGACTCTGAGGCTTCGGGCACCAGAATACAGTAGCCCACGTATTGGCCAAGTTGGCATAAGGTGACTTTCGTCTCTGATGCCTTTGATGGTCAGTTCTTCTGACGCCCTGGCATCTAGGTAGCAGCCAACCTTGCATGATACTACCAGCTCCATTGGCCACGATCTAACTCGCTGAAAGCCACCACAGAATTGATCGACGGCTTACACACGTTGACACACCGATAACTGGAGCCAACAAAACACACGATGACCGTTCAACCCGATGAAAAGAATAAGCCGTGCCTCCTCTAGCCCATTACCATAACGTTAGTGGGCAGAGCTGAGTGAGCCTGGAATGGTGAAGTCGTTGATGGCATAGGCGGACGAGAATCGTGAAAGTTCCAGCAGAAGTCTTCTGCTTGCAGCTGAAGGATACGGGTAAGCAACGGTGAACGGGAGAGAGCCAGACTCCGGAAACTGATACTCGTATTATGCAGATGGTACATTCATTACATCTCAGACGACCCTCCTATACTCTCCACATGCGGCAAACGCGGAAGCCATCTTGATTGGGTTCGAAATATGCACCTAAACTGTAGAGAATCAATGATCTTCTCTGCCAAACATTGACAATAATAAAGACGCTTCTGAAGTTGGCATTGCGCGCGTTGCTATAAAACTCCGACCAATCCTGCCCTTGAATACACGTAAAGCCGGAATCCTCATTCTTAACACTGCCCTTCTGCTGTGTATTATTGTCATTGGCGCATGGAAAGAAGTAATCATGACCGAGTGCCCCTGGATGCAGTTTCCTCCATTCGGACCTGCCAAAGCGAGGTGGGTTGAATGACCTGACAGGGCAAGCCAAGGTAATGTATAGCATCCCCACGACACCGAATCTTTTCTTTGATACTCTCATGCCTGACTCTTAGCTCTAATGAATGGAACTTGGCAACATTGCTCCACGCTTCTAGGACTTCTGGGCTAAAGTCCAACTGCTGAGTCCCCCGCCATACCATATGTGCGTACTTCTCAGTTCTGTTATAAATGAATGCACCTGCACCGCCTTGACGCCCATGCCAGAGTACAAAGGTCTTTAAAAGAGGCATCCGGAGTACAAGTGTCGACATGTCGAGCAATAGAGCATCGCTGTCGTGTTGATCAGCATTCCCAACATCTAGAGAACGTGAAGTAAGAGCCAGGGAACGTAGATGATCCCACGTCCGATCTTTGACGCAGAACTCGAAGAAATCCTCTGCATCGACAACAAACGAGGCTGACAGCTCCTCGAGTTTCAAGCTTATCTGGGCTAGGCCTCGACTATCCTTGACCTCATTGTCAACGAACAGAACTCCACTATCCTGTCGATCCTGCCGCCACTGGATGTGATGCTGAGCTTCTTGCTGAACTTCTGAATCTTGTGGGAAGTTTGCCGCTTGTAGAAAGTCATTGTCGTCTCTGAATATGACCAGCCGTTTGAGCGTGATAGGGAACGGCATGCCCACCACTCTGATATATACTACGACTTCTATGAACAAAGCAATTGGTGAATGAGTTGCAACAAGGCGGTCCACGTACCTTCTGTGTCACGTTTGAAGTACCTGGTATCCATCAAGTAGCCGGGGTGAACGTGGGTATAAAGAAGGGGCCATGGCTCGTAGATCAGATCGGTCAGGCGATGAAATCGCCCCAAGAGCGGATCCAGACTGCTGGGTACAAAGTAACGGCGAAATTGGCGACGGATCACCAGGCAGGTCACTGCGGTGATGGGGGGAGGATTTTCTGCAGGGCGTCCTAGGACAACAGGCATGAACAATTGCTGCAGTTCAGAGAACTCAGGAGGGTCCGTCTGAACACCCTTCTGCCAACCGTGAATAGGATCATGCCAACCAGTTTCTGGAATAGGTGCGTCTGCATCGTGATCGTCGTCGAAGCGAAAGTTTTTAGCCCAGTAATTCGTATCACTAGGCGACCTTGCGTTAAGGTCCAAAGTCAAAGGACCTTCTGTCTCCCAAGTGCTAAGGATAGATGTAACTGTATCGATCGCCTGACCTATGATATGGTCGTAGTCTTCGTGTTTAGGCCGAGGAGAGCTTGTGCAACCATGACATGAATAACTCTGTAGCTCGATGCTGAGGTAGATATGCTTTACGAGGTGTCTCTGTTGAACAATCGTCTTTAAGCCGTTAAAGCAGGATTCTTTTCGAAGTTTCAACTTGGCCAGATTACTTGCTCCGATGACGCTTTGCCATTCTTTAGACACAGAGGCGAGAGCCGACCAGCCTGGGAGCCGTAGATCGACTATTGTGTCCAGAATCGCATTTCGGATCTCTGACGGTAGAGATGACCACTCGGGGACTTTTGACCTGCGAAATTGTTCCATTTGGTCGGTGATGTGAGGGTGTAGAAAAATGAGGACGGTCGCGAGGGCTGGCGGACATATAAGAACATCACTCAAGTTACACTTTCGATGATGCAGCCAGGTAGGACCATATTCTTCAGAGAGATGAAAACTTAGTGAAACATGGGGCAGAAACATAGTTTTCCAGTACATTTCTAACTCACAAAGAGTCAGTGACAGAATTGCATGACGTTTCGTGAACCTTCTGTAACCCTAGCCGCACAAGCATCCAGCAGCTCGTCGCCATTGTTGACATCGTCATTATTTAGTATAAGGCTAGGTACCGTATTCTAGTCCCTGAAAGACATGATAAAACAACACATTTAAAACGATCCATTACCCCCACGAGATGCACATTGTCAATCTCTTGCTATAATGTTTATTGCAGTGTCATGGATGTCATACTTTCGATGATGCAGTCGAGTCGTGTTGACATGAGCTATATGGCTTCTGCCACTCAAGAAAGACGATTGAGTATAAGAAAGAGATCGGAACAGGTCCATATCATCGCACGTACTTTGCATTCCCCAGGGTCTCATGTTCACTAAGAGACGTGCGATGTTGATTTGCAGGACACGGCCCACACGCACCGATAAAGAACATGCGTAGCCCAAAGCTTAGACGGGTTACTTATGGACGAGATATTTAATGCATATTTTTGAGAAAAAAGCGATAAGCCCTAAGGCGTTTGAGCAGCTGACTGGCGCCGGTACACAAGAGGGCTACCTGCACTCGGCTTGTCTTACACTGCCATCGCTGTCTTCGTAGAATTGGCCGCTAGCTCACGTACAGAAAATGTTCGACAATTACAGTACAAGCCTCTTACCAGGAGACCCTTAAGAAGGCCGAGAGAGACCCGACTGGACTGCTGGGGAGGTCATTAAAAATGTTGTCGTCAAGACAGGATGAACATTTCCACGGGTCTTTGAGTTCTAGTGAACTTTCCAGCGCCTGACCCGCTGTAACTCACTGAGAATAATCACCATTTGTCTGAGACCAGACATCCAATGGACACGAGTGAACGGCGATGGAGCTCGAGTAACGACATCTCTCGGAATCCTAAAGGGAAAACCATGACCGCTTGAATAATTTGACGCACAAGCGATAAGAGTGTTTGTATAAAATTGCAGGATCAGGAGCACTGTTACAAATACAGCTGAGCTCAAGTCGCTGTAACGGGATCTGAGGGAGACTGCCTAATTCTTTGTGGAGAATGGTGTTAGCATCGCCGAGCATCGCAGAACATGCTATTAAGAAAACAACCTGAGTTACTTTGACTAGAGTAACCAAATGACAGCAAAAGGTCAAGATGACAGACGATCCATCTCTTCCCGAGCGACTGTTGAGGCTCACTTTGCAGTGGAGCTGAAAGGCAGATGCCAGAATTCGAGGCGGTCATGCATGGCAGAAACATCTCAACGCGGCGCGGGACCCCAGACTGATGTCGCGACAATGCTCCATGGCCATTAATTCTTGGTCGAACACCTTCCCTCACCTTCTCGGTATAGACTCGCTGTATTCTCTTACTACTGAATAAGCATAGCGCCGAACTTGCGATGATGGCAGAGAGGCTTGTGCTTCCAAGAACCCGGGGTTGCTGGTGCTGGGTGTGATAGTTCTGGCAAGTGGCTATTCTACCCTTTGGCAAGTTCGCTGACTGGTAGCTACACCTCTTTCAGGCCATTACATATTGTCACCGAAGCGCGTTCTACGGTATTCCTCCTCCCACCATCGCGACGCAGTCACAGCCCCTCGATCGACCACTCCGAATGCGCTGTCCTCCATACCCAACGCCGCTGGTCGGTTCTGCGCTCTCGAAGCGACTTTTGCCCTCGCCCGCGGAACAAGAAGCGATGCTGAACAAAACCACGGTCGATTCAGTTTTTCGAGGAGGTGATGAGCTTGATAAACATCGCTATCCATGGGACTAGTCGTTGCGCTTCTGCTTTTCAACGCCTTGCTGCCAGGGCGCTTGGGGCCGTCATCGACAATTGGGGACACGAAATAACACGTCCAATCGTCTCGTGACTAGCCGACTGCCAGCCTGACAACGATCAATTCGCAAGACCGATCTTCGACAGCCACTCAAGAGCAATATCCTGCCGGAGCGATGTGGATATCCCTGTGCCCTTCCCATACAGCATATGTCACGCCGGGCTCTGCCCTGCCATAGTCTCGTCTTCTAGAGGCGCTAGAATATGGTTCACACGTCGCGTTGGCTATAATGGTAACGAAGCCTTGCGATCGATGCTTTGTGATAGTTGCGGCCATATATTCTCCATGTTTGCCTATGTCGCTGTCATTATCGGGACTTTCGTCTACGTAGACCGAGTCTTATAGGCACTTTACTTGTGTGACCTGTATACTACGCCAAAGAGTTATTCCTCTTGATGATGCTGCTTCTCCATAGTCTCCTGATTAAGCCACGAAAAGCCACTGTGCAAACAACTTTGCTGCCGTAGCCAATATTCCATTCCATCCATCCCCAAGTCAGAGTTCAACGGACTTCTCATCACTCTATAGCAAGTCTATTTAAATTTCTTGAGTGGCCAAACGCTCAAGATGTACAAGCAAAGTAACACGATGCCATGGCAAGCCAGCCGATGCTTTGTCAGATTTATGGTCGGTAAAAGTCCTTTGCGTGTGATATTATTTTTGTTTCCACCTGTGCTTCATCTCGATTCTTGAGGCTGAAGTTTTGGTGTCCAAAGTGTGTTTTGGTAAAGGCAGCCCTCTATCCTGACGTTTCTAAGGTACTCTGCCACTGAACGTCCCATGGAGGACGCGCACATGCTTTACATTAAGATCATTAATACTGTTTAGTTAGTCGTGACTATTCAACATGCTATCAGTTTCGTTGATTGAACCTTGCGCGGCCAAAGAAAGTTTTGGCCTGGCCCTATAAATTCGGGCAGTGGTCCTCTGTAACGCCGCTGCGCTCTAACGCTGGAGGGTCGTCCGAGCCCCCTGGCCGCCCGCAAATCCCCCCGGGCCTCCGCCCGACGAAAAACACTGCCCGGGTCGAGATCTTCTCTTCTCCACTCCACTGATATCAATGAAATCGAGTAACATCCAATAGAGAGACTGACCAGATAAAAAGATAAGGTCAAGAAGTTCTCATTTTCTTCAGTTCGATCTCCTTCGCGTTGCTCTATAGTATTTCCTACAATTTAATCTGAAAGTGCCGATGGCTTGCACATCTTCCCTTGCATGTTCAACCACGCGGCGCCCGAGAGGGAGATTGAAGCCCTTTCTCTTAACTTTACAAATTGGTGTGGTGCCTCTAAATCACATGATAACAGATACTCAAAGGCGCAGAAACGTGTCGTTTGGATCGCTTGCTTTTGTGATATCTTGTTAATATTTTGGACCCATGATGCTTTAAAAGTATAACTTTGTTGATGAAAACTTTGACGGTCATTATCCCGAGGGGTAAGGGGCCGTTGTCCAACTTGGCCCAACCCTATCAATGTGATTTTGTTTATTTAAGTTATCTCGATTTTTCTGAATGGCCAAGCCATCAACTTGTACATGATAGAATAACACAGTGTTGGGCGACCTTGGTCTTCACTATGGCAACAAAAAGCATCCTGCGTCCCTCGGTTGTGATGCGTAGACCCCCTTCGGACTTTCCAACGAATTAGACAAGTCGTCTTGGGGCTTTACGCGTATACATCGTATTCGCAGAGCTTACCAGAAGACGGTGAGTGCCTGCAGCCTCCTTTGTTTGTCTTTGTTCTCCCAGAGGTACACCCACTTGCTGTCTCTTTTCTCATTCTTCCCCTGATGCGTCATCTTCAGCGTCTAGTCTATAGCCCTGCTCAACGGCTACAAGCTCCTGTATATGTTTTAATTACTAATGCATCCCGTGAGTAGTCTGATATGCCTTTTAGCTTGCACGATTCTATAGGATGAGATACGTGAATCGTCGCGGATAGATACGCGAGGGTGGATTTTGTTTGGGGAACTTGCTAGTCAGCCGATGGGAGCTAGGGAGTGAGCAGGGAGATCCCTTGATGGCCAAGCTTTTTCGAGTACCGGCAAGATGACTTGAACAATTGTACGTACCATTGAGGAAACAAATCTCGTGTGTGACCTTTTTTACAAAACATCAATGTGTCAATAGATTTACCTAATGGATGAATGCCTGGAACATGACTTGCTTGCTTCTGTGGCTGTGAGTAGTCTGTCGACTTTGTATGTTGAGGCTTGCGCCTTTCTTTGCTTTTACTACTCCGAAAGCAATCAAGACATGGATACTCATATGTCGTACTCTTAAGCAGAGAACACCAAGTGAGCTGCAAGTCAAGCTCTTTCTATGCTCGTCAATTACAGTCTAGCACCTTTAGCAGTCATTACTTCTACATCGCAGCAGACACCGTGTTCTCAAGGTTCATTACATCTTGACCTACCAGCAAAGCAAACAGTCTAATGACACTTCTAAAGCTATCGAAGTCATAGACATTGCGTCTACAGATGATCATTGGTGTAAAACGACCATCCCGTAAGCCGAATCGATCAACAGGCTGAGACAAACGACATGACACATCGGTGTCTCAGATCCAGCACAGCCAACAGCCCCGATGGTTATCGGACGCTTACGCAAGGGAAGAGACACCAGAATCGGAAAATAAGAAGCATTGGCGATCAGTACCTCGTTTATGTGATGTGGGATTGGTGGTGGAATCACAAGCCATCGGATCGCGGATGAATCTTTGACCTCCCGAGGGTTGCTGGAGATTCGTTTGCCGTCTAGACAGCGGACACTAAGTCCCGAGTGACATACCCGGCGCTGTCGCACAGACAATTGGAGTGACAGAACCAGGTAGGTGGGATCTCTAAATTCGCGTCCTATGCAGCAATGGACGCTGACGCTGTTTTCTAGCCCTGGTCGTCTTCATATAGATTCTTGATCACACTGAGGAGATTCGGGAGGATAAGATCTTGCTGGATACCTATCTCAAAGTAAGAAGCATCCAATATGGCATCGTATTACAAGCTTCCCTAGGTACTTACTGAGGCAAGAAGTCAAATTTCAAGACTGATAGCCTACTTACTTGATCACTAATCTTTTAGTCCTACAGGTCAATCACTCTGCGGCTGAGAGACATGGCTTCGATCAATGTTTGCTGTTGGCTGTTGGTGGCTGCAGATGATCTAGATACAATCTTACCTTGCATATCCAAGCCACATCGGAGAGTATGCACGCAACACTCTGAAAAAAGGGTCACGGCAGATATAACAATATACAGGGCTGGTTATCTATAAAATGGTACTGTCGAGTACGATTATGAGTTTTCATTATTCCATCCTCTTCTCAAACATCAATAACAATCTTTCTCAATCATAGCAAAGATGATACAACCAACTATCACTCCCCCTGTCAATAAGACACCAGGGACCAGGTGCCCTACTTGTGCTCTGGCCGGCAAGGAAGTTTGGGTCATTCCCGGACGATGCTGCGGATATTGCGGAACAGCATGCGATACCTAATGCTAACAAGATGATAAGAGGTATGATAATCACTCATTGGTAAGATATAGATATTGACTCTTCCCACAGAACGACACAATGGCTTGGTAATAGATGATATGGAAGATATGGTATACCATGGGTTTTAGTGCACGTCATAACTGAGAAGTGTATGTTTGCTGTCATGCAAACGTCATGACGAGCAAGGCCCCTTGTCAGCAAATGAGACGATAAGGCAACGGCAGGATATCACGTAGTTTGGCGTTGAGGAAATGGATTGGCAATATCTGTACAGAAAGGACTGTATGCAATATTTTCCATTATATAACAGCTAGTTTGCGGAATAAAGTCAGTTTTGGATTGCAATGAAGAATCTTATGTGACCTCGTTTGCTCATAGCATGAATTGGCTTCTATTGGTCGTTGGGGTGTCATCAATTGACCACTGACAGCATAAAAGACGAAACGATTTGGTCCCGTCACTTCATGCTCACTTGGATGAGCACATTGGTTACTTCTTCTTGTCGCCCTTAGCTGAGACAGGCACTTCCAACTTCACTTCTGTCAATGCTCTCAATAGCCTCTGCCACATCTTAGAGCTCTCCTCGTCTGCTGGACCTCCAGTCAACGTTGTCCGGTTTCCAATCACTATAAGCGCCGATCTCGCCCTTGTCAGAGCAACATTTACCCGACGCATATCCTTTAGGAATCCGATCTCGCAGTGCGTGTTACACCGAACCGTGACAAAGATGATAATGTCAGCCTCACAACCCTGGAATCCGTCTATGCTTAAAGCCTCGATCTTCTGTGATATGCTAGGGAGCATACGCTTTAGAGCTTCGGCTTGTCGAGTGTAAGGTGTGAGCACCACGATTGAATGTCCGGTATTAATTTTGGTGGGTGACGTAGCCAAGAGCTTGCAGATATGTGCGCAGAGCTCTGCCTGGCCTCGATTCTCTTTCGACTTTTGTCCCGACATTCCTGTTCAATCGCAATTGATGAAGATAGTTCGTACTTTGTCTTGCCCTCTCGCTACTGCTGATTTTGGAAACGGAAATTGCATGCGCCAAGTTCTCTATCTGAGATACTGATTCCAGACTTCAAATTCCCATCATAGAATTCTTTGGAAGGGAATTCGCACAGTTTGGGATGCATTCGATACTGCGTATCAAGCATGAGTGTGCTTACGCCTTGGTATCCCTTCAATTTAGCATTGGTGTAAAGCCTCTCAAACAAAGAGACATCGAAATCCAGTGTAAGGGCTGTTGGGTTGACGGTGGGCCGGAGTTGCACATGGTCGCCGACCAGTATTGCTCGCGAGCAGCCTTTGACAAGAGGCACTAGAGAAGTAGGTTCCGTGTGCTGAGATGCCTCATCAACGATGACCGTGTCAAATTCCTCTGAACGTCGCAGTCCAATTCCAGCTCCGATGCACGCGGTGAATATCGTATCGCTATTCCGAATCATCTGGGTCGCCTTCTCCAGTGCCTTGCGGTTCGAGTAGATCTCTTGTCCGGCCATGGCATCACATGTGTATTGTCGCAGATCGTCTGCAACTTTGCGTACCTGAAACAATTAGCATCCAGGTTATTATATTCTGTCAAGATGGATACGACCTACCTCGGTAGAGACTCTCACGACATTGGGCTGGGACTCTCTGGCCAGAGCCTGCTTCTCGAGCCTTACAATGTAGCGTCGCATCATATTGTCCATCGCGTTGTGTGTCGGAGCTGTGACCAGAATACGGGCCGATTCAATCAACCGCTAGATGTCTCGCCGTACAGAAACTCATTCTTGAAGCTCGAGCCTCTGCGGAAGACGAAGCTTTGCGGAGCTTCCAATGGTTCATTTCCGATCGATCCGGTTTTGATCCGCTGGTATATGCCAAAAGATATGTCTCTGACGATGCGGTCGCTGGCCTTCAGCTGGAGCCTACTTGGAGAGATGTCAAAGCGAGAATGGCAAACTCATTGATCGTGGTCTGCGAGGCGGGCACCCCTTGGCTCTTGGACGATGGGGTGCGACTGATGCCTGGCAGTGAACAGGAATGGATGCAAGTGTTTCGAGACTTCTGCGGGCTATCAGAAGATGTAGGCTTCGACTACTTCGTACTGCCTCGGACTATGTTAGACATCGAAGAGCGGGCTGAGTTCATACGAGCCAGATGGACTGGAAGGCGGCAATTATCTTCTTATGATGGGTTTGAAAATGTCCCAAACGTCAACGGGAAACTATATCCGTGTCACTAAATCGTGTTCCTAGGAAGGTTATCAATAAAACAACAACTAGATCTTCGTGTCCGTTTCTAGATATAAAATCGCTGAGTTGATATGTTGTTACAATCCCTGCTAGCCTTGTGGAGTCGCGATTGGGAGATGAACATGAATGGTGAGGAGAAGACGAAGAGAATGCACTGTCTGTAGATACATTACTTTCCATCTTCTAAATATGACGCTTTGTTCATTGGAAACACTCGGCCAATTCCAACTATTCGGCTCTTATACAAAGATCACGAAAGGTTACTGATAACGAGCCACCATCTGTCGTTCCATTGCCTTTAGGCATGCAAGCAGCGACGCCAACCCAGATTTTGTTCTGCGGCTCCATATCAAAGACCCAAGTCAATTTCCTCAATGGCATGCGCCGTCCGTCAGATCCGGTAACATAGATCCAAAGAGAACCATTTATCTTCTCCATTTCGAAAGTGGCAGTACTTTCACCCAATTTTGTCAAACTCCAATCTGAGTAGGGCTGGCCAGCAGCGACAGAGGCGAATAGTTCGCCATCCACGTGCTCGATTCCGGCTTTGATCCATGTCCCCGGCGAGGAGGATAGGTGAAGGTTTCCAGCAGCGTCTGGCGACGGGTCGGAGTCAGGAAAGAATAGAATAAGACCGCCTTGTGAGTAAGACGCTACAAAGTCCGCCGATATAGTAACCTTGGCGCTTTTGAATGAATTGAGAGGTAAAGGTGTGGCGTAAATAGGGCCGTTGAAATCGTCTCGGCCTCCAGCGCAAGCGGGTGTTCGCCAAATATCGGGTCCTGGCACGGCATGGAGCTCAAAGGACTCTGACGACGGATCCACCGGCAAGAGAGACTGATGGGCAACGCTTGAGAACAGCTTGAAATTCATGTTTAGAGGTGTAGCTAATGGAATTCAAATTGGTAGATGGCAACGTAGGGAACAGATTGCGAATCAGGTTCTCCGCGCTGATTTTAATACTTCAAGGCGGGGTATTTCAAGATACCTTGTCTTGCAGAATCCAGTAAATGATCCCACGGTGATTTGTGGAGTCATAATAGACGGATGTTTATACTTTGCGACTTCTTCCCCATAAGAAGATATCACTGGTCTGTGTAAGAGCGGGCTCTCGGGTCGCTCGCCTGATTTGGCAGCAGTCGACGCCTGCTGACAGAGTTACTCAATTGGGTAAACGCCTCGGTGGGGTTGATGGCAACTCCAGCCATAGAATCTCATAAAGGTTCTTTCATTGATTGACACGGGTGGCTTAAAGTACATATATCTAATCCTCCAGCGGAGGGCTCACCAGACCTCCATCATCCAACATGGAATCACGGCCCTCAAGCAAGAATCGCATCACCATATCCGCCGCAGCCTCCGAATCATCGTCCTTCTCCATAGCCCTGATCGAGCTTGCAACCAGTTCCGGATCCCAATTCCAAGCTTTACCAAAAGCCTTACACGTTTCTGTGTTGATGAAGCTATCAAACTCGAAATGTCCTTGGAATGTGAGCACATGGTTTGGTTGATAGGCACCTTGGAATGCACAGTGCTCGGTTCGACCCATCGATAGCCAGTTTGGAGGCAGCGTCCTGCCTTCGGGGATCTTGACGTGATCGCCGTGGATGAACTGCAGCCGCAGTTTCGTGTTATCTGTCGTTTGAATAGAAGGGGGCGAATTTTCAGACATTGGCGTGGGCGGTCGGGCTAGCTCAGGTGTATTCTGCGAACTTCCGAGTGCTTTGAGGAAGTCTGTCTCCAATTGAATAGCGTGAACACCAGCTTCCATCCCCTTGGGGTCTTTTTCGACGTAGATGCCGGATTCACGGAACAAGCTTTGACAAATGATTTGATGACCAAAACAACTTCCAAAGAGTTTAATATGAGGGTGCTCAGTATGAACTCTGGCGACGTAGGCGTCTAGCTCTCTGATCCAGTCCTTGTCTTCGTAAGAGCTTGCTCCAGATCCAGAGATGACTATGGCGTCGAAATTGGTAACCGATTCAGGATACAGGCCGTGATGAACATCGAAATACTCGGATTCGACTGTTAATCCGGGTGCGACGCGGGAAGCTGATTTGACCAGCAGTTCGTGAAAGATGTGACCGTAGGACGGTGTCCGCTTGGCCAGAACGTTGGGTACTGGTGTATCAGCATTGAACATGGCAATGCGCAGGGTAAGTGGTAAGTAAGCCATGATAAGGTAGTAGTATTGTATCGATGTTCAAATAAGTGAGTTTACTGAGAAAGGTCTTGACTCTCCGAGGGGTTTATCGAAAGTCCAACCTTTCAACCTCTGTAATTTTAGGGGCATCAAAGCTATTCATATTTCTCGCAGCGTTCTCGTGTTTTTCTCGTCCGAATGACTGATTCACTCCATTTTTTGACAACAAAATGACGACGGCAAAAATTGCCTAATTTGCAATAGCTGACCCATTGAAACAGTTTTGGCACGCTATAATTGGCCCGGTTCTTATCAATACTCCATCACGCGCCCTGTCGCCACCAAGTTCGGTGTTCTAGACGGTCAACGAGAAGACTTACCGTCCGAAAATCGGCCCTGGAGTAAGTTTTACAAGCCGGCGGCGTTTCCGTGTCTTCTTTCAATCTTCTCCGTGTATCTCCAGCTTAGTCAAAGTGAGCCTGCTACGCAACTCCAAATTGCACCGTTCCCAGGAGCAAAAAATAGAGGGTCTTTTCGGGAAGCTGCTGAGCCAGCAATTTTGCGAACCACCCTGTAGACTTGCAATATTTCCATCACCGTGGGATTTTCTCAATGCTGTAATGACTCGCATATACCTTGTTCCTAGAGCAAAGTGCGTAGGTTGTATCCCACTTTGCGGAGATGAACCATTTAGTGCATGGATAGCTACTGTTGGTTGTGACTGTTGGTTCTACCGTCACGTAATTGAAACGCAGGGACACAAACCGAGCGGGCATCGTTTTTTCTTCTCGTTCTTTTCTCGAGGTCTAGAAAATAGTTCAGGAACACCTGTCTGTAGGTATCTGATTCAAGTACGTAGATAATATATATGCTGAAAGCGGGATAACATGCAATTCTCAGCTGTCTTTCATGGGAATTGACATCGACATACAACTTGGCGTAAAGAAGGGTTGCGGTAAACACCAAAATGCCAAGATCATGGCTCATTAAACGTCGGCTGATCCATGCCCACTAACAACCAACAACATGAAAGAACCCTGTCAGCCTTAAGCGAGTGTATATAAATTACTTCAGCGTGCGTTCCATGACTCTTTATCAATTTTCTTCATATGCTCGCGTCACCATGTCTGCCGTTACAACAACCTCTCTTCTTCTTCCCCAGTACTCGGGCTATTTTAATGCCGAAGTCATCGGGGCAGACCCAACAGCTACCACTTTTATCCTCGACTGCGACTACGCTAAGTATGCTACATCGGAGGACTGTCATGTAACATCTCAAACTTTTATCGTCGGACCATGGGCCGATAAGACTCTGTCCTCTGGGGCCCCTGAAACCGGCGTTTTTCGCAAGATCTATACCCAAGAGCCTTATGACGACTATGACGGCTTCGAGTACTCTGCGCAATGCGAAATGAGCAGGACGTATGCTAGCATATGCACTACAGTCAACATCGGTGGAAACGCATACTTTGGCGAAACAGCTACATTTCCCAGGTCGACGGGCACGGACTATGATGGATTCTATCGAATGGCAGGTTATGGTGGTTTCAGCTGGGTTCCTGTTACTATCACGAAAGGGCAAAAGTATCTTGCTGCTGCGGCTGAGGCAACGCCTACAAGCGACTCTGAGCAAGATCGCGAAGACATAAGTACTACCAGTGATGTCGTTGTTATCACTGGCGAGGCTGATTCCGCCGAGGCAACTTCCAATGGTGTAGGTGCGAGACGAGATTTGAGTCTTTGGGGTGTGGTAGGATTGTTGATGGCCGTGGCTTACTTATAACAAGCTAACCTTGTGGTAACATCTCCATGAGAATCGACCAAAAAGAAGATCAGCTGTGTCAATCGACCGCGGCAGGAGTCGAACCTGCAATCTCTAGAGAGTTTAATTTTGGTGAACCGAAATCTAGCGCCTTAGCCATTAGGCCACGCGGCCTGATCAAGTTGTTCATGTCCCAGCTTCATCAAGCCAGGATGATGTTCGCTGTGCTTCAGGAAACTATTGACACTCATCAAGATTGGTAGAAAGACAATAGGAAAGACGCAAGAGCAGAGACCCTCAGCGACGAGCAATGCGTTGTGTTGGATAAGCCTCTGAAGCAACTCCACAGCATGACCTAGATCTTGGAGATAAACCACGAATCAATACACTCGAGATAACTCCCTTGCCTTGATCATAGGTTATTATCTTCAATTGACGCCTGTAAGCAGTAAAAGAAAACTTCGAGGTCATCAAATCCACTATTAGCGTGGGGATGTACGATCTTTTTACTTCAATGCTAGATCTAATCTGAATCTCGGTCTAACCTGGAGCCATTGACACTAGCCGGTAACCTCAGTCACTGCAACTGTCTCCTGCAAAACGCCCTTACTCGGCTCGCTAACGGCAGTGGCCTCCCCAAGAGCAGTATTGAAGTTCTCTTCAGCATACTGGTCGGCATCAAAACCATGAATCCAGTCCTCTCTTGGAAACCCGATGCTACTGGGATCCTTCTTGACCTTCTCCCAGTCCGTCTTATGCCAGAGATCTCGTGTTGATTCTCCAGTTTTCTGAACCGCCCGGACGCGATCATATCTGATCATGGTCAGTAAGCGTACCTTAGTACTGGAATATGCGCGCTTACCTTAGATTCTGGTGAGCCTTTAGCGCTCCAGGCACATTTCCTTTGCCAGCACGCTTGAGACAAATTGCAATGGTCACACCATCCTCCATAGCCTGCGTGGCACCTTGAGCGCTCGTGGGTAAGAAAGGATGAGCAGCATCTCCAAGCAACGCGATTCTCCCCCTTTGACTGATCCAAGTTGGTAGTGGGTCGCGATATACTAGCTTCCAATCGACAACTGAAGGTGTCTTTTCGACGATGGCTCGCGTGGTGGGATCCCAGTCTTTGAGAAGTTCCAGGACTTCTTCGATCTTACCAGGGAACGACCATGACTCATCGATGTCATGGTCATCTTTATGCGTTAGAACCCAGCAGCAATCCTTTCCTCCCTTAAGGGTTGAGAACAAGAAGTGGACGTCTTGCCCAATCCAGCCGTTGAAGGTATCGCCGTTTTCGCAGAATTCCTTGGTACGAGCATCTTGAATCATGTCTTTGTTTGAGAACCTAATTCTCTTGTTAGCTGGCTTAAAATCTAATAGGCATAGCGACATACCATGCTCTCCAAACAGCGTATCCGCTGCTCTTGGGTTTGTCGACATAACCCAGAACAAGCTCTCTCGCTTTAGATCTCACTCCATCTGCCCCAATCACAACATCACCAACGATCTGTTTCCGAATCAGTAAGATGTGTACATATATGAGACAGCTATACACACCTTCTCTCCGCTTTTCAAAATTATACCAGCATGGGATTCAGTTTCGAAATACTCGGATACTCGCTGACCAAGGTGGATTGGAATCCCAAGCTCGTTGCGCGCATACTTGAATATGATCTCATGCAACTCGCCTCTATGTCCATTCAATACAGGAGCTTCAGGGTTCGGTGGCGGTCGTTTTTGGTGAAGAACGACTTCACCAGTATCCCATTTGTGAATTTTGAAACCGTAGTCTTGGATGTTTATGCACAGAGGTCGTAGTCTGGCTACAATCTCTCCGTCAGACCATCGATGGAATATTCTGCCTGCATTGCCGCCGAACGAGATGATATCTCCCAAAACCTTGAGTTCGGGGAAGGACTCATAAATCTCGACATCATGGCCTTGTCTGTGGCATTCAATAGCAGCTGTCAGCCCGCCAAAGCCAGCACCGACAATGATGACTTTGATACCTGACTTGTTTGGTGACATTTTCTGGCTTGTGGACTGTGACTAGACTTGTGATATCACAAGCAACACATAAGCCACTTAAGTTTCCATTCACATTAACCGGATATCGATGCCCTGGCTTGGTCAAGCCGAGGTTTGTATATCCGGGCTGTTTCCCCGCACACTTCGGTTCAGATCTGCAACCAGCATCCTCCAATAGCCAACGAGCCAATTGGTCATGTTCGTGTAATAAAGATTCGTGGGGCATCTTTGCTCCTTCAACGATATGAGTAAGCCAATAGAAACCACCCGAGTAAAGTTAACCGCACTATCTGTCGTGTTGCCAACAGCGGAGCCATGTCGAAAGCATCTCGTGACATTGGAGGTGTAAGCCAAGTATCACTCCGCAGCATTTACCTTCAGCTATTCAACAATCGTGATGTCTTGGCTCTTGATATCTGATGCAAGTCTGCATAACCCCGCAGCTATGGTTGTAATGTAATTGCTTTGTCAGTATAAACCGGTCAAGATCGGCGCCGAGAACAGACTGTGAGGGGAAGATCAGGTCGAGATATCAACCAGGGATAACAACGGAAATGACCACGGCAATCAAGTCGGCAATTGAGTTGTTAGCAAGCAACATGTTGGCTGCTTGGCGAGCGACCAATCGGTGAATAACAACCTAGCACTGCATACGGCAGAGAAATCATGCTGCAGACAAGTGCAGCAGGGGCCTGAAGATGGGATTAGGTGGGTAACAGAAGAAATGTCCTCTAAGACTTAGGCTACAGAAATAAAATAGCCTAAATGATAGTCTAAGGTGGCATAAGGTGACTAAGTTATTTCGTCTCTTATGCTTTCAACGGTCAATTCTTCTGACACCCTGCGGGGGATGCAACAGCCACTTGGCGGCAAGTCTAGACTAGCCAAGGCACATGTTTGCTTTGTTAGGGAGACATGTGGCTTTCCAATGTTGTGACCACAACACTCCCTCATGATTCATTCAAGCAAGATACCAGGTGAAATCCGAGGAAGCCAACAGTTACCTTGTACTTTAGGCTATGCCAAGCAATACAACCAAAACACCGGAAATGTTACTCCTAGCGTAGCCTCGTCTATGCACCCCGCACATCGGTTACGGATCAAACCCCGTTAAGCCCGTCTATACTTGTGCTAGTAAGGGATCGGCACGTTCTAACGAATCTAGTATAGCTGCGAGCCTCTTGGTTGTGGCTGTCGAGTCGATATATCGACATGAAAAGGAGGAGAGATGTAGTCCAAGTCTCAGACCTTTCCCCTAGACCTTTCGATAAACACTCTGAAACTCTGAAATGGCTTCCTCACCAGACACAATACGTGCCCATTGGCGGTGTTTCGTCGCCTGTGGTATCATTGTTCTCTCTCCCTTCCAATATGGACTCGACTTTGGACTAATTGGAGGACTCCAAGCCATGCCTGGCTTCCTAATGGTAAGAGTGACACGACAAACAATATCTGGGCTTCCCACAAGACACTGATCATGGCTTCCATATTTCCAGGTGTATGGCTACGAAGACCCAACGACCGCGATCGGATGGAACATCTCAACCACCAGACAGCAGCTGATTTCTTCGCTAATGACGCTGGGCGCTTTCATCAGCTCCAGTCTGGCGGGGTTTGTTGCCGCAAAGCTCGGCAGGAAAATGTGCCTTCGACTGGCATGTCTTCTTTGTGCTGTTTCCAACATAATAATGATGACCACGGCCGATATTGGTCCGCTGTACCTCGGCCGATTACTGATTGGTCTGGCTAATGGTTATTTCATGACCTTTTCACAACTTTATATCCAGGAGACGAGTCCAGCAAAGTACAGAGGGCTGTTCTTGACCGCATTCCATCTATGCACAACCTTTGTCAGTATTGGCAATGTCTTTTATTAGAGATGGTAGGCTAAACGCTGGCATGCAGGGAACGCTTATTGGAACGATCATCGACTGGACAACTGCCGGGCGCCCAGATCGCTCAGCATACTTGATACCCCTTGGAATGATCTACATCGTCCCTGTCATCATATTCCTTGCTCTTTGGTTCATACCCGAGTCTCCGCGATGGCTTATCCTCCAGGGTCGCTACGAAGATGGCTTCAAGTCCCTGAGTTGGCTGAGACCGAATGGAGCCGATATAGACGCTGAGCTGGCCGAGATACGGCAGGCTATCGATACAGAGAAGACTCTAGCAAGCGGTGTCGGAATGCTGGATATGTTCAAGAATCCAGTCGACAGAAGACGCACCATGATTTCGGTCTGTGCGGTTCTTTTACAAGCTGCATCGGGCTCCATGTTTATCATCGGTAAGTTTCGACGTAAAGCTTCTCCGGTTCCCTATTTAATCATGAATCGATAGCCTTCAAAGCATACTTCTTTGCCATGGCTCAAGTCCAAGATCCTTTTGCCATGAGCAACGTTCTCAGCACGGCTGGCATGACCGCAACCATCATCAATGCTTTCATCGTAGTGCGATATGGACGACGTCGCGTTCTCCTCCTCGGTGGTCTGGTTATAGCTGGCTTCTTCCAGCTAATCATTGCGGTTGTATATGATAGAAACCCTGGCGAAATCGTTACTGGGAAAGTACTCGTCGCACTTTCGTGCCTTTATATGGTGGCTTATAACGTAAGTAACGCGAACTCTCGTATTACAGTGATAAGGAACTGACCAGTCATGATCAGGGAATGATTGCTCCATATTCATGGCTCGTGGCCGGAGAAATCCCTTCCCAGCGCCTCCGAAGCTACACCTTTGGCTTTGCAGCAGCCGCAGGTTTCCTTGGGGCTTGGCTTATCACCTTTACAGCACCGTACTTTATCAATCCGAGCGCCTTGAATTGGGGCCCCAGATATGGGTACATCTGGTTCCCTTCATGTATGATCAGTGCGGCTTGGGTGTACTTCTTCCTGCCAGAGGTCAAGGGGCGTACACTTGAGGAGATTGATGTTATGGTAAGCCATTTTCGTACAGTACCTTTACATTTAAGATTACTGACCGTTCTTTTATCCAACAGTTCAACGAAAGACTTGCCGCGAGAAAGTTCCATACCTTCCAAGTGTCGCAGCACGTCACTGGAGAAAACGTCGGAAAGTCAAGTATCGAATTGAGAGTCGTCGAGGCTGAGAGGGTATAACATGGAGTGGAGACCATAGAGGCAATCAATCGAGTCACAAAGACACTTGTGCAACTGCTTCGGGGTCACGTCCTATAGGTAGCTTCAATACTCTGGTCGATCTATAATTGATCTATCCACAGATGACCAACTATCCAACCATTACTGACACGTGGCAAGTCTTTTGTCCAAGCCTACTATTCACTTTAACACCTGTGTATAATCATTCGTTCTCTTCTATAGACTTGTGTAGGTCCTGGCTATAGTAGATATACCTTCCAATGTTCATCCTCCTTCAGTCGCAACGTCACTTTGCGTCCAACCTTAATACTCTCCCCAACAATTACACGGGCGTTGCTCAGTGCGAGTATACCAGTTCAAACACACCAAGCTTCCGTGGCATGCACGGCACGGACATAAACGCCGAAATGTGACCCGATATTCATTTTCGCAAGCAGAGGTGTGACCGGTGTTATTGCAATGCGCCCAAACATTCCTACATTCGCCGTAAGCGCACCACTTTATTTCGACGTCGTACCAGCCTGTCCCTGTGCAAAACTCGCAATTTGGGTTGTATCCTTGTTGTGGCATTTTGACTTTTCTCAAGAGTCTGGACTCCGAAGTGTTAGGGTCAATCAAGGTAGCGCTAATTAGATCTTTCTTAGATAGAGGTTCTTTTTAGATTACAGCTTGAGGATAATGTTTAATTGTAGTCCAAACTGGGCTCAATTTATAACTGGTTCCCAGGTTCCGTCATTCACGACTAAAAACTGCGCTGGAACTCAGCAGTGATAAGTTGACGTTCTCTCAGCTACACTACTAAGGGATTGCATCCAAGCCCATCCCGATATCGAGCCACTGAATATCTGCATCGCATACGCCAATATCTGTGGAAATAGTAGAAAAGGTGTTCCAAAGAATCTCAATCATAAAAAGGTAGGTATGTAGTTTGAAGCGCAGAGATGGACCCACTTCGATCCCCGTACCAAAAAGGCAAAACATACAACAGCGGGGATT